CAAATAGTCCTATATATATAAATATATATATATATATATATATATATATATATATTATATATATATATATATATATATATATATATATATATATATATATATATATATATATATATATATGTATATATATATACATACATGAATGACGTTCATTTATAGATTAGAACAGGGGTTCCCAACCTTTTTTTAATCTAGAGCACATTCTAAAATATCGGTAGGTTGGCGGGCACCACCTATTTTAAATCGACAAACTTCTTCCAGAGGCGTAGCGACCCTTCCCGTCACCCGGGGACAAAACTTTCGATTTGCACCCCCCCCCCCCCTCAAATTTTCGATTTGCACCCCCCGTCCCTCAAACTTTCGATTTGCACCCCACCTCAAATTTTCGATTTGCACCCCCCCCCCCCCCGCCCTCAAACTTTTGATTTCCATCCCCTTCAACCTTTCAATAATGTTTATGAAAAAAATTCTGTCTCCGTCGATTAGTAAGAGGCGGGCACATACGAATCGTCCGGCGGGCGCCCGCGGGCACGGGGTTGGGAACCCTTGGATTAGAATATGAAATATTAAAATAAAATAGTTACATTGTGTAGTATTTGGGCACTGATAATAAAAGAAAACAAAACTAAATGTATTTAAAATGGTTCAAAGTACAACCACATTGTTTTAATTTTTTTTTTTTGGGGGGGGGGGGGGGGTCAAGATGAAGCTAAAAAAAATTTGCCGGTAGAATTAACTGCTTCACCGCCTCAGCCAAGGTTCTTGCCGGTCGTAATTTTGACCATCTCCAGTTTCAGTTCATCGTGAAGACTGATACAATTCCAAAAGTGTCTTTTTTTAAACACAGTCTGGGTTAATGCCCCTTTTTACCAACCCTACCCTTGATTCACTTTTTATCAACAATTTTGCCTTTTTTTTAAAAAAAAAAAAACACAGTCTGGGTTAATGCCCCTTTTCACAAACCCTTCCCCTGATTCACTCTTTACCCTCTATTTTGCCTTTTTGTTTTACTTCCCTTGCCAGGCCTACGTGGCTCACTTTTTCTATATTTTTATCCCGAGTAAAAAAAATAATTCGAACGTTCTTTGGTCTTAGTTGGCAGGTACCGGAATCCCATCCCAGGTCGTCAAATGACGTGGTTTTTTTTAAAACTAATTTTTGTTTTACAAGAGTGAACTATTTTTTACAAGTTCACTCTTTGCTTCTTCAATGAAAGTAACCCCATTACTGGGAAGAGTTTCGATCTTAGAATTGTGTATTCTAATGATTTCATTTATTACAACATGAGAGCTATCATAATACGATTCTTTTACTTTTAACTGCAACATAAATTGAACGGTGAGTCTTTGATTTAAAAAAAAAATAATTTTTGTTGCAAATTAGTATAGTTGGTACTGCTTAAAATATATTATAAGCCTAGGTACTACTAATGTTGTTTTTGACAATCAAAATAGTTCTATAAAGTTTCGAAGCATAACTTAATAAAGCAAAGATTTTACATCCCATTTGTAAAATATTTGCTTTTATCCACTAATAGTTATATTTTTTTTTTAATGCAATGTGGTTACTTCCCTTGAAACGTCACGAAGTTCGCTAGTCTTCACACAGACTCAGCCCAGCAAACCGGTTTAGGGCAGCTCTCGCTTCACGCAAAAAGTTACTTTTTTTCCCTAGGCCTAGATCTAGATCCTATCGTTAGGCCTACATTTACAGTTGTAAGGGTAACAACGTGTAGCCGCTCTCTGCGATGCTGAGTTACGTATCGAATCTTGTAAATTTTAGACTAAAAACTGACCGTTAAAAATATAGTGCTTACCCTTTGTGTATATTTTTAAGATTAAAAATAACTATGTCAACACGACGTATTTGGAGCTTTTACTTTTTGCGGGTCTGATCATACTCGTTTGCTTGAATAAAACGCGCTTAAGCTACGCTGCTTTACTGTTTTCGACTGCTAAACTGTGACCACCCCCCTTGTAATCGCCGTTTTGATTTGACATTATTCTTTTTTAATTTATCTGGCCAGGCCAAAGTTCTGTAGGCACGGAGGCTACCAGACTGATACGCCGTTAGAAGTATCTGGGGTAATTGTTTTATTGGATCGTAAGGTCAATTTACGGTCAATGGGTCTTATCAGGCTATATTGGCAAATACAACACCGCGAGAATTGGAATTTCTCGATGGGCAAGTTGTTGTGTCGTTGATAGTAGCGATTCCCAGTGGGCATCGGATACGCCTATTCCTAGCTTATACAATTATATTATACGAGCCGACCCGCGGCGTATCATACGCCTCTATTTAGTTGTTTTATTTTCTACTTTTCAGTAATTCATAATTTGTGAATTCGACAGTACCAATGCTGCCACTGAAAATATTTGCTTTAAAACACTAACCCCCCCCCTTTTCCCCTAACCCCGACCCTACACCTCCCCCCCCCCCCCCCGTGAATGCAGCCTCCTCTAATTTACCTCCTGTAAGTTTAAAATCGTTTCAAACTAAATTATCTGCCCCTAATAGCCGTCACTAAACCCGGCTCTACGATTTGTAAACATTTAATTTAGCGTGACCACAACTCACCAGACCATGTGGGGGTGGGGTGGGGGTGGTAGTGATAGAGAGAAAGAGAGGGGACTGTAAGGAGGCGCTCGCAGCTTGTTTCCTAACGTCTCCCAGAAGAGAATTATATATATAGATTATTGGACGTAAAAAAAAAATTCTGTATCGACTCAGGTGTAACTGAAACAAGTAGATCTAGATCTTCAACATTAAATGTGTAATGTAATAATTGTAGGAAGGCCTACTTAAATATTTGGCCAATGAAATTTAGGGGGGTGACACCAAGGCAAAAAATAGCAAAATATATAGAGAAAAACTTGAGGGGGGTGCAAATCGAAAGTTTGAGGGGGGTGCAAATCGAAAACTTGAGGGGGGGTGCAAATCGAAAGTTTGAGGGGGGGGGGGGTGCAAATCGAAAATTTGTCCCCGGGAAGGGTCGCTACGCCTCTTGGGGGTGACACCATTAAGTGCCGCACCGGGTGACACCCGACCTCGCTACGCCACTGGGAATCACCCTCATAGCCTACGCCACTGGTCTATTTGCCTAGCATCTGAAAAACGGCGAACGGAAAAAAAAGTTACAGGAAAAAAAAACAGAAAAAAAGGCACAGTTTTTGCTAGGAAAAAAAGTCACGGAAAAAAAGCCACTATGGAAAAATTTTATCGGGAAAAATAGTCACAGAAATAAAGTCACAGAAAAAAAGTCACAACAATCTTTTTAGAAATCTTTTGATTTATTTGTTAAAAATTGTAAAATTGTGTATGTTTATTGTTGTGGGTTGTATTTTTTGATAGCATAAATTATTTATAGACGTTAAAAGCATTATGGTTTATAAAAATTGTAAGTAAAAGTATACTTAAAATAATTTACACAACAATCTCAACTTTTGTTTCGTATTTAGTTAAAAACGCGGTAGAAAAGTCAACTATTTAACTAGTTAAAGAAATTTAGGCACACCATTGTGTTTTGCATACGTTTTGCCGTAGGCTATTCTCTGGTCGGCCTCCCCTCAGTAGGCATTGCCCGAATATATTTTGTGTTGTTGACGTTTTGTGTCAATGACAGCCTTTGAACCTTGTCGGCTCTCTTTTTTTATCCTAAGTTTTGTTATGTAATGAGCGTGATAAATGTGGGCAGTAGAAGTGGTTGAACTAAGCTTAACTATTGTTGCGATGAGTTGAGGGCAGTAATTCAGATGACCTTACCATTTCACGGTAATTTAATTTAAAAAAAACACGATGAAAAGTGTGGACGTTCTATTAAATGCTATACATATTATGTTTAACATAATTACAATCTACATAATTCATACTAAATATTTAAGATGAATCATAAAAATTACTATGGGGTCATCCATAAATGACGTCACACTCGTAGGGGGGAGGGGTCCGTAATTTTGTGACGATGTGTGATGAGGGGGAGGGGGGAAGGGGTTAGATGTTGCGACGTCACACTTTTGCATTATTAAAAAGCAATGTTAGAAAACAAATTTTAGACGTTATTTCGCATTTTAGATAACTGTTTTAATAAATTGTAATAGTTTAGATAAGATTTAAGAAAAATATCGATGTTTAAAAAAAATTCAACTGCAATTTTGAGGGGGGTTGTAGGTTGAGGCGTGACGTCATTTTAGGGGGGGGGGGTTGTAGGTTGAGGCGTGACGTCATTTTCCTGTGACTTTTTTTCTGTGTTATTTTTTCCTGTTTTTTTTTCCTGTGACTTTTCCCCCTACAATCCTGAAAAACTACTACTAGAGTCTATGTAGAACTAGATTCTACGAGCTTGAAAGAACAATCGCTTCATTACAAATGCTTTTAAAACAACGAATGGAATTTAAGCTGTTGTGCTAAGTTACATATTTTCGCAATAAATAATAAAACAGATCTAGATCTAGATTATAATAGTTTCGCAATATACTAGGCCTACTCTATAATAATCGTATAGATCTATTATCTAGATCAGGGGTCTCCAAACTTTTCAGCCCGAGGGCCGCATTAACTATCAAATATCAGTTCGCGGGCCAGAGTTTCTTTACGGCATCTCTTCAGGGTCGTCGTCCCCCCCCCCCCCCCGAAGAACGTTTATCGCACCCCCCCCCCCCTCCCCCCAACGAAATATAATTTATATAGAAATATATACAAATTTCAAAGCTAAATTTTAAAATTGTTTTGAATTTTCTGTGCAAAGCTTCTCAGCCACCTCCAACAAACATTTATTCAGTGGACAAAAAGATCGTCGCGGGCCGGATAAAATGACCTCGCGGGCCGCATCCGGCCCGCGGGCCGTAGTTTGGAGACCCCTGATCTAGATCTAGGGCCCACCAGATTTACTATTAGAACAAGCGTGTTGGGGTTTTAATTTTAGTTCTCATACTATTCATCCCTTTTCAATACTGCTCGCATGCCGCTATTTTCTAGACTCTAGTTTCGGTCACTGCCCTTTGCCTGTTTGGAGTTGAGAACGGAAAAAAAAGAAACTAGGATATGTGTAGAGGGAGTGTGGCAGTGCGATGGGGGTAAAAATGCTTGGCAAGGCACTTTTAGCTGTTTTAATCTGGCGGCGAGACGATGTCTGCCTCGCGCTCACACGCACAGCGCAGGCTCGCGTTATTCGGCCATATTGGCGTGATGTGCTGGCTAGAGAAAGAGAGAAGTTTCACAGCCTAGGCCTATGGTATGTGGGTATGTGTACTACTAGGGCCTATGCTAACACAGTACATTAGCAGACGCTAGGTTGGGGCTGGAGTGGATATTAAACTCCGGTTTGGCCAATCATAACTTGTGTTAGTCATTGTGGTGTTTCTAAATCTAAAGATCTAGATTCTAGATGTAGTCTAGATCTAAACTCTAGATCTAGAAGATCTAGATCTAGATCTAATCTAGATTCTAGATTTAAAATTTAATCTAGATCTAGATTTCGAAATCTAGATCTAGAGAGTCTAGATCTAGATCTAATCTAGTGGATCTAGATCTAGTATTTCAAACTATGGTCTAGAATCTAGTTAGATCTAGATCTATCTAGAAAATCTAGATCTAATCTAGATCTAGATCTCTCTAGATCTAGATTCTAGTCTAGAGATAGACACTCTTTAGCCAGAAGATATCTAGATCTAGAAATCTAGATCTAGTTAGACTTAGACTATGTCTAGATATCTAGAATCTAGTCTAGATTAAGATCAAGATATAGATTCTTCTAGATCTATTCTAGATCTAGAGAAGTCTAGTAATGTGTGGAGAGAAAAGGCCAGGGACATTAAATTTTTGTAATTATTTTACATTTTTAGGATTTAGAAGAATCTAGATTTAGATCTAGATCTAGAATCCAAATCTAGACTCTAGATCTATGTTTTGAATGTTACAAAAATCATGTTTCATTCATGTATATCTAGATCAAGACTATCTGTTTTCAAACGATTGTATTAAAACTTTTCAGTAAAAAAAAAAATACTAGACTAGATCTAGCTACGTTTTCATCAGATGCAACCAAGGTCATTTAGATCTACTTTAATAAAGTCTTTATTAGCAGCAATCTTGTTTAAGTTTGTAAAAGTAAATCACAATTTCTTTATAAAATAAGAACCACAAGCCTAACACCACTTTTTTAAAGAAGATTCCATTATCGGACACCACTATAGAAATTCTCCAGATACAGTTTGATTGAATGGAATTAGGTAGGCCTACTGAGCTTTTTGATTGCCAGAGACAAATCTGTAGGGTTCTTTTGGCCTAGTTCTGCTAGGTAAAGTGGTGAAAACTCAATCCAGATCCGTTCATGCTAAGGCGTAAGGAATAAAAAATGTTTTTTTATGACTACCAATCTTGGATGAGGTACTAAATTGTTTTCAATTTTTTTCAGATTATCATACACTGACGAGTGAGTGAGGTTGGATGATAAGGAACTGACCACCACTCTCACCCATTATCTTGACATCATTGGCCGAGAATGCCCTACAATATACACCAAGAGGGTCAGGCCTTTTACACTGACAACTTCTACACCACCAGGAACTGTAACAGTAGCTCACCAAATCACAATCGTATTTATCCAGCCAGCTCTTCACCGAATTCTATGCTGGTGTCCCCCAGCTCGATACATCACAAAAACATGCCAGTCACATATCCTGGGTCTAACGATTTTGACATGCAACCTCTTGATCTTAGCGTCCGCTCAAACAGGGAGGAACCAATGGCCAAAAAACCTCGGACAGACGAACTAAGAACAAATTCTTCAGCTAGTTCTTATAACTACGAGAATAACTACAGGGGAGGTCGGATGTGTCCTTACCCACCACCTAGTCAGAACTTATCTAGATCACCTAATCCTCCAATGTCATCTTCCCCACATATACGATCAGAGTCGCCGTACTACAGCCACCATCATACGAGTCATGCCTATTACAATGGTAACAGCCAATCTAGTTCACTATCCATTAACGCTCCTCATAAATATGCAGCTGCAATTTCCAGCTCACCAATCCAATCAGAGTCTGGCATTGCCAGCAAAGTCATACCCGGTCATCCGTCATTATTCCGACCTTTCAATAGCCATACAGAAACAGACATGGAAATGTATGATTTACAACAGGGGCGAAATCCTTTTTATATCAGTAAATCGGAAAATAAGCCTGCCTACTTAGATATGGATTACTCTGTCCAGTTTCATAAAACCGCAGATAACTATCAAGACAAGCCTAAGCCATTTGTTCATTCTGTAGAGCATAAAGGTGAGGCTGAACACAGACAACATGCAAATCTTGTTCCTCTAAAAAATTCACATGTGGTGAAATGCGACTCGAAGGAAATCTCAGATGGTCAAACAGTAGCACACACAACTGGTAAGATCCAATGTAGTTCAGAAGATTCTCACTTTGGATACTTTTCTAGTGCTAAGAAAGGAACTAATCACAGGAGTGGTTATTTCAAGGACTTCACATCTGAAGATGCCCTGACCTCACCCACCTCTGCTCAGAGTGTCACCCCTGGGTCATCTGGCGCAAGCATTTCTGGGTCCTCTTCACCTAAGGAGCCAAAGCCTGGACAGCAGTTGTCAACCACACCCACCCCTGTCTTTCCACAAGTCACTGTGACTAATAAAGAGAATGCATGTAAAAATAAGAGCAAAAAATCTTTAATTCTGAGTAGGAGTGCAGGATATTTCACCAGCCCAGACTCTTCCTCTGCTGTTGTTGGTTCAGTCATAGACGCTGTTGTAGCTGAGAAGAACAAACTTAATGATAGGAACATTATCAAAATCACCTCCCCTGAAAACGTAAACAGTGAAGAGCGCAATAAAATAAGTCTTTTAGACTTCTGGATATCAAAAATTCTTATGGAGCGCAGTGAAGAATTACCAAAAAAATCATGCGGAGTGGATTATAAACTTGTAGATGGTCACTCTAAAATTCGTATTAGTCTAGTGGATCTCATAGAATTACAGGTGGAACAGAGTCTAAAAACCTAGTGTATTTGTCTGATTGATAGTTTTTAAAAGACTGATCTCTGTTCGTGATCATGAATAGCATCAACCCTTGATATTTTTTTTTCATTATTTATTTAGCTGTCTGATTATCAAAATTTTAAGTGGAAAAATTCAGTGCTTTATCTTCGTAATAGTGTAGACTATGACAATTAATTCTAATCTAATGGAAAGTAAAGATCTTAAAGAAATGGTTTGATGAAACTAAAACAACAGATCAGTGTGTAACGCCCATACATAATGCTTTCATTACACAACTTGTAAAGTATTTCGAAAATATTTTACTGTCAAAATGGCTTTGTCATTGTTTTTAATGGCAAACATACTTTTAAAACAATGATGAGGATATGATTGTAAAACATCTAAAGATGTTATTATAAAAAGTTGTCTTCACTGAATTCCGTCTTTGCATGCTTATTATTTTTCCAGAATCATCAAATGAAGCTTTAATTTCGATTTATTTAAATTCTAAAAATGGCTGTATGTAAATACATGAAGCTGTCCTGTTCCTCCATGACTGTGCCATATTACAACAGGTTCTCTCCTAAAAGTGATTTTTTTTTTGTTCTTATTATCTGTGGTATCAAGATAGGGTTATTACTTGCTGCTCAAGTTTTTAGCTTAGGTTCTGAAAAAGTTCGATTTTAACATAATATTTGGCAGTATTATAAATAAATATAATGGTGTTCTGATATATTGCAGCTTGTCATAATTAATTACTTTTGAGCAAATAGTAAATATATGTAACTTAATGACAAAAATAAAATAACATTTATAAGAATAGTTTATGTCGGTAAATGTTTTTATTATAGATTTAGAAAAAATGTTAATTTGACTATCATTCTTAAATAAGCTTTTTAAAAAGCATATTCAATATTCTTTACCATTTATAAAAGAAAATGTTAGCTTAATAATTTATCATGTAAAAAGTTAGAAGGGATACATCCAAGGAAAGGTGATATTAGATTAAATAAATAATTTAATAACTTGACAGCAAATATCAGTGTGATCTCAGGAGCTTTAGTTAGTGCTTCAGTCTGCACTGCCATTAAAAAAAAAATCCATCTTTTATTTTAATTTCTTTTTTGTTGTAAAAATCAAAACAATAATTTATGATACACGGTTTGCATGAAATATTCATCACTAAGCAGATATTATATTACAGTCATCTTAGCTGAGTTTCCATGAGTGTCAGTGTAGATCTCAAATATAAAAAAATAACCACAATCTTTGAGAAACTAACAGTTCAGTTCATATCTGTCTGATAGTTACATCTTTATTGGCATTTGTTCATTCAACTTTCAAGCAATACTTCTCCATTGCAAATACCATTATGAATTTACCACACAGCATTATGAAATATTCACTATTCAGCAAAGACTAATGGATTTTTCATGCATATACCGCCCTCCCACAATGTTTTGAGCTACTATATAAGAATGATTGTGTCAATAATGCAGCATTTAGGCTGTGCTGGGTAGTTGCACTATACGACACAAAGCTATTTCTTTTTTGTATTTCATACAAAAGTGGGTTATTTTTAAATGATAGTGTTTTCAATTGATATGAAAATATTCCATTGCATCTTGCATGGGCTTTCATAGGGAATCCCCAGTGTCAGTTCATCACTTATCTGTCAGTTTGTCTTCTTTGTTCTTTTCAAGTGAGGAACTTGATTGGCAGTTACCCTTGTGTCACCACTAATGGTCACTATTTGTCACCAATTATTTTCTCCAGTGTTCTAATCACCTGCCCCATTCTCACTCAAGCAGTCACATAGATCTTTTATTGCTTTTTCTACTTTAACCCTTTACAGTTCTATGTGTAATCAGATTTTTTTTTCTTTTTGCGTGGTACAGTCCTAAGAGCCCAAAAACGCATTCTGTCTTTGCTATTTTTTTTCCCGCTTTTAAGTTGGTAATAAAAAATTTATTGCATGGTAATTGTGTAAAAGTAATCCGTTTTTCTCAGTGAATTACAATAAATTACATTGTTTTAATTAATAACTGCACTTGGGTTTTTAATTAACTATTTAATGCAACAATTTTTAAAAAGATGATAAATTTCCTTTTACTTGGCTGCATGGCAAGGATAAAAATTAAGAGCCTGAACTGTAAAGGGTTAACCAATTTATTTCTTTATGTCTGAGTTTCTATTAGTCTGTAGTTTTTGCTGTGGCGGACTTGCGTAACTGAAACTCACATGCCGTCATTTATATCTTATGTGTGTTATACATACATTACTTTATAAACACTTATGTATTTGAAATAAACCATTTTTTTCATAATAAACATTCATCTATAAATGTTATTAAAATTTGTAATGAATTTTTTTTTATATATATATTTTGGTATCTTGGATAAGTATTTATATTAAAAAATAATGCTTATCACCTTGATAACTACCTGCAATTTTTAGGAAACTTGAGCAGTATTGTCTTTTTATTTTGTGGCATTTGATACAGATTGCCATCACGTGGATGCCAGTTTGCCATATTTTGTAAAATATCAACTTTGAAAAAATATGTATCTCCTGTTTATATGTACATATTTTATGCTTGGTTTCTGTACAATGGTTGACTCAGAAATTCTTTTTTAAAAAGATTTTTGTATTGACAATGTTTGTTTTAGACATGTTAGGTGCTGTTTTAATTAAACATTTGAAATGGAAAATTAAAAAACAAACTTTTTGGCCACTTAATTCAAAATTGTCATACTTCCTCATCTGCATTTCTGAAGTTTTGACCTACTAAGTTAAACAGTTTTATCAAAATTTCATGTGTTGGTTTTTCAAAACATTAAGATTTAAATTATTAAAATTCTTTTAAAAGTTTCTATCAAATGCTGCCATTTCCCATAAAACACCAGTGTACCAACACAATGTAGATTATGCTGTAGTACTAGTTTAGTAAAAAGAAGTATGCATTGTTTGATATTTTTTAAGAAAAAATAACTTCATTTATTTCTAATTAAAGGATGTTTTTTGGGGATCTTGAAAATACCTGGCTGTTTGATTGTGAAAAAAAATGTCAGAAGATGCACAAGTATCTCTGAATCGGTTAATTATAACTATTTAATTATTATTTAATTAAAGTTGATTATTAATAAGTTAATTATAATTAAAGCTAATTATAAAGGGTTTTCTGTAAATGATGCTTTCTTTTACCTTCTGTCACAGTAAGTCATACATTTTATCTGGAATATTAAGCTTGGCTAGTTCAAGATTTAAAAACTTATTTCATCAAATTTTTAAAAATTTAGCTAAAAAGTCCTTAACTCAACAACCCTCTTTTTTTGCACATGTAAGTGGATCATTCATAGATATATAACAGAGCTTCCAATGTTGATGACGTTATTTTGTTTTAATTTGTTGTCTTAAGTTTTATAAATCCCATTGAGATCTAGTTTAGGTACATCTGTAGGATTGCAATTACTTAACTTGCCTATAACTGGGAAGACTGTGTCATTGTTTAGACTGGCAGAAATGATGATGACACGTGCCTTGTCAATCACAGATCAAGTGTTGCGTCAATTTTGTTATTAAAATAATGAACAACAGATTTTAATATAATCTTGCAGGCTTTGTACACTATCGGTAATAGTTAAATGTAAGTTTACTGTATTTATAGTCTTGTTAATCTGTCAAACTTTTTAAATCTAACAATTTTATAGATTTTGTCAGCTAATAGTAACACTAATTTAATGTAATAACAGTGGGACACTTGTAGTAGCTATAGTATATGGCTGAGGAACTTTGCCCAGAAAAATCAAAGACATGCCTGAAACAACCTGGCCCCCGAACTGAAATTTGATAGGTAATGCAGCCCTCGGACTGAAAAGTTTGGAGACCCCTGATCTACATCATCAGAGGAATGTAGCTGAACCATGAATCTGTTAAGCTCTTTTTATAAAAGTCCTGAATTGTAATAGTGTAGAGCAGGTGTTCGTATAACAGGATGTAAACATCACCTTCACAGTGTGAAGTTTTAAAACAAGGTTTTAATAACCAGAAATCTAGCTAGCACTTTTTGTTTTGTTCCTCTCTACACCTGTGTTAAATCATGTAAAACCAATCCATCTAATGAAATTAAATGATTTGAGTTAAACTTGGTCACATGTCCACAGCTGTCTGTGTATGCTTGAAGATATTAGCAATAATTTGCCATATAATGTTTTATTTTAAATTCAGTTCAAAATATGTTCATACTGATTTGTATTGAAATGAAACGAATGGAGAGAAGTACAGTGAACATAAATCTCTTCTTATTTAAAAAAAAATGCTGTTTTATTTATATATTTTTGTTTGAAGTTGAAACCTGTTTTATTTGACTGCCGAATGTAACTAAATGTTGTTTAAATGTATATGTACATCACAGACATGAGCTGTGCTAGTTGAGTGATTCAGTGCTTTGCCACCCTCCTTCCAATAAAAGTGTATCTGTACTGGTAAAATAGTTTGTAGATAGCTACTCAGGTTTGATTTCACACACACACTTAAGCTGGTGCTTCACATTTGACTTCACTTGTGATAGGGTAGGGGAGAGTCGTGTCATCCATCTTTGTTTTATTTATTGCCCATACACTCTTGTATTTATTTCTTCTTACTCATTATCTCTGGCTAATTGGTTTGATAAACTATTGGTCAATAATTAATCATAAAATACAATTATTGCATTTTTTGAACATTGTCAAATTGTATGATGGACAATTAAATGATTTTAAAGAATGTTTTGCTGTTCTATTTTTATGCTTTGTGAATATGTGTAAAAGTCAACTCTGTGTGTGTGTAGGGGGGGGGTGTTAATGATAACATTTATTTCCCTTAGCTTAGCTATAATTACTCTAATCACAAAAACATTCAGAACAATTATTGAATTCTTAACAACCAAAAGCTAAGGCGTTTGAACACAGATAAAATACATTGTCATTCGTAAGTCAAAATCCTTCACTGATTAACACTTTTTTACAATGTTTATCTTGGAACACAACTTCAGTTTACAAGATCAGACAAATCGATTTTGATTACAATAAAAAAACAAAAAACAACTCGTGGCTATGTTAGTATTTAAAAAATGTAGGACCCGTCAAACGAATTGATCTTTTCGTTATTTAGTTCAGTTTCGTGACTAAAGTGACCTAGATAGTTTTTTTTTTAAGCTGGCGGCATGTGTTTTGTCAGATAAATCGAATCTTGAGCAGATAACGGCCACACCAGTAGGTTAGGTGCAGCTCAAATTAAAACAATAAAATAATATGCACTGGCTTGTAGTGTTTTTTTTTTCTTTAGTCTAGTTGGGGATGGAAATTTTCATTTTTTAACGGTGTGTGGAGCATGGAAAAACTGCAGGAAAACACGCGGGTGACCTAGAATCTAGGGAAATTTTCCACGGTGATGCACCCATACATGTTTGTCTGCTTTAAAGTAATAACATCCGGTTAAAGATGCTTTTCGCTATCTGGGGGTTTAGGAGGATCAATTGTTTTGATGCTAGTGTTTGGAAATAAGCCGGAATGGTTTTAATGTATGAGTATCAGTTGGGGAAAAAAACAGGGTGCGGTATTTTTTCCATTTTTGTGTGTGTTAAAATCTAGCAGAAACAAGTTTCTAGTTTGAATGTTGATTACATTAGTATTAGGGGCATTTATGCCTGGCAGAGGTCACAGAGGCGTTCATAGCTAGGGGAGGGCGGCCGACCCGGGCGCCAAACGGGATAGGAAAAACAAAACCCAGCATTTTGAGCTGTATTATCACAAAATTATACACAGTTGATGTAATGAACATAGGCTGATATTACAGACTTATGTAACTGTTCTTTATATTATATACGCTACACCAACATAAAAACGGTTTAGGAATAGATACTGGTTAAAGTTACTTCTAATTTGGGGGGGGGGGGGGTGCATTTTCGTCTACATATTTTACTAAAGGCTAAATGGTGTTCGAAAGAAATTTAGCAGCAGTGCTACAACGCGGATGAAATGAGTCGTCCACAAACACACGTCATCTCGCACACAGCAATATAAACAAACAAAAACAACACTCCTACACAACATCCTATAAACAACAGCGGTCACACAAGCGTCGTGTATAAAAACACACCTATATTTCTTATCTAAAAAAAAAGATAACATGCCTAGGGTCACATGCAGACCTAGACAGTCACGTGACTGATTGTGACCGATCTAGATTAGGCGACCAGCTAGTCTGCAGCAGTAGAAAAATACCTTACATCGTGATACACAGCAGGCCCCAAGTAAAACAAAAACACACCGAGCGGCTCACACAGTCGATAGCAGTAGAAAAGTAAAAGAAGTTCAGAGACCACTGACTTCTAGGCCTACACACTGTGATGAAACCTTAAGTAACCATTACAATGTAGAATGTAACTTTGATCTACGTTTAAAACAACATTAGTATTTTCTGTAAGGGTGGGGAAAAGTTGGGGTGGGAGAGCTTAAATAACCAAAGTCGCGTGTTAAATAAGTTACGCCTTTTGGCGAAGGCGTTGTCATCAGTTTCTTTCAGGCATCTCTTGAGGGGGACGGGACGTAGAACGCCTCCCCCCCCCCCCCGGAGTCTGGATGAAACTCTTGTTGTCCTGCCGCTTTCAATGCTCGAATAACCAAAACCTGTGCCAGTGTTAAACATAAACCCTAAATCGTTTGCCATGTAGATTGTGAACAGAGTTTCTTCCAGGCATCTCTTCGGGGGGGGGGGGGGGGGCAAAGCCCCCCCGAAATTTTTTTACCGCCCCCCCCCCCCCGAACGAAATGAAATTTATATAATTTATATTATAGAAAATATATACTTTTAACAGTGTCCGCCCCACCCCCCCCGAAGAAAGTTTACCGCCCCCCCCCCCCCCCCGAAGATTTCAAGTGGCCCCCCCCCCCCCCCCCCGGAGAAAAAAGTCTGGAAGAAACACTGATTGTGAAGAATCGGTTTCGGAAAAAAAAAATCTTTCCTGGGGCCGTTGCATGTAAAGTATCAATGGCGCCTTTGACTACATTATCACAAGGTCGATTCAAATTCTCCTAGCATTATCAGTTTTTACTTTCTCGTATATACGTAGTATAGAGAAAGTATTGTAATCGTGCAAAAAAAAAATCGAGATTTTTACAAATCTCGACGTTTTACACCTCACTGATACGGAAAAACATAATTTTGCAATGTTGTTCGTATGTCTGTGTGTTCGTGTGTGTGAATGTGTCTGTCCGTGTGTAAACACGATAACTTGAGTACCGTTACAGCTAGGTTGATGAAATTTCATATATAAGTATTTTATCAAAATCGTAGATCCGTATCAACTTTTGAGCGATTTCCGATAACCGGAAGTGGTACTTTTTCTACTTTGAATTTTTTAAAAGCCTATAACTTGAGTACTATTTCAGATAGATAAATGAAATTTCACATGTAAGTAAAAGATCTAATTCTCTACCTTCTGTAAAATTTTGAGTAATTTCCGTTGACTGGAAGTAGTAATTTACGCTACTTCCGATTTCTCAAAAAACTAATGTAAATTTTAAAAGTACTAATAATATTGCGCACTATTATGCGCTTTTTATATTTGCGTTTACTCGGTGTGCAATTAAATTGTCTTCGAGATTTTATTCTATTTTAAAAACTTTTAGTATTTAAAATGGATTAAAAATCATGTCTATAGCCCGAGTTCCCATCCCCTGTTATTTTATATAAAAATATTCGAGAAAGTTTAGGGGAGATCACTCCCGGTTTATTTTTATGAGGTTTTTATCTAAGTTTATAGTCATACACAGCGCTATAATAATGGGTTCTATTTCTGTCTCTTTATCGCTCGCTTACCGCAGAGGTATTCGCTTTACAACGTGTGTCCAGATTTCATCACCCGATATGCTAGTTTAAAAGGATAGGACGGCGTGATCGCACGGTAGAGCCAACCCGAAATTAACCCAACTCTGATGTAGTGAAAGTAGTGACAGATCTTGTTTTTTTATATTTGTCAATGCAAAGGAGTTGCGTGAATAATTTTGTATGAAGTTGTTATAATTATGGAAATATTTAAAAAAATAAAATGAAAAATACAGTAGACGCATCACTTTTCATTAATAATAAAAACTGTAAATTTTATAATGTTGCATTTATTTCCTTCAAAATACTTTATTTTAAAAAGAAAAAAAAACCCACCAGATTCTGCGTCTAAGGGAGGTAGCCAAGTTAATTGTGAATGTTGTTAAAATGTCAGTAAATAAAGAGTAGTGTTTCTTGATCGGTAAATTTTTTTTTACTTTCTCGTATATACGAAGTATAGAGAAAGTCTTGTAATCGTGCAAAAAAAAAAATCAAAAAAAAAATCGAGATTTTCACAAATCTCGACGTTTTACACCTCACTGATATGGAAAAACATAATTTTGCAATGTTGTTCGTATGTCTGTGTGTTCGTGTGTGTGAATGTGTGTCTGTGTTTAAACACGATAACTTGGGTACCGTTACAACTAGGTTGATGAAATTTCATATATAAGTATTTTATCAAAATCGTAGATCCGTTCCAACTTTTGAGCGATTTCCGATGACCGGAAGTGGTACTTTTTTTACTTTGAATTTTTCAAAAACCTGTAACTTGAGTACTATTTCAGATAGATAAATGAAATTTCACAAGTAAGTAAACGATCTAATTCTCTACCTTCTATCAAATTTTGAGTAATTTCCGTTGACCGGAAGTAGTAATTTACGCTATTTCCAATTTCTAAAAAAACGCATGTAAATTTATAAAGTACTAATAATATTATTGCGCACTATTATGCACATCTTTATTTGGCGTTCGATTGGTGTGCAATTCTTTTTCCACGAGATTTTATTCTATTTTAAAAAGTTGAAGTATTTAAAATGGATTAAAAATCATGTCTATATCCCGAGTTCCCATCCCCTGTTGTTTTATATAAGAATATTCGAGAAAGTTTAGGGGAGATCACTCCCGGTTTATTTTTTACTGCCATTTTCTCTTCAATCTATTAAGGGATATAACCAGACAGAGATGATTTCGCCCAAAAATATTGGGTATTTTCCCTTTGTACGGAACTTTGTAATCAATTTACTTACCATTGAAAGTGCCAATTCCGATCAATGTTAGATTCATTAATAGATTTTGGTTAAAAATGACAAAAAAGTATTATTAAAATTAAAAAGATCTTGCTAAATTTCAGGTTAAAAATATCTTTTAAAAAAAAATGCTAGAATTGACATCACACTTTTTAAACCCCTCTCCACCCCTGGTCCCCAAAATCCAACTCCAACTCACAGGTCACTAAGGTGACTCGTTTTGACCTCATCTATGGAGGATCCCTTAAATTATATTTCAATTGAATTAGACCTAGATCTATGTGAACTTAAAAAAAAAAAAGCACTCACCTCCACTGCAGGTGCGTACCGCCACTGCTATCAGTATTCAAATTTATACAAAAAACGGTTACAATTGTAGGCACGAAGGCCTTTTTTCACATTGGCCGTTTAAACAAATAAAACAATTCAATAACACATAGCAGTAACATAGCACTAAATAAAAATGTGGAATAAAGAAATAATGTTATAATACAAAATGAGATAAAAAAGAGAATATAATAGATGAATGAGAAATGTTACAATGAGTCAGTTAGAGAGGTCATTAAATAATTGTAGTTTTAGTTTAGATTTGAATATATTTTCAGATCTGGATAGCTTTATTTTATTAGGAAGATTGTTCCACAAATTATCACTATCACAATTGCCAGATGTGTTTATTACTCTTTACGCCGATATTTCGGAGTAAAAAAATATAGATTTTTCTATATTAGATCTGTGTAATGTGAAACAGGAAAATCCATTTAATTTTGTAATGTAAGTGTATTAACTCATTAACTCAATGCTTTGTTGTGTGATTATGCCAGACTTGTTATGTCCTATTAGCGCGTTTATAATCGGTTTTGAATTTGTAGTCAGCGAAGGTTCTGTTTATGTATGACAATATTTAAGATACTGTTTTCTAACTAAATTTTTTTATTTAATGCCGTCAAAGTATGAATAATGAACTAGATCTAGGCATATTTGTCTGCAGTAGGCCTAATCAAACATTCATTTTTTTGACAACCCTTAGGCTAATGAGTCAAGATTATGTCATAATAATTCAGCTTAAAACATAACAATACAATAGTTATCAATAGATCTGCTAAAATAAATATATAGGTAATTTCGTACAACCTATACTATTGATTATAGATCTAGACCTATTTAAAATTCTGGGCTTTTGAGGCCTGGTTATTTATGTAACACGTCTATATATAGACTTATATCTGGTATTTGCAAAAAAAAAAAATCTGGCCGATGTAGTTTCATGAAAAAAATGAATGGTTAGGCTGGACACTGTGACATTTAAAATTTAAAAGATAGATTCTATCAACAAAACAGCCGTCAGTTTAATTAAACAAATTATCAGTTAACCAAGGTGTATACTCTAGATCTAGATCTAGATAATAACTAGCCTTAATAATTAATAAATTAAAATTAGTTTTACAATTTACAAGATGAGTTCTACTCATCATCATATTATTTAAATGTAACACGTCTATATATATAGTCTTATAGTATATAGACTTAGATCTATATCTGGTATTTGCAAAAAAAAAAATCTGGCCGATGTAGTTTCATGAAAAAAATGAATGGTTAGGCTGGACACTGTGACATTTAAAATTTAAAAGATAGATTCTATCAACAAAACAGCCGTCAGTTTAATTAAACAAATTATCAGTTAACCAAGGTGTATACTCTAGATCTAGATCTAGATAATAACTAGCCTTAATAATTAATAAATTAAAATTAGTTTTACAATTTACAAGATGAGTTCTACTCATCATCATATTATTTAAATATTTAATATTTATTATTGAAATTGTTATTGTAGATTTAACTAATAACTACACTAGATATAGAGGTCTAGATCTAGTCTAGATTAGATCTAGATCTAGAGATGTAGATCTAGAAATCTAGTCTAGATCTAGAGATCTACTCACTAGTAGAAATCTAGTAGATTCTAGATCTACTTGATCTATTCTTATTCTAGTATCTACTAGATCTAGTTGTCCCAAAAGCCCAGATAAATAAGCGCTATAAAATAAATAACTAAGAGACTACTACTAAGGGCGACTAATTTTTTTTTAGGCCTAGTCACATTGACATACATAGATCTAGTCTTCAGTAAAACCTTAGTTTAGTGTCGTAAATTTGGCCAAAACTAGAATCTAGTAGAATCTCTAGTAGTAATGTATATTTTCATATATTTTAATAAAATATTATAGATAATTTCAAATTAATTTGGTAAGCTATTGTTTAACTTAGCTACGTAAAATCAGCCGAGGCTAGTAATGTGAAAAAAAAGGTGACTCATTAAATATGAGTAATTATTTCACATTTTTAGGAGGAGTTATTTTTTTAAACTTACAAAATGTTTCAAAGTTTCATTAATGTACCTGCTTTTAAACAATGGTATTAAAAATTTTCAGTAATAAATAAAGACTTGCGATATTTTCCTCAGATAAAAACCAAGCTTATTTACTTTAGCAGCCATCTTGTTTAAGTTTTTTTTGGTAAAATTATAGTTAGAGATTCAGGGGAAACCACTCCAACTTACAGATGGCTGCTGTCTATATAGCAAATCTTGCTCGCAAACACTGATGTTTAAAGTTTATTTCTGGCCTATATTGATTTTGGCTTATTATTCAGTTATCTATAATATTTGACACAAATATATCACAATATACTTTTATTGAAGCCTTAACAGTGAGGCAACTTTTTCTCACATTACTAACCTAGGCCATTTTACGCACCTAAGACCATAGATTACCAATATCTAGATCTATAGTTCTAAGTCCTATACTGCTTTACAAATGTTTTTTTTTTTGTTTGCTTTGATTGTTTTAATTTTAACTTGTAAATTTAAATAGAATGACATACAACAGTTATCAATGTTTCTCTAATGTGGTTCTTTTTCTGCTAGATTAGGGAACATAATGAGTGGGGCCCAGCTGTCATTTGATGACCATCCAGCTATTGTCCTTGACAGTGGGTCTGGCACTTGTCGGGCAGGGTTAGCTGGGGATGAGACCCCCTCTTCCTTGTTCCCCAGCATTGTAGGGCGGCGAAAATTCCTGCTTGGTAAAAGTCTTGTTTTACTTTGATTTGTAAAAGATTTCCTCATGATACAATAAATAGTTGTAATTTGAAATAGTTAAAAATCTAGACGGCTGTTTACTATTCCAGATAGTTGAACTATTATCAAAAAGTTAGGATTTTATGGAAATTTGAATGCTTTACAAGTTTAGTTGAGAGCAATATTGTAAAAAAAAAATTTTGTTAAAAAGTTTTTCTGTATTTACTACCCTTATTGCGCTTTGTTTTGTAATCGATTGACATTTACTTATTATAGAATTTTTTTTAGTATAGATTAGTCCATGTTGAGAGAACACAATACTAATGTCAAAGAGTATTGATGTAATTATTGACTTACTATGCTCTTACATGATTGTTTATTCAAACTTATTTAAACATTTTTGAAAAATGCAGTTAGTTGTATTTTTTTTACTGATTGTAGTTTGCTGTACCGGATTATTTTATCAGATTATTATCTAAAATTATATAGTTGTTTTAAAAAATATATCAAGATTATTGTTATTAGCTATTGTAATAAATTATTACAATAATTTTTTAAAAAGAGTCTATAGATGAGGCTTATGTTGGGACTGATGCCCAACAGAGAAGAGAACTGCTTCACCTGAGCTACCCCATAGAGCATGGCATTGTGGTCAACTGGGAGGACATGGAGAAGATCTGGGACCACACGTTCTTCTCTGACCTCAAGCTGTCACCTGAGGAACACCCAATCCTCACCAGTGAACCACCACTCAACCCAAAGGGAAACAGAGAGAAAACGGCGCAGGTTGTACTTTTTTACACCCAGACCTATAACGATACTGGTATTTTCTCCAACTGTATGTGGTATACAAATAAAAAGCTTTAAAAGGCGTAGTCAAAACAATAATATTCAAATAAAATATACTTTTTTTTTTTACTTAATAAAAAGTGATAGATAATCTGACTTAAACAGAGGGGCATCTATATCTTTATTTATCAAGTTTGTGAGTTATTTTGAAAGTTCTGATGAAGATGGTATGTGTAAAATTCCCCACCCGTGTATTTACTGGTCAACAATTTTTTTTATCTAGTCAGAAAATAAAATTACTACAAGTATTTAGATGCATAAATTGATAATAAAGATGATAATAGATTACGAATAATTTTTTTTTAACCAGTTTCAAAGTTTCAGTATCAAAGTAATCTGTAATTTTTTAGATGGCACAATGGTGGTTTTTAGCTACTGTTAAAAAAATAACTAGCTATATTTTTTAAAAACTATTGTGTATTTTTCTTTGCCTTTGTATGTGTGCATTGTTTTTACGAGAAGTATCTGTCTTGGTCCAGGTATTGTTTGAAACCTACAAAACCCCAGCAGCTTTTGTAGCGCTGCAACCCATGCTAGCCAAGCACGCCACAGGCCTACACCAAGGCCTGATGTTGTCTGTGGGGGACGGCTGCTTGCACTGTGTCCCCATCTTCATGGGTCAAGTCCAGTTCCAAGCTATCAGACGGATTGATTTTGCCGGGCGTGATCTGACCCTGTACCTGCAGCGCCTGCTGTTTCGACGCGGATACAGTTTCACGACGAATGCAGAACTTGATATTGTCAGGGATATGAAAGAGCAGCTTTGTTTTGTAGTCGATAGTGACAGTGCTGACATGTCTATAGCCTCGCTAAAACAAACATACACACTTCCAGATGGTTCTACTGTAAAATTAGATCACGAACGCTATCTATGTTCGGAGTTGTTGTTTAAGCCTGATGGAGAATTCCACACTGGCAAAGGCCTGGTTGACCTTATTGTTGATTCTGTGAATGACTGTAATGTTGAGGCAAGGAAAGACATGTATCATATGATCTCCCTGTCAGGGGGGACAACTCTGCTTCCTGGATTCAAAGAACGCTTGAGGAAAGAGTTGAGGGCTCTACCCCCTAAGAAGTACCCTGGGATGAATATCTGGAACGCTCCAGAGAGACAGTTCCACGTCTGGATTGGGGGCTCTATTACAGCTTCTCTAAGGTCAATGGAACATGCATGGGTGAGCAGGCAAGACTATGATGAGTATGGGCCACATATTGTCAATATCAGGTGCTATGGAGAATAGCATTTGAGCAGGCAAGACTATGATGAATATAGGCCTCATATCGTCAATATCAGGTGCTATGTAAAAAAGAGCATTTGAACACGATAGCATAAACAGGCCAGATTTTGATGAGTATGGGCCTCATATCGTCAATATCAGGTGCTATGGAGAATAGCATTTTAACATGCATGAGTGAGCAGGCAAGGCCATGATGAATATGGACAAGACAACAAGGACAACCCTCATGATGTCAACAGCAGGTGTGACAAGGGACAGTGTGCTAGACAGATATGTGCTGGGTAAAACTTAGGTTGATATTAGATGTTCTCCAGTGACCTGGCACATCATGTCCATTGCCTCATTGTCAGTACATTCACTGTTAAACTGACCCAAAATGTTCGTGTCTAAGACTTGTTAATGTGTAAAATTCAAGTGTTAACTTTACTCCTTGTTAATTTAACTGGTGATAATTTTTATGTTTATGATAACCAAGCTATTTCCAAGGCAGCTTGATTTTGTTATACTATATTTATCATTAAATTTATTTTGTGTACTGGATTAATAATAAAAATAAATGTTGAAGAGTTCGAATAAAATTGTGGATATGTAAAAGTTGTAAATATTGTGTACAGTGTAAAATTGTTTTATTTTTAATAAAGACATTGCATTTTTAATCTTGAATGAACATTTTTTTTTGGCATTAGCATTTTCTAAATTTCAGTTATGGATTTTGTATGAAACTTCAATAATTTCTGTCTTAAAAATATTGTTTTTTAACTGGTTTAATTGTTATCCCATTATTGTGCCAGATACCTTGAACTGTTGACCTTTAATGCCAATGTTTTTTAATAGAAATTTTAAGAACTAATAAAACATAGTAAAAAATTAATATTAAGCTTTAAAATGCACAGAAAATGAGAAATTAAAGATAACTAAAATCTCTGACTTATTTTTAAACGCCCAACAACAAAAAAAGAGGATCCAAATTTGAGTTCAGGATTTTTGCTCAAAACTACCCTACCACAGGGGGACATTGTGATACAAGTAGAACGTTTGCGTTATTAATATAAAAAAATAATTTAATGCGTTTTCAAACTACACCAAAATTATATTTATAGTTCGTTAGTTACCTGCACTAAATAAATTTATAAATAAATTTTTGTGAGGTATTTTATTTTGTCAATAGCCAGAGGCTTTGAATTCAAACCTACCTGACAGTTTTAATAAATCTTGATCTTATTTGGTCAATGCTTAGATGCTTAAATTATAACACTTGACCTGACAGTTTTAATAAATCTTGATCTTATTTGGTCAATGCTTAGATGCTTTAATTATAACCCTTGACCTGACAGTTAATTATCTTATTTGGTCAATGCTTAGATGCTTAAATTATAACCCTTGACCTGACAGTTTTAATAAATCTTGATTTTTATTTGGTCAATGCTTAGATGCTTAAATTATAACACTTGACCTGACAGTTTTAATAAATCTTGATCTTATTTGGTCAATGCTTAGATGCTTAAATTATAACCCTTGACCTGACAGTTTTAATAAATCTTGATTTTTATTTGGTCAATGCTTAGATGCTTTAATTATAACCCTTGACCTGACAGTTAATTACCTATTTTGGTCAGTGCTTAGATGCTTAAATTATAACCCTTGACCTGACAGTTAAAATGAATTTTTACTCTGGACCCCAGGTGTTGTTTGAGACGTACAAAGCCCCTGCCATCTTCATGGCATACCAGCCTGTCCTCAGTCTGTTGGCATCGTTCCAGTACCAGGGCATTGTCGTCAGTGTTGGGGACGGGGTCTCGTATGTGGTGCCCCTATGCGAGTCTGAGACCCAGCTTCACAGTGTCCGCAGGGTCGACCTAGGCGGCAGGGACCTGACGCTACAGCTGCAGCAGCTCCTGTACAAGAGAGGCTACAGCTTCACCTCCAGCTGCGAGTTGGACATTGTCAGAGACATGAAAGAAAAACTTTGTTTCGTTGCTCGGGATAGGAGTCATTTTAAAAAACTGTCCACGCCAATGGCGTCTAAATGTGAAGGGTCGTACAAGTTACCGGATGGTTCTGTAATCAAGTTGGACCACGAGCGGTATATGTGCCCGGAGATGATATTCGAACCTGAAGATGATTCCCAGGAGTTTAAAGGATTGTCTGGTTTGATTGAAGATTCTATCAACAGTTTGGACATCAGTTGCAGGAAGGATATGTACATGTGTGTGATTGTGTCCGGGGGTACCACCTTTCTGCCTGGGTTTACAGAACGTTTGCAGAAAGAGCTTCTGTGCGCCTCCCCCCCTGGTGTCCACCACGTCAAACTGTGTGCGCGGCCAGAGAGGGGTCACTATGAGTGGCTGGGTGGGTCCATCATGGCCTCCCTCTCCACGTATCAACAAGTGTTCATATCGAAGAAAGAATACGAGGAAGTAGGTCCTAGTCTTGTTAGTCGAAAACATTTTTACTGATTTACCTCACTATTAAGCTTACAGTACAGTTCTAATCTACTACTACTAGTCATTGTTTTTATTTTTTTGTTAATTTCTGCCAGTTAAGCTTACAGTTCTGTGAATGGTACAAAAAATCCTGGCCATTTGTTGTTTACAGGTCCTATAGTTTATTTGACTACACTTTATAAGTGTACCTAGAAGTATTATCTCAAGCATGTATAAATTTACTGAGCTCTTAAACCAAAACCTACCTGTATTTTCTCAAATGTTTATAACTTGAGCATTAGGCCCAGATTAGTTCTAATTGATATGTATGATGTAGAGCTGTTGATAACTAAAGTATTAACTACTTTTCCACTGTGGTGTATTCAGGCTACACTGATCCCTGTCTACAAAACTGGAACACTTTCCTGTGTACAGTCGCCTACACATTCCTATGTCAGATATGACTCCACACATTGTTCTGTAGAGCTGTGACAACACATCCTGTACTATGTACCATGTACATCTTACAGATGATCCACTTCAAACATTCCCTTTTTCCCCTTTGTGCCCAAAATGGATCCGGCAGATGAAGTAGAGTTTATCTGTTTCAATGAAATCTGTGTATAGTGGGATAGTGTGTTCAGGCAATATCCCATCCACCTTAGTCTCCCTAAACGTATGTTCGAGCTGGACTCAGGGATGTCTCAAAGACTTGAGTCCGGGATCCGAACTCGAGACATTCAGGTTAGCACTCATAAGCACAACTATCCGACCATGCCAACCCCTTACTAAGCTCAATTTGATACAAATTTCTAGAGATGTGTCAACTGGTTATTTGACTTGCCACACTTTTTCCATTGCATAAATTAAATTTTAATTATGTTTAATTTTTGGGACAAAATACCTCACTAGCTTGAAAACAAAACAGATGTTTCTATTTGAAAGAGATGCTTTAATATTTTAAATGTGAGTCATAGTGTATAAATCTTAGCTTTGTGAAAAAAGTTCTGTGATACTCAATTGTAAAAAATGCCCAGTGGTCAGTTGATTAGATGTTGATAGCTGTGTGTTCAGTATATAGTTTTGTCCACTTTTTGTCATAATGCTTAGAAATTTTGAAAGTTGAAATATAGAGAAATAAATTATATTGAATTATATGTAGTAAACATTTTTAAAATAGACTATTAGGATCAGAATGAAGTGGAATGAGTGCATCTTTTTAGTCTTCATTAAAATTCCAATGTAATTTATTTACTTTGGGAAAAATACACGAGCTTTAATTTAATTCTAGTCAAGGTTTTTATTAAAACAATTCTAGTTTGATCTGAAACGGTAGATAACCTATACCTTATTTTAAAAAATAATAATTTGTGGGTGTCTTCCCTTGTTAGCTCAAGCATAGAAATGTGGACTAGAAGAGACATTCTTTTATCAGCTTTTATAAAGCCAATGTCATGATATTACTACAGATTGCAGGTTTATCTTTTAAGAATGTAACATTTAAACCATTGCTGCTGGGACTTAGTATTACTGTTATTACTTTAAGCCATTTATGTACTTTCTTTAATCAATCAGTAGTCTAATGATGTATGTTTGTTACATTTGTTTTTATTGCAGTCAATGTTAGTAAACTTATGGTTGTGAATGAACTGTTTAAACTTACATTCATTCATTTACAGATTTTATTCTTGTAATACTACAGTAACAGAAAATATTTGTCCAAAGCTTGACTTCAGTATTAAAAAATAAAACGATGTGTTCTTGTTGTGTGCCGGTATCTCATCATACTTTGGCTATTGGTAGTATATATATATTTTTATAATGAGTAACTTGAAGAACTTGCCTAATTACAAATGTTTGTTCACCACCATTCTTAATGTAAGTGAAATAAGTAAATGTCGCACTCAAACCTGACTGTCTATGGGGCAAGTGAAGTAGAGTTCACCTGTTTCTGTGACCTCGGCTAATGAATGGATAGTTTGGCCTTTACTTTCTCTAACATGAGTTAGGTACCCATCAGAGCTGGGTGGGTTCAAGGATGCTCTACTGATTTGAACCCGGATTCGAACTCGAGACTTTCTCGGTCCATATGTGAAATAAAGTCGTTACAAATCATTTGGTTGTTGTTGAAGTGTTACCACAAGAGGCAGTGGAGCTTACAACAGGAAGAAATCCTCTAGACCCCATGAATTTACAGTCGCTTCCCAAACTAAAACAAATGGAAGTAATTATAGACCTGAGTTATAGACCCTGTAGAAACATTTTTGAGAACATCCGCACTATTGTAACAGTACGAACAACAGGTGCTGACTGGCAGTAACCAAGTATATTGCATTGGCAAGGTGTTACAAGCGACTCCTGCAGGAACACGGTCATCAGGTGTTAACTGACAGTAGCTAGGTAGGCTAAATTAGCAAGGTGTTACAAACTTCTGTAAAAACACGGTCACTAGTATTTAGTTGACTGACAATTTACCGGTCATACGTCCTTAGATCCAGTGGCGTAGGGAGGGGGGGGGGGGTGCGGACCGCACCGGGTGACACCATTTAGGGGGGGTGGGGGTGACACCAAGCCAAAAAATAGCAAAATATATAGAAAAATGATAATTCCACTAAATTAAGTGATTAATTCGAGTGTTAAATAGTCTTTTTAAGAGGTGCAAACGGAAAGTTTGAAGGGGGGTGCAAATCGAAAGTTTGAAGGGGCGTGGGATGCAAATCGAAAATTGAAAGTTTGTCCCCGGGAAGGGTCGATACGCCTCTGGGGGGTGACACCATTAAGTGCTGCACCCGACCTCGCTACGCCACTGCTTAGATCTCAACCCGTCTCTCATTTCTTTACATCAGTTGCATAAGGACGAGGAGGGGGAGTTAGTGACCCCCTCTACTCGCCACCCCATTTCCCATCATGTACTTTTATAACAGCTGTATTTCGTTAGTAAGAACACAGGTGGTGGTACATTTATGTTAAAAAACAAATGAGATCGGAATGTAAACATACCGTTCCTACAGCAAAAGCCTCGCTACGCCACAGTTCAATAATATACTCAACTGAGGCATAAATAAATGATTGTGGGAAAAATCGGGCTACTATATTATAATGATCAAAATATTTCTATAGATGATTCTAAGATTTTTAGAACATTAGCATTACACAATGATATTAAATTTTTGCCAAGCGGTTTCTTACAAAATAGCTCACACCTGCCTCGCTACAATCGATTATAGTTAATTATCGTATGTCCTTTAAACTACTTACTGTTAGCTAAACATAGAGAAAAAAAGTTCACAAAAATCGAACCATCAGCATAGAATATAGGTTAGCGTTTTCTGTGAGTTAATTAATTAATCTTCATTACAGAACGGTCACTGCAGCACGCACAAGGTGTCCAGTCAGCTACCAGTATGTTACGGTAAGTAATTATATACTATATATATATGTAATATAGCCTACATATGTTATATATATATATATAGGCCTATATATACATAATATATATGTCTCTCTCTCTCTCTCTCTCTATCTCTCTCTCTCCAGCCGATCAAACACTATTTTCTATGAAAGACTCAATGAAATTTTCAATGACAGAGTCAATGATAACTACCGCTCTCCTGTATTTTTCTCTTAAGAAACTCAATGATAAAGCGTTAGTAGTTATAAAGAGAGAGAGAGTTTATCAAAACGGAAATAATTCAACTCGTTTAATTAATAAAGCGTTAAACGTAATTATTAATTCTTAATTTCTCAGCGATTGATACAATTGTTTAGGGACAGTTAAACTATTTTTTTAAAATATAGATCCTCGATCTTCATTTATAATTTATTAATTAAAATAAGATTTTTAAAAATAATTAAAACAGGTCTTTGTACTATATTATTAAAAAAAAAACTAATGAATATAATAAATAATTTTGACTATTTCTCATTCTAAACCTATCGAATATCTTTTTTTTTTTAAATGCAAGGTAATCTTTTATAGAACCTACATGTTTAACTTTTCTTCTAATAATAAAAAAAACTCTAAATAAAAACTATAATTCCTACAAATATTAGAGTAGTCTCCCTTGACAGTTTCTATTCGAATGTATTTTGTGTTAATTTTCGTTATGAAATACAGTTGACTTTTTAAATAAATTATATAAGAAAACAATCTATCTCTGTGTATATTTATTTTTAAAAAAATTTATTACAATAATTAGAATAGGTGTTACTGGTTAAATAGCAATTATTCTCATTCTAAATCTTTGGCTATCGAGTTTCATGGGTTTTTAAATTTAAGATTATGAACACATTGGCTTGACGAAAATGATTATATACACTTAAATACATACTAAAATTTACTTTTGTTAATAAACCTACACTATTTTATGCACACATACAAAAAAGAATATTTTAGCGGCAGTTACAACGTCAAAAAAAAAAAAGGAAACTCCTTTATACTGAATAGTTCTACGTAACAACAAAAATGTAAAAATACATAGTCCTAGAGCACACTAACACATACATATATACATACGAAGATATGTGTGTGTGTGTGTGTAAGTAGGATGTGAGGTGTGTAGACAGGCGGGGTGGAAGGAAAGCAGTTTGGCAGGAATAACGGTAGGTAGGAAAGTAGGTAGGCAGACAGCAGCGCAGGCAGGTTAGTAGATAGGTAGGTACGTAGGCAGGGAGTTAGGTATGTAGGTAGGTGGGCGTAGGTAGGAAGGCGCCTCACTCGGTATAGTGAGCGATTATAGTAGCTCATCATATTCATAGCGTTTCGCAATTATTAAAACGAACAAAGGTACCATAGTACTCACGGGAAAACCCGGGGAGCTAAATGGAACCCTGCCAGGGCGCCACCAAATCGAATTTTTTTCGTAGAAACCACCACAGGGGTATTAGCATTAACTTCTCAAATTTGAATGACAAACGAATGAAATCTTTGATAATGCTTAAACAAACAAACCCACATATTCGTTTTTGGGGCGCGGGTTTGTCCACACTGCCGCCTAGACGCACCAAGGCTCACTGTATGAAAGCCTTGAGTGTACGTTAATCAACCTCTGTAATAGTGAGGTAGAACACACATTGGCGACCGCCCATGTGTTAGAGACGCGTCCCTTGGCGCTCCAGGGAGCCACTGGTTATATTTCCGCAGGGGCGCCCCTAATTCGGTTTAATTATAAAATGTCGTGTGCCACCGTGTCCCTATTGTAGGGTGCTCTTTAAGGAGGCACTCTCTGTAGAGCCAGGGGCGCTCGCTGTCGCCAACTGCCGGGGCGCTCGCTGTCGCCAACTGCCAGGGCGCCGGCGGGCGCTCATTATTCTACTTAGTGAACATTTATAGTAGCCCATCTAAACCGTAGGGTCGCCCGAGATGGGTCGTGGCCGCTCTGGGCCACTCAACCGCCGGGGAGCTGGCGGATGAACCTGGTGTAGTTTTATCACTGAATCTCAGAGGCGTAGCACCATTCCTGGCGCCTGGGGACAAATTTTCAATTTGGCGCCCCCCCCCCCTCCCGCCGGAGACAAACTTTCAATTTGGCGCCCCCCCCCCCCCCGTATTTTTTAAATATTTATAATGCAAAACTATAGCTAAAATGAGCTTTTAAATTTTTCCAACCATTTTGGCGCCCCTAGGGTTGGCTCCCGGGGACATATGTACCCCCCGCCCCCCTCGCTGCGCCTCTGCTGAATCTAGTATTACCTATGACCGCAATTGATGAGATAGCCCCTCTGGATTCCCCTCTGGATTCTGAGCTCATAATCGTATAATTAGAAAAATCGAACCCTCCCAGGGTGCCACACTTAAGAATTTTTTTCTTTCTCGAAACCCTTTTCACCAACTACCCAAAATTTTATGACTCTCGTACGAACAGTGTCAAATTGCATCTGGCTTTTATTTTTATGGAGAAAAATTGCATTGCTTCCTGTCAGAGACCCCAGATCGAATGGGGCGCCAAAAGGGGTAGACAATTTTTTAAAAAATCCTCATTCTTCAGTAAAATTTAAGAAAACAGAATTATACATGGCTGATATCCTCAATTATTTTATATAGGGGAGTGTATGTAGGGATGGGCGCCTTTTTGCCAGCGTTTGAATAGGGTTGGCACATAATTGATAGTTCGCCACGGGCGCCGGAATAGGTTGCTACGCTTCTGCTTCCTGCTAGGGTGCCGTCCTGGCGAAATCTTTCGGGGGGGGGGGCGTGCGGACACTGTTAAAATTTTTTTTTTCTATATAAATTCCGTTTCGTTCGGGGGTGGGGGGGGGGTCGGTAGACTTTCTTCGGGGGGTGGGGGGGGGGCTCTGCTTTCCCCCCCCCCCCCTCCGAATAGATTCCTGGAAAAACCTCTGTTCACATAGTTTTATGGCGATCCGATGAAAAAGATGTAGTAATTCATATAGGACAAACAGATAACTACATACTTTCATTTCTATAAAAATAAATAGATATATAGGGCCTACTTTAACTAGTGTCCGCATACCCGCACCCGGAAACTTAGTCACAATTTTCTTTGTTACATTTGAACCCTTTAGGTTAATCAATATTAACAAAATTGAACAAGATGCAACAAATACAGTTAACCAAGAAATTGAAAAAATAAAATTCACGTTATCTTTTTTATTGTTTTTAGATATAGAGTAGTAACAGACTACCTACAGGTCCTAACTCGCGACGAGGTACACATTTGTATTAAAACACACATCTAAGACATTTTCCATTTAGGTGGGTTTTGCAGTACAGTGGTTTCTTAAGTCGTGGACAAGTGATTGCGCTTATCTCTGTTGAGTAGCTATGTATTCTGTCCTATATTAGACACATTTGTAAATATCTGTCACAATATGGGAATAGAGATGATATAACGATAGCTTATCTTTGCGGACGACGCTAAACTTTGGCATCGACACCACGGCCTACAAGTTCAAATTCGGTCCTTCAGAAATGTTTGAAGTCTCTAGATTAAAACTACTTTTCTCTTTTATGTGCCTACTGACCACATCACATGCATTTGTTCTGAAAGTCTAAAAACAGAGGCACAAATATATCGTCTAGACTTGTGAGGTCTACAGATTAGGTATTTTGGCAGTTATCTAAGCCCTTGCCTGTTCTGACTCAAAGCCTTATTCTTTCTCTATCGACGCCTTGCGTAACATGGGATTGGGTTTTTAAGGCGGCATAAAGCTTTATGTTGTTCCTTTTTGAGTACACTAGATTAAAAACTAACGTTTTCAGATGCCTAAAGATGTTTAACCACTAATTAATCAGAATAATGGGTCAAGATTTCAATTCTTGGTTTTGGGACACGTTAGTTGCCGGGGTTGAGCTAATGTCGATAGCATAAGGACTGTACCTTGATGCGGGCGTTTTATTTGTTGCCCGTCGTAATAATTGAATGGTTGATGGGGCTTCTTCAAGGGTTTGATTTGCCGTAATGTTAATGATATCATGTATGTGCGGCTTTTCTAAGAAGAAAATGCGTTTAAACACTTTTTAGTTATGCTTTTTTTAAATAGGCCTATATTTTACGACATTATAATCGTAATGAACAATAAAATGAATTTAAACAACTTTAGAATACACCTGTTTCGGCTAACATGAATGTTATTCTTCAAACTAGTAATGTTAAACGTGTCTTTTTCGCATTTTCGACTTATAAGCAATACAGTAAATTCCGATAACGTCCATATGCATACAAGCAATGGCGTAGGCGAGGAGGGGTTTAATAGTGATTTAATAATGATACTTTCTTAACCCTCTACTGGACATCATGTTTGGTACCTTGCCCCCGGCAACTGGGTGGATTTGGATTACACCCAAGTTTTACTTCATAGTAAATGGCTTCAGTTTTAATTATTGGAGTTGGTAGCAACATTGACACAGTTGAAGGTATTCAGAACAAGGTGGCCAGGAGAAATCACATTAATTAGTATAAAATTTACCATTACTAACAATAGGCCCTACTTAATTGTTTAATGTTGCTGGATATTAAGCCTGGTAGGTATTTATGTTTATTAATTTGTACAGAAACAAAAAAAGGATTCCCAAACAAAGTTTTATTTTTCAGAAATAAAGAAAATGATACAAATCAATAAAGAACAGTTTTCAAAAGAATTTGTATAAAAGTAATTATTATAAAATAAGAATATAGCATTGCATAGATAAAAATAAAATACTTGACACAAACAATATGAGGAATATTTTTTATCAGAGAAGAGAAAAATATATGATGTAGTTTGAAAATAATAATGTACAGAATGTAGCTTTTGCAAATTAAAATGAAAATTCTCATGCCTATATAATTTATTGAGTAAATGAAGCAAGGCCCAAAACAATAGGCTAAATAATATGCATGGGACAGGCATTGAATTCTACAAATTGCATATAGTGAAGGTTACCCTATTTATTGGCTATATCCACAGTAAAGATTTATGGCTTTATTACCTGCTTGTAAAATTGTTAAGGAAAAAGTAAAGTATTGTTAACTTTTTATGGCAGACCAACTACGGCTGTGTTCTGGGAACATGTCATCTGTAAGGGGCATTGTTTTCGGCACATGTTTTCATTTTTTGTGTTCTCGGCACATGTTGCCATTTTGTGTGTTCTGGGCACATAATGACATTTTGTGTGTTCTGGGAACATGTTGTCATTTTGTGTGTTCTGGGCACATAATGCCATTTTGTATGTTCTGGGCACATAATGCCATTTTGTGAGTTCATGAAACATGTTAACATTATCTGGCTGTGTTCTGGGAACATGTTGCCATTTTGTGTGTTCTGGGAACATGTTGACATTATGTGTGTTCTGGGAACATGTTGTCATTTTGTGTGTTCTGGGCACATAATGCCATTTTGTATGTTCTGGGCACATAATGCCATTTTGTGAGCTCTGGGAACATGTTGCCATTTTGTGAGTTCATGAAACATGTTAACATTATCTGGCTGTGTTCTGGGAACATGTTGCCATTTTGTGTGTTCTGGGAACATGTTGACATTATGTGGCTGTGTTCTGGGAACATGTTGACATTATGTGGCTGTGTTCTGGGAACATGTTGACATTATGTGGCTGTGTTCTGGGAACATGTTGACATTATGTGGCTGTGTTCTGGGAACATGTTGACATTATGTGGCTGTGTTCTGGGAACATGTTTGTTTCATTTTTAAATATTATAATAAAACATTTTTAGAAATTCTATATAAGGAATTGTGTATATATATAAATTTATATATTTAATAAGACAATTGGATGAATTATAATAAACAGCAAAAATGATTCAAATAAGTTTAGAAGTATTTGGCTTGCTGTCCTAAAAGTGAACTGTATTCCGAGCTTGTTTCCCTAGTGATAATCCATGTTTTTTGTGCCACCCTTCCAATCAAGTATCCAGCTTTTTCTTGGCCTGTATCAAAATGCTGGTCATAGACTTGCTTGACTTGTGTATCACAATATGATTTTGAATGTTTTTCTGTAAATGAAATAAAGGCAAAATATTTTGATACTTTCTTTTGTGGAACTTGCAAGAGAAATAAATTTCAAATTTATATTACTATCTCTAATATTTCTTTACTATGACTAATTACTTTGAAAATTAAAGCACTGAACATGATGAATAACAAGAAACAATCATTATCAGAAAAGATTATAGATTTAAAATTGTGTTCATTCATATTGAAGATTAATGAAGTAGACTATCAATATTTACCCTCTTGATGGCTGATACTTTGATTTGATGTCTTTACTTTAAGCTTACACATCAGTCTCTGTGTGGTAAAATATGAAATAATATGCTTCAATAAAACTGTTTCAGTATATTAATTACATTAGATAAGTACATAGTTTTGAGCTCTGTAACAATATGTGTTTCAATTATCATTCAAATATAATACCCTCTATGTTATACAACTCACTGATTTATTAGAATTTAAGAAAAGACAATAATTAATACAATATTTTGGATTAAAATCCATTATATTTATTATAACATATAATGCTATCTCTTGCTATAATAATTACTTTAAAAAATGGGTTATGCCTATAGTACAGTTACCTGAGGATGAAACTAGGCACAGTGAGACTGATTAATATCCATTGTAATTGAACATCAGTTGTAGTTATGAAATCTGGATGGCCAAACACACACTCATAGTCCTGAAAAGCAATTTACACATAGATTAGCAAGAATATCTCACTAATTATTAAATTAAAGCTATATATATATATATATTCAGTGTAAATTTGTAAAATTTAGTTATGTCTTGTTGTTATTAAATTTATTTACTCGACTGATCTAAACTCACTTTATTTAAACATAATATAGAGGATAAGTATAGTGATTTTATTATTCAGCAATAAAAAGCAGGCCTAAAATTTTTTAAATAGTAACGTTTGCGAATGAACACATTAAATTCTATGTATTTCAATTTCTATGTCTTTCCCAACTTGATGCATATTACTAACCAAGCACTAAACTATAGTCCTAAATAACCTTGACTCTAATTACTATTTATCGGACAACCTGAATCTTTGCGATACCATGTTATAATATATTATTTTAAAAAGAGCTTACCACTAATTACTAAAATCAATTGTTTTTAGTATTAACTGAGCCGCATACTATCTGCTGCTATTGTCATCACCAGAAATCCAGTATGCTGGCAAGGTTTAGTCTCTAAGTTCCCTGCAACCTCTTTCCTCTCGAGTGCGGAAAACACTGAAATCATTAATCATTATTTCATTATGCCTAATAGTTTAAAGGTAGTATTAAAGTAGTACTAAATAGTACGAGTCTTAGTTACTGTAACTATGGGTCTAATGAATATTATTATTGCGTATGCTTACATGCTTTAAGTTTTATGCACAATATTGGTATATAATATATAGTATATAGCCTAAACTATAGAGTATATATAGGCCTATAAGCCTAAATATAACAGCAGCTTGAATAATGCTCATTAGCATGCATTCACTATAAACTATAAAGATAAACAAATATTTCAATTCAATTTAATTCTAACTTATAATAGTAAATAGTAAATAGGCCTTTTTCTTGTGGTAACAAATTTAAAGTATAGGGCAGTATAGTTGTAGTATAGGGGGTGTGGGGAAATTGCGAGACGCGAAAAGCGAAATGGCGAGGCGGGAAAATGCGAGAACGTAATGCGAGACATACCTGCGGAATTAAGGGGAAATAGCGAGACACTATTTGCGAAAAAAAAAATTTCATGCTTTTTTCATCTTTATTTATTTAAATTATTTTTTGTTTTGTTTTAAAATAAACAAGCATTTAGCCATACCCTTTAACACGAGTGTTGTATGTTGTTATTTTTTATCTAGATTTTATTATTATCGTTATTTATTTAAATTATGTTTATTATTATAGATAGATACTAAGAAGATAGATAGATCTATATCTAGATCTATCTATTTAAAATTCCTAACATCGTTGCTGTGCTACTGTCATCGCCCGCTCTCGTTAGCGAGAGGAAAATCCCGTCTCAGTCGGCATTAATTTTAAAAATCTAGTCCGCTCATGTTTATACAAACGTGAGCTGTGTCATTGTGAATTGGTATAATCTTGTCAGCAGGAGAGATATTCTGCAACATGTATTTATGGATTTTTGTGTAAAAATATAATCAATTCTAAAAAGTGCAATTTATTTTTTTATTATGTAATTTTAATTACAAACAAAATTTACATACAAAATCTTCTGAAACAGTCCTCAAACACACCTCGTGACACCATCTTTCACACATAGTACACCCAACCCAGTTCATTAGACTCCCATTTATACATTTATCTTTTGCTACTTCTTCCAATCCACATTCACAACATTTCACATTCTCCTCGTTCATCCCACAAACAACACTGGCACCCATGTTCTCATCATCATCATCCGCACGCTCAACATCTGTTTTCCGTTTTTTATAATTTGTATTTTTTATCATTTCGGTAATTTTTGCAATTTCTTGATCATTGTGGTCACCAGCCGGATCAACGTCAGCGGGGCGTGGACGTTTACGCCCTGAAGTTTTATCCTGGCGCTTCTTTGCAGCTTTTCTTAGTTGTGTTAGATTTATTGATTTCTTGTTGCTGACTGTTGATAATCCAACTGCCTGTCTGGCCGCCACGATGTGATAGCAATTACCAACGGCCGGACAGGAGCATGTTTCCCTTGGAAACAGGGTGACCACCCTGGGGTCTGTTGACCCTTTAATAGTGAATGTACCAAGTTTATTATTTAAACTTATCAGTTTCATTGTCAATCACGAATTGTGCCCTTTCGGCAACAGTTGAACAAACAGGCAAACAGTCCTTCCCTAAGGGTGCAGTAACTAAAACTGCTTCTTGTAAATTCTCTCGAATTCTTTCCACTATCTCTTCGGGGTTAACTGCAGGTGGAATGACTGTATGCTCCTCCCTATACAGGTGAACAAGATCATCCTTAAGCACCCAATTTCCTCTATACGTTTCTGTGACGTAGAACTGTCCAAGCCTGAAGAGGCTCAGGACCATTGCGTCAACGGGCGCTTCCTTCCAGTTATTCATTCTTTTAAGAACTGCATTGAACGATTCACTTTGGTTCGCTGATATTTCGGAAAGGCCGTAATCTGCTAAGACCCAAGAACCCAGTTTGTTCATTGATGGGTGAACATTTTTGCTGAAATACTCTGTAAAAGGTAAGCTCCATCTGGAAATAAGAGATATGAAGTTATCCTTGTATTCTTCTTCACTTGTTGCCTGCAGAAGGGATTTTACAGTGTCAATATAATATGCCATTTCATCAGATGACTGTACCCCATGGGACCTAAGCCATCGCTTGCAGTCCTGCAGTACATGGTTCCAACACATAAAACGCTGCAGATTTGGAAAACTGCCCTGGATTGCATCAATTATAGACTTTTCCTGGTCTGTGACTATAATGACTTGCTTAGAGGTATTTGTTGTTTTCCTTTCATGAATCATGAAGGCAAGTGGTATAACTGGTTCACTCGTGAATTCCGTTTCACGAAACAAAAGCACGGAGACGTAAAAGTCCCCTAGGCAGAATGTCGTGTCATATGACAACTGTTGGACGCAATTTGTTTTCTTTAAAGTGTCCCGAAATACTTGAATGGTCTCATCCATCCACATTACAAGAGTTAGGTCTGGGTGGGACGTGATGTGGCGTACAAAATTGGTATCCAAGGCAATTTCATGCAAATTATACAAGGCATCCCTTGATAGTCTAAATTTTCTGCTACTTGCCTTCCATGCACAACGGACTTGCTCTTGATCACGAGGGACTGATGTAGAGCTTGACGGGTTTCCTTCCTCTACCAGCGTTTGATAGACCTCACGAGCTGTTCCACTACCCCAGCTTTCTTTGATTTTGTTCAGAACGGCAGGTTGTGTTCTAACATAATTTTTGGTCGATTTGCTGGCATTGCCATGTGCAAAGTCCCTAGCCACTGTTTCGTCGCCCAAGTACTGTATCAGAACAGCTTTTGGATGGTCAGGGTGAAAATGGGCTATTCTAGTGAAGCCTTTGCTCCATTGACCTGGACCGGTGTATATCTTGAAATACTTTTTGGTTATTGTGCTTCGAGTACACGAGCCACCTTGTCTCCATCTGTAACCATCGGCTCTCCAGTCATCTGACAATTACAAGAAATTTATAAGTTAGATACGACAAATAGGTAAGTTAATTTGATACACGGGTGTGTGAAATGGGATAGTGAGGGTTCTATTCTGGACGTCATGAATGAATGTTGTCTGGAATTGAATACATAGATTACTCACCTTTGTTTTTATCTTCTGTCCACGTATAAATATAGGTGGTTCCACTTGGGGGTCTATGTCTTACCAAAAATTCAACAGGTAATGAGTTAAATAACTCTTCCATTTTTCTGAGGAAAAAGATAAACTAAGTTACTGATGTTAATTTATAGCAAAAATACCATTTAATAGCTAAAAGGGGTCATCTATAAATGATGTCACGCTTTTTTGACGATTTTTACCCCCCCCCCCCCCACCTCCGTCACACATCATCACAAAAAACCAGACCCCCTCCCCCCCCCCCCCCCACTAAAATGACACCTCAGCCGACAACCCCTCTCAAAATTGCAGTTGAGTTTTTTAAAACATCGATATTTTCCCACAATCTTGTCTAATTTCGGTCAAAATAGAGTATTTTACTCAATTCCTATTACAATGTATTAAAACAGTTTTATAAAACGCTTTTTTATAGTGTGACTTCAAAAAATCTAACCCCCCTCCTCCCCCTCATCACACATCGTCATAAAATTACAGACCCCCCTCACCCCCCCCCCCTTACGAGTGTGACGTCATTTCTGGAAGACCCCCAAACACCACCACCACCAAAACCAAAAAATTCAGATAAGTTCAACTTGGTTTTAAAAAATATTTGAAGTAGGCCCATAGCTTAAGATATAGCACGAGCAACTGATAATATCGGTGACGTCACTTTTTCCCCCAAACAGTAAGTAAGAGAAAAAAAAACTGGGACATTGAGAGTTCATAAAAGCTTAGGAATAAGCAACACATAAGGGAGGGTTAATCTAGTCCTCACCTTCACATAGGGCAGTAATCGCATACTTAATTTGAGATTATATTATGGAAATAATAAATAATAAATTTTATATATATATATATATATATATATATATATATATATATATATATATATATATATATATATATATATATATATATATATTTATATATATATTTATATATATATATATACAATTAATTAATAAATAATAATATAACATTTATGGGAAAATTCGGAAAAGTCACAACCGTGATATAAAATCTAATATAAATTAGTGTAAAGGAACATTGGAAGAGAAAACACACAGTAAGTAGTTCTTACCTCCAGAATAGTTGAATCCAAATGATGTAGGCATTCCCTTGAGCTTAGATTTATATGGTAAAAAAAAGCTAGAAAAAATCGTAGGCGGCGCGGCGGCTATAATACAAAATTTCTATGCAACAATAGAAAATATGTTTGCGGCGGCAGCGGATCAGGGCACGGCGATCTTCAAAGACGGTGAATCAGGCGGCCTCGGCGTTCTACACAAAAGACAGAAGTTGATCTATCGTCGGCGGTATTTCCGTCGGTTTCGAACAAGGTGATAATCTAAGTCGACACAAAAGATGGGGGAGTTGACAAATCATCAGTATGTCTAGCGACGGAAAAATCGGAAGTTTTAACAATGTAAACGAAACGTCTTTGAAGTCTGGACCAAATACCACTAAAAATCGGGTGCGGTAAATTTTTCGCAGAAATCTTCGCATTTCTTCACCACCCAGCGTAAGTATCGGGTTGTGGGAAAATGCGAGACAAAAAAAGTCACGTGACAGACCGTTTTCGCGCCCTTCTCGCATTTTCCCGCCTCGCCATTTCGCTTTTCGCGTCTCGCAATTTCCCCACACCCTAGTATAGGCATAGTCGATTCTATATTTAAGTATGTGGGCTTTTCATTCCAATGCACCACAATAGATACCACACATGATCAAGCTTGACCTCTGATCTAAAGATTTAATAATTGGGCCTGGCAAACAGTGAAACTACAATAAAAATCATGTAAATTACTAATCTAACCTTCTTACCTCCGCTTCTGCAGATTCCTATTCTATTTCCTTCAAACTTTCTTTTTATGCAGCCGTATGATTAGATTCTAGACTATATTCTAAACTAACCAGAACACTAGATCTAAATTTCTAGATTCTATGCAGTATGTATTAAACCTATAGGCCTAATATTTATTTTAAATTCCTATGCGATGTGTCGTGAACTGTAGGTTTCATGTTATTTTTTAATGGCGGAAATCAGTTTAAAATTTCGTTTCCTTCGCTTTGTCATTCTATTTATAGATTCTATTTATAGAGTCGGAGCAAAGAAAAGATAGGCTTATTAAATTATCATTGAATTAGTCGGGCGATCCACACAGGAAGTGCCCGTATATCTATTAGTTACTCAGTGATCTGATCATTGACAGATACAGAGATAGCCATTCGCATGGGGTGCTCTCTCTCTCTCTCTCTCTCTCTCTCTCTCTCTCTCTCTCTCTCTATATATATATATATATATATATATATATATATATATATATATATATATATATATATATATATATATATATATGCCTATAATACACACACATATATATATATATATATATATATATATATATATATATATATATATATATATATATATATATATATATATATATATATATATATATATATATATATATATATATATATATAACAGGACATTAACATTGTGTTGTGCTCCACGTTAAAGATTGACCCTTGCTGTAGCCCTTCTGGGGTGTGTGACGGCGTTCCCAAACTTCAGGGACGAGATCCCTAATGGACACAACGTCCCCATACCCTGCAAGCCAACTGAGAAGTGGCCGGGGGTTGGTCACTTCAACTTCTACGGCACCAGGGCACAAAACCAGTTTGGACTGGACTTCAAGGCGGCAGGAAATGTAAGTTTTCCAGGAAGTGTTGCATGTGTGAATCTGTTGGGGCTAACCATTAGCTAGAATTTTTCTACCGATAAGGCGATTTTAAGCTGGAATGGTAAAAAAAATTTGTGCACACAGGTACAAAAAATAAATCTTTGACTATATGGATCAGACATGTTTATAGTCATTGAAATATATATTAAAAAGTTTAAAAAAAAAAAGAGTTACACTTTCGAACTTGACGGTCCATAAGGTATGAGAAGCAGAGTTTTTCGGTTTCTGAGATCTCGGCATAAAAAAAGGTAATGTCTGACGTTGAGCTCCGTTTAATCAAGACATTAAATTTACACTTCACTGCAATATGTGTAATAGAGCGAATGTACGTCTTGTTTTAAGAGCTGAGCAACACACACTTAACATACTCATGTTTCCATACACACGCCATTCACTATCGGCTACAGTACATTGAGTAACTCTAGTGTGCACATTTCAGAAATGGACCAAAGAGCTCTGTCAAAAAGATTCCGACAACGACGGGGTGACCAACGGAAACGAACTGGGTGACCCCGATTGTATCTGGACGCCAGGAAAGGAACCCACTCGACGTGACCAAATCACACATCCGGGTACGTGCAGAGTTTCTTTGAGGCAAATATTGGGGGAAACACTTCTGCCTACCCCTCGAAATACATCTAATGCCTCTTCCCCCCCCCCCCCCGGAACGAAATATAATTTATAAAGAAAATATATACTTTTATCAATGTTACCCCCCCCCCCCCTCCCATTTTAGAAAATTGAGTCTCCTCCTGCATACAAAAGTCTGAAAGAAACACTGGGTATGTGTTATTAGTACCTAAAGTAAAAACACTTGACAAGCACTTCCCAATCTGCTAAGTACACGTCTCTAAAACAAATATACTCGTTATACTGAGTAAATAAAAAAAAAATCAGCTTACATTTTTTAAGAGGCTGCAGGTGGACGAGTATATTACATTTGATAAGAATAACATTAATGTTTTATATTTAAAGTTTTAAAATTGTCTTTCCTTATTAAATTAATCTAAATTCTTGATTGCAGCAGTAGGTGTGTATATATATATATATATATATATATATATATATATATATATATATATATATATATATATATATATATATATATATATATATATATTCAAAAATAGATATGTAGATCTATTTATGTAGATAAATTCGGATTTCCATCAAACAATGGCTACTGTGTTCTACTACTGTTGCCCCTCCCCTCACCTCCAGGTATCTGTGACCCCTGGTACTCGCCCACATGTTTCAGCACGGTGCTACCTAGCCAGCTCTACAAGACCCAGGAGGATTGGATGAGGGTCGTCTGCATAGGTGACCCGAGAATCGCCTGACCTCCAAGGCGGCTGACCCCAGTGGCGACTGACCCCAGTGGCAACTGACCCCAGTAGTCTAGTAAGAGGTGGCTGGGCGCTAAGACCTCTGGCGTTGAGGGGTCCACGCATTTTCTCTTATTAACGATAGTAAAAAAATACTTTTCCTAACAATTTCTTGTTGCTTTTTTTACATGTTGAATACATGTCGTAATGTTCAAATCATGGTCTTATTTTTTTTTCTAAATTTAAAAATAAGTATATATTTGTTGTTCTTTTCATGACAAATACACTGTTGTTTCTTAACGGACACGCGCGCGGGTCGTTTAGTTTGAAGTTAAGTTGTCATCGCTTCCTGTAAGACATTGTTTATTTAAAATGACATCTCTTTAAAATAATAAAACGTGAGTCAATGTCAACCAGCACACGTGTTTTGATTGACCCACTTTTGAAAATCTCAAACAGTGAGTAGATTGTATTGGAATTATTGCCTAAATTATCGTACTCCGTCAAAGCAACCAGGATTAAGTGGACAGAGAAATAATTCTACTGTATGCATGGACGGCGTAGGTAAATGGTAGAGCGTTTGGCTGCTTGCTCGAAAGTATAGAGATCGGATCCATGTTCGGATTTGTGATAGTTGGGCGTCTTTGAGTCAACCCAGCTCTGATGGGTACCTGACTTATGTTGGAAAAGTAAAGGCGGTTGGGCATAGTGATGATCGCAATTTCCCTATATAATTATATGCCGAAGTCAAGCAACCTATGAACTTATTTGCCCAATGGATAGCTAGGTCTTAAGAGGAGCTTTACTTTCATTGGATTCGGAGAAGCGCGATATAATCCTTACATAATACACAAGGTCTTAACCTACAGACTGGACCTAGTTTACACCAGTACTTAAAAGGTAGCCTACAATTCAGGAATGGCCCTGATGTAGAGATGCTTGAATAAGATGCACGGAAAAAAATGTTAACACAAATGACGTAATCAAAGTTTACCATTATTGCAGTGTATTCCAATATTAAAACACAGACTCAAGTAAAATGGCGGCAAAGATAAATACAAGATTACAATTCTTAAATTTTTTTTCGAATGTTTTATTTGGTCTTGGTTAAATCAAGTTGATAGAATACTTGACTCAGTAATTAATTGGCGAAGGATAAGTAAATTAATTAGTGGAGGTAATTATTTATGTAACAGGTTATTAGTGTATTGCTGGTTATTGACGAATAAGAAATCTGTTGTTCTAGCTTGTTAATGTTAGGTTTAGCTTAAGGCTTAAGTTAAGGTTTGGTTTGTTTTTAATTTTTTATTTAAGCACGGCAATGCCTTATTTTAGGACTAGGGTTAGGGCAAATATTTGATTTAGAATTCATCGTCTCAGCTTATGTTCTGGGTTGAATTAGTTTGTTTTTGTCAATATTAGATATAACATATAAAATTGTGCGGATATGTTTAACATTCTTGTCTAGGATGACATACGATTGAAATCTCGTATTGTTTGCTAATGACTAAGTGATAGCTTAGGCCAGAGGCGTAGCGAGGGGGGGGGGGGGGCGGGGGTGCGGATCGCACCGGGTGACACCATTTAGTGGGTGACACCAAGGCAAAAAATAGCAAAATATATAGAGAAAAACTTGAAGGGGGGGGGGGGTGCAAATTGAAAGTTTGAGGGGGGTGCAAATCAAAAACTTGAATGGGGGGGGGGGGTGCAAATCGAAAATTTGAAAGTTTGTCCCCGGGAAGGGTCGCTACGCCTCTGGGGGGGGGGGGGGGTGACACCATTAAGTGCCGCACGGGTGACCCCCGACCTGGTTACGCCACTGGCTTAGGCAGACATTATTTCAAATCAGTTTCCTGTAGAAAAAGGCTACATTGTAGTTGTACGAACAATACAAGAATACATAGCCTTATTGTTTATAATATTTGAATCGTAACATATTTCAAGCCCTTTCGGGAGTCTAAGTGGACTGACGCCATTAATTTCGAGCCCGCGTCAGTGGGACCAGTGACTCCATGGCTATCCTCTCCCGTTTGCTACTGTGGAGGCGAGTCATTATACTAATTGCCACACCCATTGCTCTACTGCCCCTGATTACAGTTTTCGACAGCAGCGTAAGTGGTGTAATCATATGCATTAGGTTAATTGGGTGTCTGATGATGATTTTTTTTTATTTTAATTAATTAATTTTAGTATGTCTCATGATTATGAAAATAATTTAAAATGTTCAATCGACTGAAATGTGCCTACTTACTTTTTTTTCCTGAATCATGTTCCCTGAATTATCTTGTCCTGAAATAATTTGTCAAGTAACCAGCGTCCTACCCTATGATCTTGTTGACCGTGAACAACAGATATTAATTCAAGAATACTAACACTGAATGTTAAAAATCAATGTTAACATACAATGCTAAAACCGAACGTTAACAATCAATGTCAACACCTAACCAGAAAACCAAATTCTCCTACATTGTCATTTTGTTCAAATGTTAACATAAAAATAGAATGCTAACAACGAAGGTTAACAATAAATGTTAACATAAAATGCTAACACCGAATGTTAACAAGAAATGCTAACAAAAAGTGCTAAAATGCTAACACCGAATGTTAACAACCAATGTTAACACCTGCCCCAGGAAACCAAATTCACCCACCTTGTGATCTTGTCTAAATGTTAACATAAAATAGAATGCTAACACCGAATGTTAACAATAAATGTTAACAAAAAGTGCTAACACCAAAAGTTAACAATAAATGTTACCATAAAGAGTTAACACCAAATGTTAACAACTTGCTAACACCTGCCCCAGGAAACCTAATTCTCCTACATTGTCATTTTGTTGGCCATCTAACAATAAATATTAACATAAAATGCTAACACCGAATATTAACAATCAATGTCAACAATAAATGTTAGCATAGAATACTAACACTGAATGCTAACAACCTGTTAACACCTGCCGCAGGAAACCAAATGCTCCTACCTGCTGATCCTGATGGCCGTCTACTGGGTGACCGAGACACTACCCGTGGGGGTCACATCCCTCCTGCCCGTCGTCTTCTTCCCATTCTTTGAGATCGTATCGTCTGCCGAGATTTCTGCTCAGTATGTCAACGTACGTACCTGTATATGTACGTATGTATGTGTGATTTTGTGGTGTATTATGATGATAGTATAGTTACGCGGTATGGCTAATCAACAGCCCTAAGTAATCCTACTCAAAGTTTTCTGACCTTTAGATATTAGATCGTGTAATCTAATTTTAGATTACACCCAGTGGTGTCCCAAGGTGAACACCGGGTGACGCCCACTAAGGGGATGAAACCAAAACGAACAAACGTAAAACATACTATCAATACAATTATCCAGTTAAATTAATTATTATAGTAGGGGAAAGGGGTGGCACGAATTAGAAAATGCTAAATGATTGGAAGGACGGGGGGGGGGGGTTATGACACCATCATTCCCCGCACTGGATGACATCCCGGCATAGTGACAAGGCTGAGCACCCAGAAGACTGTTTTAAAATTTTGATAAATACAAGTGGCCATCAGATATAAGCTGCCACAGTTAATTTATTCCCTGTTTTTCTAATTCCGGGAGGGTTTGTTTGAATATTGATACTTTACTAATCTGTTTAATATCCAGAAAAAAACATTAATTCCAAATGAATTGGGTTCAGTTGATTAAAGACGTTGTAGGTTTAATTTAAGACGTTCTAGGCAGAGACGTAGCGAGGGTGGGGCGGGGGGGGGGATATGCGGACGGCACCGGGTGACACCATTTAGGGGGGGGGGTGACACCATGGCAAAAAATTGCAAAATTTACAGAAGAAACATTGATGATTAATGAAAGTTAATTAGTCTTTTAAGTACAAATCGACAATTATTACAAGAGGGAGGGGGTGACACCATGACGTAGACGTGCTAACTATAGAGAAAACAATGCTACATACTATAGATTAACATCGCCACTGCAGTGGTTAAAGCTTATGTACATACATGTACGTGTATGCGGCATATATTTAAATTATAAGCCTATGTAGGCCGAAACACACACACACACACACACACACACACACACACACACATATATATATATATATATATATATATATATATATATATATATATATATATATATATATATATATATTTATTTTGGGGGGGGGGTGACACCACGAAGTGCCGCACCCAGTGACACCCGGCCTAGCTTCGCCACTGGTTCTAGGTTTAGGTAAAGAGTTGTAGGTTTAGTTTGCAGACATTGTGTGAACTAATCTCGCAATGCTGACCTGACAGTTGTACGTCGTCTGGCAATCTGCTGCTTGTGTTGTTTCTTTCAGGACGCCAACATGTTGTTTCTGGGCGGGCTCTTGATGTCTGCTGCCATCGAGTACTGGCAGCTCCACAAGAGGACGGCTCTCAGTATTCTGAGATATGTGGGACCCGAGCCCCGATGGTCAGAAGATTGTCTTGTCTTTTGGTGTACATTTGTAGACTTTCCGCATTAGATGGTCGAAAGATTGTGGTGTCTTTTCTCCAAAAAATTTAAAACTTTCTGCATGGGATGGTCAGAGGATTGTCTTGTCTTTTGGTGTACATTTGTAAACTTTCAGCATTGAGTGGTCAAAAGATTGTGGTGTCGTTTGTATGAAATGTTAAAAATTTCTTAATTAAATCAGAAGATTGTATTTTAATATTTCTTTGATTGTTAGACTTTATGCACAAAGACTGCCTAGTAATTTGTCGTCGATTTGTAAACTTTCTTCATGCGGGGATAAACAACTAAAATAGATCGTCATAACTGAATTTCAATTTTTGTATTATCAAAACACATGTGGGCTTGGTTTAGATTTTAAAACAAGAGATAGGCAGGACAAAGATGGACATAATATTTGTATGGGGTAATTAAAAGTTATTAATTAACATAAATCAATCTATAAATGCACTACCTATGACATTATTCAGCATGTCAAATATTCATGTATTAAAATCGTGAGTTTTAAACCACGCCTGACTTTCAAACACATAATTGTAAATATTATTTTCATCGCCGTTTGAAACATGCATTTCTAGCATCTGCTGACAGAAATGTTTTTGACATTAACCAGAAATATATAGGCCTATTTGGAAAAGAACATTACAAAATATGTGCCCTATCCGAGTGGCCCTAATTTAATTAATTTAATTAAAACAGTTCCCCCTTGTTAGTTAAACTAAGTTATGAAATACATTTTTTGAATGTGTAGTTGTCCAGCTTTTGTACAGGTTACTGCTGGGCATCATGCTGACCACGTGGTTCACGTCCATGTGGATCTCCAACACCGCGGCCACGGCCATGATGGTGCCCATCGTGGAGGCCATACTCATCCAGTTCAAGGACTCGGACATCGAGAGGTCATTGTTCTCGCCCACTCGAGGTCAGTACAGGTAGTAGAACTGTGGGGTTTAACATAGCTGAGGTCAGTACAGGTAGTAGAACTGTGTGGTTTAACATAGCTGAGGTTAGTACAGGTAGTAGAACTGTGTGGTTTAACATAGCCGAGGTCAGTACAGGTAGTATAACTGTGTGGTTTAACATAGCTGAGGTTAGTACAGGTAGTAGAACTGTGTGGTTTAACATAGCCGAGGTCAGTACAGGTAGTAGAACTGTGTGGTTTAACATAGCTGAGGTCAGTACAGGTAGTAGAACTGTGTGGTTTAACATAGCTGAGGTCAGTACAGGTAGTAGAACTGTGTGGTTTAACATAGCCGAGGTCAGTACAGGTAGTAGAACTGTGTGGTTTAACATAGCTGAGGTCAGTACAGGTAGTAGAGCTGTGTGGTTTAACATAGCTGAGGTCAGTACAGGTAGTAGAACTGTGTGGTTTAACATAGCTGAGGTCAGTACAGGTAGTAGAACTGTGTGGTTTAACATAGCTGAGGTCAGTACAGGTAGCATAGCTGTGTGGTTTAACATAGCTGAGGTCAGTACAGGTAGTAGAACTGTGTGGTTTAACATAGCTGAGGTCAGTACAGGTAGTAGAACTGTGTGGTTTAACATAGCTGAGGTTAGTACAGGTAGTAGAGCTGTGTGGTTTAACATAGCTGAGGTCAGTACAGGTAGCAGAACTGTGTGGTTTAACATAGCTGAGTTCAGTACACAAATCAGAACTGTGTGGTTTAACATAGCTGAGGTCAGTACAGGTAGTAGAACTGTGTGGTTTAACATAGCCGAGGTCAGTACAGGTAGTAGAACTGTGTGGTTTAACATAGCTGAGGTCAGTACAGGTAGTAGAACTGTGTGGTTTAACATAGCTGAGGTTAGTACAGGTAGTAGAACTGTGTGGTTTAACATAGCTGAAGTTAGTACAGGTAGTAGAGCTGTGTGGTTTAACATAGCTGAGGTCAGTACAGGTAGCAGAACTGTGTGGTTTAACATAGCCGAGGTCAGTACAGGTAGTAGAACTGTGTGGTTTAACATAGCTGAGGTCAGTACAGGTAGTAGAACTGTGTGGTTTAACATAGCTGAGGTCAGTACAGGTAGTAGAACTGTGTGGTTTAACATAGCTGAGGTTAGTACAGGTAGTAGAGCTGTGTGGTTTAACATAGCTGAGGTCAGTACAGGTAGTAGAACTGTGTGGTTTAACATAGCTGAGGTCAGTACAGGTAGTAGAACTGTGTGGTTTAACATAGCCGAGGTCAGTACAGGTAGTAGAACTGTGTGGTTTAACATAGCTGAGGTTAGTACAGGTAGTAGAGCTGTGTGGTTTAACATAGCTGAGGTCAGTACAGGTAGCAGAACTGTGTGGTTTAACATAGCCGAGGTCAGTACAGGTAGTAGAACTGTGTGGTTTAACATAGCTGAGGTCAGTACAGGTAGTAGAGCTGTGTGGTTTAACATAGCTGAGGTTAGTACAGGTAGTAGAGCTGTGTGGTTTAACATAGCTGAGGTCAGTACAGGTAGCAGAACTGTGTGGTTTAACATAGCTGAGGTTAGTATAGGTAGCAGAACTGTGTGGTTTAACATAGCTGAGTTCAGTACACATATCAGAACTGTGTGGTTTAACATAGCTGAGGTCAGTACAGGTAGTATAGCTGTGTGGTTTAACATAGCTGAGGTCAGTACAGGTAGTAGAACTGTGTGGTTTAACATAGCTGAGGCCAGTACAGGTAGTAGAACTGTGTGGTTTAACATAGCTGAGGTTAGTACAGGTAGTAGAGCTGTGTGGTTTAACATAGCTGAGGTCAGTACAGGTAGCAGAACTGTGTGGTTTAACATAGCTGAGTTCAGTACACATATCAGAACTGTGTGGTTTAACATAGCTGAGGTCAGTACACATATCAGAACTGTGTGGTTTAACATAGCTGAGTTCAGTACACATATCAGAACTGTGTGGTTTAACATAGCTGAGGTCAGTACAGGTAGCAGAACTGTGTGGTTTAACATAGCCGAGGTCAGTACAGGTATTAGAACTGTGTGGTTTAACATAGCTCAGTTCAGTACACATATCAGAACTGTGTGGTTTAACATAGCTGAGGTCAGTCCAGATATCAGAACCGCCTGGTCAAAATTACCTGGTTTAAGATTATGTGTACACCACAGACAGTGTACTGTACAACATCATACGATGAAAGATTGTGTACAGTACAACATCAAATGATGACAGAATGTGATGTGTACGACATCAAACGATGACAGAATGTTTTTTTTTGTTGCCAGATGTTCTAAAGACTCTAAAGGGCGCGTTATCGGGTGACGTCATAACGGTTGGTGACGTGACCGCGTCGACGTCATTCACCACAGCGACACAGACGACATCTACAGGGCAGTAAGTCACGATTTGTTTTACTCATACACCGCTGAGACCCACGTTTTACCGACATTTTCGGGGCTGTCCCGGAACTTCGCAAGTGACAAAATAAGCTGACAGAAAAACATGGGGAATAAAAATGTTGCCCACCTCGACAGTTAAACAGATTATCTACGGTTCTGTGAGTGTGGGAGTGGTAATTTTACCTAACGGAACAATTATTTACTTATTTAGAATAAAATTACCTGTTATAAATCTTTAACGATTGTAGCGTATAAGGATTACAAAGTTTTAGAACACAATTAGCTGTCCTGAGATTTTGAATACATGTAATGTCCCCTAGGTCCAGCGGGGAGAGCGAGGACATTCAAGAAGGGAATGTCCAACAGCTTAGGAATGTCCTACAGGACGTCATACAGAAAGACACACTGTCGGAACCGCCGGAGGAGGACGAAAATTTTGTCCGCTTCGGGAAGGCGTTGTCGCTGTGTGTCTGCTACTCGGCCACGTGCGGTGGTATCGCCTGCATCACGGGGACTGGCACCAACCTGGCACTGAAGGCCTACACAGATGTGTGAGTAGGGGAGGGGGTGGGGGGTAGCGCTGGTGAGGGATCAGGGAGTTTTAGGGAGGTGTGTTACGATTTGTGTTACGATTTGGGGAGGTATAGTGTATTTGGGGGATGTGAGGTTTTTGTGGGGGTTGTAAGAGGTTGAATATGTTGTGTAAATGGGACGTGTGGAATGTGTGTTCGTGTGTGTGTGTGTGATGTGTTGAGTGTTGGATATGCGGTATATTTTTTCCAACTGCTCTGGTTATATGGAAAGTACCCCAAGTGTGTTTTGTAGGTTTAGAAATGTAATGTTTTATTTCATCTACACGCATCAACATTCCATTGCACCTATTTCAACCGTTTCAGACTCTACGCAGCCCACGACCTTGAAAACCCCCTGACCTTCAACACCTGGCTGTGGTTTGGCGTACCCCTGTCGCTGATGGTGCTGTTGATCTGCTGGGCGTGGCTTCAGATGTACTACATCAGCGATAGGTATGTTAATCCAGATGTAATACAAAAGCGATAAGTATGTTAATCCACATGTACTACATCAGCGATAGGTATGGTAATCCAGATGTACTACATCAGCGATAGGTATGTTAATCCAGATGTACTACCTCAGCGATAAGTATGTTAGTCCTCCGCTACATCAGCTTTAGGTTTGTTAGTCCTACGCTACATCAGCTCTAGGTATGTTAGTCCTACGCTACATCAGCTCTAGGTATGTTAGTCCTACGCTACATCAGCTCTAGGTATGTTAGTCCTCCGCTACATCAGCTCTAGGTATGTTAGTCCTACACGTTCTACACAAGCTGTTGTTTCAAGAACATCCATTCGGCCGCTGATGTAATATTTGTTAGATCAAAAGTGTTAGACCACAGCAGGATGAAGAGTCTCACTACTGTTGCAATAGATCAAAGCTGTTTATCAAGGTACACCAGGGCAGAATGAGGAATCTCACTATTGTTGCAAGCCGCTAGAGCTGTGGGTTTACATCAGTCTTTTTTTTCTCCCTGATGCTTCTTACCACCTGGTACGGATATAGGGCTGTTTTATGGAGGGCCCTAAAGACAAGGGTACAAAACAGGTCACCAGCTCGCTTCCTAACGCTGCTACAACTTCCCTGTTCTATTGGTCTTGATTCAAATTAGCGGTTTATAACGCAAAGTCATGTACTGTCCGAATTTCATAACAATTTCTCGAATCTCAGTGAGTCTTGCCAAATCTTCACTCACTCAGCGACTCATCTTCGAGGTGTAAAACGTTCTGATATGGCTGAGACGCATCCAGGACTCAATCGTCGAAGGCGTTGTCCAGGGCTAAGGAAGTGAATAGCATAGTTTACTAAATGTGTGTCCCGTCTCTATTTATAGCACATTGTTTCAGGGAGAACACGAGTGACCTGTCACACGAGCAGTACTACACCAATAAGCTGAAGACGATCAAAGACATCATAGAGAGCGAATACCAAAAGCTGGGCTCTCTCTTGTAAGTTGTCTCTCAATGGGAAACTTTAATTTTCTGAACTTTCTCATTGAAGTCTCATGAAACTGTTGGTAGTTAAAAATGTATCATGCAAAAGTATTTTGTACACAATAGGGCTAGTAAGTAGGTCACCAACCAGTTATATGGCTCATGCAGGTTTTATTGAGCCGAAGAATTGGTTGGTGATCTACTTACCTGCCATATTAGAAAGAAACTTTTTAAAAAAAAAATAAATTTGTAAAGCAACTCTGTTTCATAGAAATAGGACGGCCTAGCCTAGAGGTTGAGAGATAGATTGCTAACCCGAAAGTCCTGAGTTCGAATCCGGGTTCAATTGAGTAGAATTTCCCTGAGTCAACCCAGCTCTAATGAGTACCTAATTCTTGTTAGGGAAAGCAAATCGGCTGGGCATAATGCTGAACACACTATCACTTCATATGCAGAGGTCACTGAAACAGATGAACTCTACTTCATCTGCCCCATGTGTCTTGCGCACAAACTGGCAAAAGAAGAGAGAGAAATGTATGGAGTATTTTTAGAAATCGGAAATATTGATTGTTAAATCATGACTTTGTACAGAAATGTATAGAGAAAATTAGATGTGTTAGAATGTTGGAGAATACAATATTTTAAAATGAAAATTAAAGACACGCTTTTTATTCCAGATTTGGCCAAGTCATGGTGATTGGTCTGTTTCTGATGCTGGTGCTCTTATGGGTGACACGTGATCTAGGAGGCGTGGTCGGTTGGGGAGATTACTTCGATCCACCGTGAGTTATCAACTGGCTAAAGTCAGGTGTGCGGGTGGTTAAAAATTGACTGAGGCTTGTGTGAGACAAACCTATTTCATACCTCAGAAAAGTAATAGCCTGAGATAGTTGAGTTTAAGAAATCGTGTAGGGACATCGTTGTTACGTCCCTTACGTGTAGTGTGTTGTGTGCTCGAACGACAGGTACCCTCTTTTTGTATATAGCTGTAGCCCTTGGTTGAGTGTGTTTACATGGAGTGAGAAGTGTTCACGTAAGTTTGTCAGTTGACAGGTGACAGAGCGTGTGCTAGTGTGTGTGGCATATTGTTGGCGTGTGGTTTTGAAGGAGGACGTGGAGTGTGTTAAGTATTGGGTATCGTTATTTGTGTCGTGAACCTTTTATTATATTATAGGGCTGGTAAGTAGGTCACCAACCAGTTCTACGGCTCAATAAAACCTGCAGGAGCCATAGAACTGTTTATTGACCTACTTACCAGCCCCATTGTAGTATTGTTTATGGGTAATCTACCGTTTTAGGTGCGAAAAATCGGCCGAGGTGAAAAAAAATTGCCTCATTTTTATGGCTTTAATACAAGTATATTGTGATATATTTGTGTCAAATATTATAGATAACTGAATAATAAACCAAAAGCAATGGCTAAATATATCAATATAGGCCAGAAATTAACTTTGAACAGCAGTGTTTGTAAGCAAAATTTAAAAAAAAAAAACAAACAAAAAAAACAACTATTTAACTACTACAGCCGTAAAAAAAAACTTTAGTTAACAATAAGGTATATTTAGGCGTAGAAATGACAATTGACAACCCCAAATTCTAGTGTGAAGGACAGCGCCCCAGCTATTTTTATAGCCGTGTTGTTGTTTTGCCTGCCGTGTACGGCTCCGTGGCTCAAGGCTTACAACGACCCCAACCACCCGGGCAGGTGGAACCGCAGCAAGGGACATTCTAGACACAGGAAGGCGACCAAAAGTAAGTCCACTTGTTGTCCACTAGCGGTGTGGACAGTCGTTTAGTATTAACAGCGTGCCAGATATCTCACGCTCGTAATAGGGCTTGTAAGTAGGTCACAACTTCTCGTTCACGTACTTGCCAGCTAGTAGATTTCGAGAACGTTGACTTACAAGCCCTATACACAACGATGCTAGATTCTATATTATGTTGACCTCAATCAACCAAGTAGAACCGTACATAGGCAGCGTGCGTGTAGTAGATTGGTTCACTTCAACGTTCATGCAACACGCCTCTCTGATGCCCTTTATAGCTCACTGAATCTGTTGTTGTCTATAAAGAGCTAAACATAACTATGGCCATATAACACCTCCTCCAGATATCGTGAAGGCTATACATCACTCCCCTGCTGTATGATAGATACATGGTCCTAATTATTTCTGTCTTCATTAAGTTGTTTATAACTTCATTAAGTTGTTTTTGTCTTCATTATCTTATTTTTGTCTTCAGTAAGTTATTTCTGTGTTCGTTAACTTATTTCTGTGTTCATTAACTTATTTCTGTGTTCATTAACTTATTTCTGTCTTCAATAAGTTATTTCTCTCTTCGTTAACTTATATCTGTCTTCTTTAAGTTATTTCCGTGTTCATTAACTTATTTCTGTCTTCATTAAGTTGGTACGTGGGTGATTCGCCCTTTGTTAACATGGGATGTGGCACAACAAAAAGTGCCCTGGCATATATTCTTGTTGCTGGGTGGAGGATATGCCCTGTCAAAGGGCAGTGAGGTAACAGTACTTTTCAAACTTGATTATTAACTAAATAAGTTTTTTTTACAACTCAAATCGACTGCCTTCTTTATGATTCCGACTTAAGAGTACTGTTTAGTTACATTATAAACCATTCAGAAGCGAACATTCATGGAAATAATTGTGCGTGATGTTAGGCATACATTGAAATTGTATTGTGTAAGGATACGCCTTTAGTAAAATGGCTTTGTTTGAAGCTACGTCTACAGGGCTTGTAAGTCTCTTTGCTTTTCTTACTTAAAATTTGAAATATTGTTAGCCAGGGTCAGGTGAATTCTCAACCTATCATTACGATTTTAAATAACTTAAAAATAGTGTAAGTAACTTTTATTTTTTTTTTACCAATTTAATAAACATATTATGATAAGTATGATAGTATGATAAGAAGTTGGTGACCTACTTACAAGCCCTATAGTGAAAAGGTTTTGTTAGGCTACAACTATGAATCGTAGGGTTGCTCTATACTAAACACATCATGCTCAAATTCGTCAAATGGCGATCACGCAGTATATTTTGTACCCAGCCTAATTCACGTCAGCATTAGCGACTGCAGCAAACATAGCGTAGTCTATAAAATCGGGGTGGGGGGGGGGTTTAGCGATGGGGTGGGTCTACATAACCCCTTTTAGTCCAACTTGCCCCCCCCCCCCCCCCTCCCATGTTGTGCACTGTCTGAGCATTGTTTGCTTCAGCAGAAGTCTGGCCTGTCTACCTGGATCGGCCTTCACCTTGAGAGCCTCAAGGGCTGGAATGAGTGGGGGATGCTCATCCTCATCTGCTACGTCACAGCGGCGTCGACGGAGTTCACGTCCAACGCTGCGGTGGCCACACTTCTGCTGCCCATCATGGCCCAGCTGGTAGGTGCAGAATTCATGGCCCAGCTGGTAGGTGCAGAATTCATGGCCCAGCTGGTAGGTGCAGAATTCATGGCCTAGCTGGTAGGTGCAGAATTCATGGCCCAGCTGGTAGGTGCAGAATTCATGGCCTAGCTGGTAGGTGCAGAATTCATGGCCCAGCTGGTAGGTGCAGAATTCATGGCCTAGCTGGTAGGTGCAGAATTCATGGCCCAGCTGGTAGGTGCAGAATTCATGGCCCAGCTGGTAGGTGCAGAATTCATGGCCTAGCTGGTAGGTGCAGAATTCATGGCCCAGCTGGTAGGTGCAGAATTCATGGCCCAGCTGGTAGGTGCAGAATTCATGGCCTAGCTGGTAGGTGCAGAATTCATGGCCCAGCTGGTAGGTGCAGAATTCATGGCCCAGCTGGTAGGTGCAGAATTCATGGCCCAGCTGGTAGTTGCAGAATTTTAACACGAGCATGGCCCAGCTGGTAGGTGCAGAATTCATGGCCCAGTTGGTAGGTGCAGAATTCATGGCCCAGCTGGTAGGTGCAGAATTCATGGCCCAGCTGGTAGGTGCAGAATTTTAACACGAACATGGCCTAGCTGGTAGTTGCAGAATTTTAACACGATCATGGCACAGCTGGTAGGTGTTAAAACCAGTGTTTCTTCCAGACTTTTTTCTCCGGGGGGGGGGGGGGGGCACTTAAAATTTTCGGGGGGGGGGGGGGGGCGGTAGACTTTCTTCGGGGGGGGGGGCGGACACTGTTAAAAGTATATATTTTCTATATAAATTATAGAAATTTCATTTCGTTCGGGGGGGGGGGGGGGGCGGTAAAAATTTCCGAAGAGATGCCTGGAAGAAACTCTGGTTAAAACGAGCATGGCCCAGTTGGTAGGTGCAGAGTTTGTGTTAACTTGCGAGTTTAAGACAGAATTAATTCCTTTGAAATAAGTTGTGATATTCATCTCTACTGGTATCATATGGTCTCCGAATAAAAAAAGTTTTAAAACTTAGATGCTAAAAAGAAAAATGGTTTTTCCTAAAACCTCATGAACAAAGTTTCTTTTCTTGTAATAGTTTAATTGATGCAATTAATGTGATTATTAATTAAATGCTATTTAATGCCAACTGTAGTTATTTTAATGCTGTGGTCTCTACAGGCCCTGAACACTGGGGTCCACCCCCTCTACTACATGCTGCCCTGTACTCACGCCTGCTCGTTTGCTTTCATGTTACCTGTGGCCACGCCCCCTAACGCCATTGTCTTCTCGTACGGGAGAGTCAAAATATCGGACATGGTAAGTGAGAGATTGAGTGAGCACTTCCTATAAAATGGAACTGTAGTGTATGGGGTACACGTGTAAGCGCCTCTTTCAAAATGTGTATTTTGCTAAAAAATATTACTTGACATTTTTCAATAATAATTTGCCGTATTCCAGACGCCATTTTAACGGTGATATTAAATAAAAAAATACTCAAATTTTACTGAGAAAACGATGCGGGATCTAGTAAATTTAATAAATAATTAGAATTAACGAGAACTTTTCACTCAGAATGGGATGGCACAGTTTATATTTAAAAACAGGTAGTCGCCAAAAGACAGACACAGGGAATTTGGGATATGATATATATATATATATATATATATATATATATATATATTCTGTGGGGGACACCCGACTACCTGGATTTTGCTGACAGCAGTTAAAACTTATTCCCCAGGTGAGAACAGGCCTGGTGCTAAACATCGTGGCGGTGCCAATCCTGATAGCTGTGACAGGGACCATCGGGAACGCTATCTTCGACTTTGACGAGATCCCGCTCGCATTTTACAACGAGAGTTTACTGAGACAAGAGATTCTCAATGACGACACCGCCTGAATGGCTCCTTAGGGCACTCACATACAACAGACGTGTAACAGGGATGGTGTATGGTTTTTGTATTGCATGCTAATTAAAATGAAGTGTAAAATAGATAGTGAATGATATTTATATTGCATGCATATTGAAATGATGTGTAACAAAGAGGATGGATGATTTTTATATTGCATGTATATTGAAATGATGTATAACAAAGAGAGTGAATGTTTTTGTATTGCACGTATTACAAATTGATGTACCACGGAGGGTAGATAATTAAAATTGTTTATTGAGTGAAAGGTTGGAATGTTGGCCTCCTGTCTATACTAGAGCAAAGTATAGCGTTTATGTTTTTGTCCATTTCATGATTATAATGAAATTAAACATGTATTTCTATTGCTATGGTGTGATCATAGATTAAAGCTCAGTTATTTAATTAATAGACTTTTTGAACTCTAACAAAACTTAAGAACGTAGATCACCCACTTATTACTTGCAACTTATAAATTGAAAAAATATTATTTGTAAAAAATGTTTATAAATTTTGCTGTCGTAAAATAAAATGTGTTTATAAATTAGTGCCTCACTTTTAGCTTGCAACCTGACATGTCTTCTGTCTCTGGAACTTGCTGACCACTACGCACAAGACATCAATACAAAACCAGAGGCGTAGCGACCCTTCCCGGCGCCCGGGGACAAACTTTTCAATTTGCACCCCCCCCTCAAGATTTCGATTTGCACCCCCCCCTCGAGATTTCGATTTGCACCCCCTCAAACTTCCGATTTGCGACCCCCCCCCCCTCGAGATTTCCATTTGCACCCCCCTCAACCTTTCAATTTATTTTTCCAACCCATTTTGGCGCCCCCTAAGGTCGGCGCCCGGGGACATATGTCCCCCCCGCCCCCCCCCCTCGCTACGCTACTGTACAAAATTCCTCTAAAGTGTGTCTTAAATGTTTTCGACACTAGATACAAATATAAATACATAGACCCCAACGCAACACACACTACTGCAGTTATCAAATCCAAGGCTCTTTATTTACAAACTAGAAAGAGGACCTTTATGTTTATTCTTCTAAATATGTGATAATAATTTTTATCTAATCACATCATTAAATATCACACAATATGAAAACTCTTATTTGAAAAAGTAGCAATATTTTTTTACCAATGACGTAATCAAAAATTGCGTCTTTGTGCTGTCTTCTGCTAGAAGAAATATTACATACAAATGGCGGCAATTCACTCTCTGCAAAGATTCGCACATTTCATTTTTCTCTTGCGTTAAGTTGTTGCACTAGAGATTTTGAAACAACGTATTTATTGTAACAGGCAAAACAGTTATTATTATTATAAAGATGTTTTAGGTAAATATTATATAGGTTTTCGGTTTAATCGGCTCCTTACAGATCTATAATATTGATCTTGATTCTAATTTCTTTATTTATCTAGATCTAGATCTAGATGCTGCATTCATCTAGTATCTAGATATTAGCTAGATTTTCTAGATGTATATTGTAGATTTAACGAAATCCAGATTCTAGATTTGCCTAGATCTATCAGCATCTAGAATCTAGGTATAAAATTGTGTCTTTATTCTAGAGTTTAATAGTTTAATTCTTCTACAAGATAGTATGAAAATTGTATCGTTTAAATAATTTACTGATCTAACCGTCACGAAAAAAGTGGTTAGATCTAGAAATCTATATCTTTATCGAGAATAAATTATCTTAGTAGGCCTATACTACTAGGCGGCCTTTGTTTAAAGTTTAAAAGCAGAGTTGATATTTGAGCATTGTCTTGCCTCATCTATTGAATGATAAAGACAGAGTTGATATTTTGAGCATTATCTCATCTATTGTGTGAGAACTCTTCAAGTGATACCAAGAAATAAACCCACTTAAAGAAATAATTAAAATGACGTCATTGAAACTACGTTGATAGCTGCGGAAGGCATACAGATCTATTTTACCCCTATAATTTAGTTCAATTTTTTTTTTCAGTGAATGCGAACAACTATTGCATGCTAGAAAAGTCGAGTTAAATTCACTTGAATATTCTATTCATACAAGACTAGACATTTTATAAATAAAATATTTGAAACTCAAAAAATATTCAAATCCTTTTATCAATTAAACTTTGGCTAAATATTACAAATGATGGGTTACTGAAGAAAAAGAACGGATCAACGAATGACTGAAAGGACTGAGAAGAGCCACTGAAAGGACTGAGACGTGCCTCTTAAGGGACTGAGACGCGCCACTAAAGGGACTGAGACGGGCCACTAAAGGGACTGAGACGGGCCACTGAAGGGACTGAGACGCGCCGCTAAAGGGACTGAGACGGGCCACTAAAGGGACTGAGACGCGCCACTAAAGGGACTGAGACGGGCCACTAAAGGGACTGAGACGGGCCACTAAAGGGACTGAAGCCATGAACTTGATCGACCACTTACTTCTTTGGCGAAGGGTTCTAATTTTAGCCATCACGCCTATTGCTGCATCACCGTTGATAATCATATACACCTCAAAGGTGAGTTCAGTTGTAACCCTAGTTAGCTGTAGCATTACAAAAACGTTAGCAATATATATATATATATATATATATATATATATATATATATATATATATATATATATATATATATATATATATATATACAACTGCTTATTGTAGTATTATTAAAGTCGAACGGGGTTAAAAGTTTGACATGATAGTAGATGTGAACACGATCTTATAAAAAATGTCTACGTGAAGCAGGAAAAAAAGGTTTGTCACAGCATGCAGTAAACACGTACGTCATTTTCGTGTGTAAAATCTAACATATTTTGTTTCTTTCCAAAAACACTAAAGCTAGTAACCAAAGACATGTACATTGTTTATCTTCCATATAATAATCCCAAAATGTCATATATGTTTTATGTTCAGCCAAATTATCAAGGGGCAACATGTCCTATGTTTAGGCCCACGAATTTTTTGCAGTTTAAATTTCTTGTCAGTCATCATTTTATATTACTAAGCATTCACTGTTGTTATTATATCACACGCTTTAGTTGTACCCAGCTGGTTCTTTGGTTAGTTGGCTTTAAATTGTGATACTAGGATGCTAGAAATAGTTTTATATTCTGAAGAAATGTTTTATTGTCGAACATTTCGGTGCATGTTTTTAAATATTGGTTGCCTAAAGATTTGAGCATGTTTTTAAATATTGGTTGCCTAAAGATTTGAGCATGTTTTGAAATATTGGTTGCCTAAAGATTTGAGCATGTTTTGAAATATTGGTTGCCTAAAGATTTGAGCATGTTTTGAAATATTGGTTGCCTAAAGATTTGAGCATGTTTTGAAATATTGGTTGCCTAAAGATTTGAGCATGTTTTTAAATATTGGTTGCCTAAAGATTTGAGCATGTTTTGAAATATTGGTTGCCTAAAGATTTGAGCATGTTTTGAAATATTGGTTGCCTAAAGATTTGAGCATGTTTTGAAATGTTCATTGACTAAAGATTTGAGCATGTTTCTAAATGTTCAATAACCAACTATTTGGTGCATTTTTTGAAATGTTTGTTAACTAACAATTGGGTGCATGTTGCAGGTAGCCAAATGCTCATTAACGAACAATTTGTTGCATGTTGAAGGTAGCCAAATGCTCATTAACAAACAATTTGTTGCATGTTGAAGGTAGCCAAATGTTCGTTAACCAACAATTTGTTGCATGTTGCAGGTGGCCAATGCTCATTAACAAACAATTTGTTGCATGTTGAAGGTAGCCAAATGTTCGTTAACCAACAATTTGTTGCATGTTGCAGGTGGCCAATGCTCATTAACCAACAATTTGTTGCATGTTGCAGGTGGCCAAATGTTCGTTAACCAACAATTTGTTGTATGTAGCAGATAGTCCAATGCTCATTAACTAACAATTTGTTGCATGTGTCCAAATGCTCATCAACCAACAATTTGTTGCATGTTGCAGGTGGCCAAATGCTCATCAACCAACAATTTGTTGCATGTGGCCAAATGCTCATTAACCAACAATTTGTTGCATGTTGCAGGTAGCCAAATGTTCATTAACCAACAATTTGTTGCATGTTGCAGGTGGCCAAATGCTCATCAACCAACAATTTGTTGCATGTGGCCAAATGCTCATTAACCAACAATTTGTTGCATGTTGCAGGTGGCCAAATGCTCATTAACCAACAATTTGTTGCATGTTGCAGGTGGCCAAATGCTCATTAACCAACAATTTGTTGCATGTTGCAGGTGGCCAAATGCTCATCAACCAACAATTTGTTGCATGTGGCCAAATGCTCATTAACCAACAATTTGTTGCATGTTGCAGGTGGCCAAATGCTCATTAACCAACAATTTGTTGCATGTTGCAGGTGGCCAAATGCTCATTAACAAACAATTTGTTGCATGTTGAAGGTAGCCAAATGTTCGTTAACCAACAATTTGTTGCATGTTGCAGGTGGCCAAATGCTCATTAACCAACAATTTGTTGCATGTTGCAGGTGGCCAAATGTTCGTTAACCAACAATTTGTTGTATGTAGCAGATAGTCCAATGCTCATTAACTAACAATTTGTTGCATGTGTCCAAATGCTCATCAACCAACAATTTGTTGCATGTTGCAGGTGGCCAAATGCTCATCAACCAACAATTTGTTGCATGTGGCCAAATGCTCATTAACCAACAATTTGTTGCATGTTGCAGGTAGCCAAATGTTCATTAACCAACAATTTGTTGCATGTTGCAGGTGGCCAAATGCTCATCAACCAACAATTTGTTGCATGTGGCCAAATGCTCATTAACCAACAATTTGTTGCATGTTGCAGGTGGCCAAATGCTCATTAACCAACAATTTGTTGCATGTTGCAGGTGGCCAAATGCTCATTAACCAACAATTTGTTGCATGTTGCAGGTGGCCAAATGCTCATCAACCAACAATTTGTTGCATGTGGCCAAATGCTCATTAACCAACAATTTGTTGCATGTTGCAGGTGGCCAAATGCTCATTAACCAACAATTTGTTGCATGTTGCAGGTGGCCAAATGCTCATTAACCAACAATTTGTTGCATGTTGCAGGTGGCCAAATGCTCATTAACCAACAATTTGTTGCATGTTGCAGGTGGCCAAATGCTCATTAACCAACCATTTGTTGCATGTTGCAGGTGGCCAAATGCTCATTAACCAACAATTTGTTGCATGTTGCAGGTGGCCAAATGCTCATTAACCAACCATTTGTTGCATGTTGCAGGTGGCCAAATGTTCATTAACGAACAATTTGTTGCATGTTGCAGGTGGCCAAATGCTCATCAACCAACAATTTGTTGCATGTGGCCAAATGCTCATTAACCAACAATTTGTTGCATGTTGCAGGTAGCCAAATGCTCATTAACCAAAAATTTGTTGCATGTTGCAGGTTGCCAAATGCTCATTAACCAACAATTTGTTGCATGTTGCAGGTAGCCAAATGCTCATTAACCAAAAATTTGTTGCATGTTGCAGGTAGCCAAATGCTCATTAACCAACAATTTGTTGCATGTTGCAGGTGGCCAAATGCTCATTAACCAACAATTTGTTGCATGTTGCAGGTGGCCAGATGCTCCTACGTGCTGGTGCTGATGAGCGTCTTCTGGCTGACCGAATGTCTCCCCGTGGGGATGACGGCACTGTTTCCGGTCTTCCTGTTTCCGGTGTTCGAAATTGTTCCGTCATCGGAAATCGCATCACAATACGTCAACGTGAGTGGGTTTTGTTTACCTGTGTTTACCTGTGTTTACCTGTGTTTACCTGTTTACCTGTGTTTACCTGTGTTTACCTGTGTTTACCTGTGTTTACCTGTGTTTACCTGTGTTTACCTGTGTTTACCTGTGTTTACCTGTGTTTACCTGTATTCACCTGTGTTGATGAAACGTGTAACAACAGAAGATGTTGAAACAGTTTGTCTCTTGTCCAGGACGCTAACATGCTGTTTATTGGGGGTCTGTTGATGGCTGCTGCCGTCGAATACTGGCAGATACACAAGCGGATTGCTCTGAAAATGTTGAGAGGGGTGGGGGCAGAGCCCAAATGGTAAGTGTAAAATGTTGAAAGGGGTGGGGGGTAGAGCCCAAATGGTAAGTGTAAAATGTTGAGAGGGGTGGGGGTAAGCTTAAAATGTGACATTTGTCGTAGTTTTTAACTGATTTGGGGATTTGTAATAAATAAAAGTATTCGTCTTTTAGGGTTCGATTAATCGGGATTTGTATGTCTTGGCGAATAGCAAGACCTAAATTCTCGTATTTTATCATATGATGTTAACATATGACTATTAATATTTAATTTTTTGGGACAGGGTAGTCTTGATATATTTTTTACTTGGGATAAATGTTGGTTAATCTTGGAAATTTTGAGACTTACCATGGTCTAAATATGAGAAGTGCATAGATAATTTCTTAATTGTTTCTGGTAATTGGCGAATATTTGAAATCAATCTAGAAAATTAATGATGGATTAGTCTTAAAAAATTGGAACGTATATGTATACATGTTTTGGTATCTAAATAAGTCGGGAATCTTAAGTAAATTAAAGCTGTAGCTTGTTGTTTGTTTACTCGCCTCTACCCCCATGTGTGATCCATTGTCAGGCTGATGCTGGGCATGATGTTTGTGTCTTGTACCATGTAGGTTGATGCTGGGCATGATTTTTGTGTCTTGTACCCTGTAGGTTGATGTTGGGCATGATGTTTGTGTCTTGTACCCTGTAGGTTGATGCTGGACATGATGTTTGTGTCTTGTACCCTGTAGGCTGATGCTGGGTATGATGTTTGTGTCTTGTACCCTGTAGGTTGATGCTGGACATGATGTTTGTGTCTTGTACCCTGTAGGTTGATGTTGGGCATGATGTTTGTGTCTTGTACCCTCTAGGCTGGGTATGATGTTTGTGTCTTGTACCCTGTAGGTTGATGCTGGACATGATGTTTGTGTCTTGTATTTTGTAGGCTGATGTTGGGTATGATGTTTGTGTCTTGTACCCTGTAGGCTGATGTTGGGTATGATGTTTGTGTCTTGTATTTTGTAGGCTGATGTTGGGCATGATGTTTGTGTCTTGTACCCTGTAGGCTGATGTTGGTTATGATGTTTGTGTCTTGTACCCTGTAGGCTGATGCTGGACATGATGTTTGTGTCTTGTATTTTGTAGGCTGATGCTGGACATGATGTTTGTGTCTTGTATTTTGTAGGCTGATGTTGGGTATGATGTTTGTGTCTTGTATTTTGTAGGCTGATGTTGGGTATGATGTTTGTGTCTTGTACCCTCTAGGCTGATGTTGGGCATGATGTTTGTGTCTTGTATTTTGTAGGCTGATGTTGGTTATGATGTTTGTGTCTTGTACCCTGTAGGCTGATGTTGGGCATGATGTTTGTGTCTTGTACCCTGTAGGCTGATGTTGGTTATGATGTTTGTGTCTTGTACCCTGTAGGCTGATGCTGGACATGATGTTTGTGTCTTGTACCCTGTAGGTGGATGTTGGGTATGATGTTTGTGTCTTGTACCCTGTAGGCTGATGTTGGGTATGATGTTTGTGTCTTGTACCCTGTAGGCTGATGTTGGGCATGATGTTTGTGTCTTGTACCCTGTAGGCTGATGTTGGTTATGATGTTTGTGTCTTGTACCCTGTAGGCTGATGCTGGACATGATGTTTGTGTCTTGTACCCTGTAGGCTGATGCTGGACATGATGTTTGTGTCTTGTATTTTGTAGGCTGATGCTGGACATGATGTTTGTGTCTTGTATTTTGTAGGCTGATGTTGGTTATTATGTTTGTGTCTTGTACCCTGTAGGCTGATGCTGGACATGATGTTTGTGTCTTGTATTTTGTAGGCTGATGCTGGACATGATGTTTGTGTCTTGTATTTTGTAGGCTGATGTTGGGTATGATGTTTGTGTCTTGTACCCTCTAGCTGGGTATGATGTTTGTGTCTTGTACCCTGTAGGCTGATGTTGGGCATGATGTTTGTGTCTTGTACCCTGTAGGCTGATGTTGGTTATGATGTTTGTGTCTTGTACCCTGTAGGCTGATGTTGGTTATGATGTTTGTGTCTTGTACCCTGTAGGTGGATGTTGGGTATGATGTTTGTGTCTTGTACCCTGTAGGCTGATGTTGGGTATGATGTTTGTGTCTTGTACCCTGTAGGCTGATGTTGGGCATGATGTTTGTGTCTTGTACCCTGTAGGCTGATGTTGGTTATGATGTTTGTGTCTTGTACCCTGTAGGTGGATGTTGGGTATGATGTTTGTGTCTTGTACCCTGTAGGCTGATGTTGGGTATGATGTTTGTGTCTTGTACCCTGTAGGTGGATGTTGGGCATGATGTTTGTGTCTTGTACCCTGTAGGCTGATGCTGGACATGATGTTTGTGTCTTGTATTTTGTAGGCTGATGCTGGACATGATGTTTGTGTCTTGTATTTTGTAGGCTGATGTTGGGTATGATGTTTGTGTCTTGCACCCTCTAGCTGGGTATGATGTTTGTGTCTTGTATTTTGTAGGCTGATGTTGGTTATGATGTTTGTGTCTTGTATTTTGTAGTTTGATGTTGGGTATGATGTTTGTGTCTTGTACCCTGTAGGCTGATGTTGGGCATGATGTTTGTGTCTTGTACCCTGTAGGCTGATGTTGGTTATGATGTTTGTGTCTTGTACCCTGTAGGCTGATGTTGGTTATGATGTTTGTGTCTTGTACCCTGTAGGTGGATGTTGGGCATGATGTTTGTGTCTTGTACCCTGTAGGCTGATGTTGGGTATGATGTTTGTGTCTTGTACCCTGTAGGCTGATGCTGGACATGATGTTTGTGTCTTGTACCCTGTAGGCTGATGTTGGTTATGATGTTTGTGTCTTGTACCCTGTAGGCTGATGCTGGACATGATGTTTGTGTCTTGTATTTTGTAGGCTGATGCTGGACATGATGTTTGTGTCTTGTATTTTGTAGGCTGATGTTGGGTATGATGTTTGTGTCTTGTACCCTCTAGCTGGGTATGATGTTTGTGTCTTGTACCCTGTAGGTTGATGTTGGGCATGATGTTGGCCACCTGGTTCCTGTCCATGTGGATCTCCAACACCGCGGCCACGGCCATGATGATTCCTGTAGTCGAGGCCATCTTGAAGAGGTTGAAGGAATCAGAGATAGAGAACAAGATTTTTAGCCCTAGCCTTGGTCAGTTGGTGGTGTAGTGTTTTGGTCAGTTGATGTTGTAGGTTGTAGTGTCTTCATCAGTTGATGTTGTAGTGTCTTGGTCAGTTGTTGCTGTCGTGTCTTTGTTAGTTGTTGCTGTCGTGTCTTTGTCAGTTGATGTTGTAGTTTCGGTCAGGTGATGTTGTAGTGTTTTGGTCAGTTGATGTTGTAGTGTCTTCATCAGTTGATGTTGTCGTGTCTTTGTCGGTTGATGTTGTAGTTTCTTGGTCAGTTGATGTTGTAGTATTTTGGTCAGGTGATGTTGTAGTGTCTTCATCACTTGATGTTGTCGTGTCTTGGTCAGTTGATGTAGTAGTGTTTTGGTCAGTTGATGTTGTAGTGTTTTGGTCAGTTGATGTAGTAGTGTTTTGGTCAGTTGATGTTGTAGTGTTTTGGTCAGTTGATGTAGTAGTGTTTTGGTCAGTTGATGTTGTAGTGTCTTCATCAGTTGGTGTTGTCGTGTCGTGTTACGATACTTACTAAATCTCTTTGTTGCTGTTTTGCAAGAGCTGTAACTCTAATTCAATATTTCTCCTACAGCCTATCTCTGTGTCTGGTTGGTGTAAAACCGGTCACTCAGACTTGACTAGTAGTTCACGAGTTTTTTCAAACTTTCTAGATATGCACTAATCATTGCCGATTACAGAGGAAAAAACCTCCTTTATTCAATCTACTCTGAAATTGAATTAGCCTATTAAGATTTTGCAATCTAATCAGATATAAAAGTAGTCATTAAAATTTATATTAGCGATTCCTATTTCCAACTACAAAAGGGGAGATAATTGTCTTATAAAGATCACCCGCGCAGTCATACGAGACGGACGTTAATAAAGGGCAGTAACTGCTTGTGTACAGTAATTTTTATAAGGACGTTTTACAAATTAATATTGCAGCTAATGAAAATAAATTCATTTTTATTTCCTTTGTTTTTGTGCATTTAGTATTTGCTATTTATTAATTTGTTTTAACCAATAAAATAGATACATATCAAGTAACAATATCATTCAATTAAAATTTTAATTTTATGTTTTACTTCAGGAAAATTTTTCGTGACATAAAAAAAAACAACCTTTTTACTTTCTCGTTTATACGAAGTATAGCAGGGGTCGGCAACCTACGGCTCGCGAGCCGCATGCGGCTCCTTTGATATCAAGATGCGGCTCTCCAGCTCATTGAACAAATACTAATAATCTTAACCAAAAAATAAAATATTTGAAATAAAAATAATGTTATTGGCTCATTAAAACCAGGGAAATTTTGAAAATTGTAACTTTTGGCTCTTCCGCTTCAAAAGGTTGCCGACCCCTGGAAGTATAGAGAAAGTCTTGTAATCGTGCAAAAAAAAAATCGATATTTTTACAAATCTCGACGTTTTACACCTCACTGATACGGAAAAACATAATTTTGCAATCTTGTCCGTATGTCTGTGTGTCTGTCTGTGTGTCTGTCTGTCCGTGTGTAAACACGATAACTTGAGTACCGTTACAGCTAGGTTGATGAAATTTCATATATAAGTATTTTATCAAAATCGTAGATCCGTATCAACTTTTGAGCGATTTCCGATAACCGGAAGTGGTACTTTTCCTACTTTGAATTTTTCAAAAGCCTATAACTTGAGTACTATTTCAGATAGATAAATGAAATTTCACATGTAAGTAAAAGATCTAATTCTCTACCTTCTGTTAAATTTTGAGTAATTTCCGTTGACTGGAAGTAGTACTTTACGCTACTTCCGATTTCTCAAAAAACTAATGTAAATTTTAAAAGTACTAATAATATTGCGCACTATTATGCGCTTTTTTATTTGGCGTTCACTTGGTGTGCAATTAATTTGTCTACGAGATTTTATTCTATTTTTAAAACTTTAAGTATTTAAAATGGATTAAAAATCATGTTTAACCCATATTCTGCTAGCGTCCCACGTCCCACTTATGGGACGCTTGTAAAAAAAATTGCTAAAATTTATTAAAAACTAGTTAAAACACAAATTATGTTTCATTGTATTTGAAAATGGCTAGACTATTGAATTTGTGTGTGTTTTGTGAAAAAAATTAATTTAGAAAAATGTTATAGTGCCGGATTTGTAGGACTTGTCAAAATGGCGGAAAAAAGAAAACATGCGCACAGGAAAATGCATATCTTCTAAAATATTAACATTTTAAGTGCAAAATACATTTGAAACTTGTAGCAGTACCATATTTCTATCTGATAAAAATTTAAGAATAAAAATTGTTTTTTACTACTTGGTTATATCAAGTGTACAACAAGCGTCCCATAAGTGGGACGCTAGCAACGAATGGCCCCATGTAGATTGTTACACAAACGTCACATTTATTTGACACTAGCGAGAAACACATATGCAAATGTTTATGTTAAATTGTTATTTATGGTGAAACAATTGTTGACTATGTTAACTGCTGACTTTGGGGTGTTAAGTACTATTTATAGATATTTAATTATGACCTTGACCTATATTTATGCAGATTGTTACACAAACGTCACATTTATTGGATACTAGCGAGAAACACAGATGCAAATATTTATGTTAAATGGTTAATTATGGTGAAACAATTGTTGACTTTGTTAACTGTTGACTTTAGAGTGTTAAGTAGTATTTATAGATATTTAATTATGACCTTGAGCAATATTTTCTTATATATTATTGTATTAAAACATTGCAAATATTGAAAAACTTACATTTTATTTTTCAGTTTTCAGAATTACGCTTACTGAAGTATTTAATACCATTGAATACAAACTAATTTAGTATTGCTGTAAATTTACTAGCGCGTGATATTAAAATTATAACAAACCAGATTAATAACAATGGCCACTATTGAGGTGAAATGATTCAGTCAAGGGGGTTGGTTAACTCTCTTCATATAAGAGCTCAAGAGCAGAAATTTGAATTAGCTGTGTACTAGTGTCATGCCCCAATAATATTCCCATCCAAAGGTTCCCGATACTAGTTTTACTTCGTTAACTTTTTAAGGAGGTTCCTGGTGTTAGATTGGGAGCTGTTCGCATAGTGAAGTGCATACATGGATGAGAGCCATGAACACTCAATACAAGCCCCCAGAGACGGATCCGTGCCCTTGAAACAAGATGTATGATGTCCTAATGTACGCCTGTGAGGGGGGGGGGGGGAGATAGCGAAGGTAACAAAAGAGAAGATGGCTAGATGACATCTGGGACTGGACCGGATCGTCTTTTGCAAATTCACTGAGGGCAGAGTTTCTTTCAGGCACCATTTCGGATGGGGGGGGGGGGGGGGGGGCTCTGCCCCCAGAACAAAATGGAATTTATATACAAAACATACTTTTACCAATGTCCACCCTTCCCATGAAATTTAAGTCCCCCCCCCCCTGAAAATTTCAAGTACGCCCCCCAAAAAATCAATTATTTATATTTAATTATATTACAGTTTCGATGAATAATAACAATATTTGTGATCATGTGTGTATAATTAGATGTACTAGTCACAGCTTTACTTATTTCCAAGTGTTGTTCACTTTGATGGATGCTAGATTGATAGAAAACTAGACTTTTGAACACAATTTTTGCATTTTAGACCATGGTATGGCTAACCCAATTGATCATTATCATTATTTTTAGCTGTCCTTAACAATGTAATCATTGGTCTAACAATACAAAATCAGTATACAGCTTAATTTTCGCGTGATTAGCCATATGTCGTGATAAATGATTTTATTTTTCAATAAATGTACATGGGGCCGTTCGTTGCTAGCGTCCCATTTATGGGACGTTTTTTAAAAAATCGATATTTAAAAAAGTATTGATTTTAAAAAAATCCATAGCCATTCCTTCATTCAGTGCCCAAAAGCTAAACCATATCAAAAAATTATAAAAATTTGAGACCTTGGGATAATATGGGCTATAGCCCGAGTTCCCATCCCCTGTTATTTTATATAAGAATATTCGAGAAAGTTTAGGGGAGATCACTCCCGGTTTATTTAATAACTATCATGTAATGTTTTCCAGATACCTTTCTCCAATAGTTTGTAAATGCAAAAAATATTAGGTCAGTTTGTGATATGATCTTGGTCTATTTATCAACAAATGTACCTGATCTACGATGTTAGTTATTTTTTAAAAACAAGAATAAACTTCAAAAATCTTTAAAAAAAAAAAAAAAATTAATATCGCAGTGGTGTTCCATTTAGTTTTTAGCGCAATTTCCTTACAGGTCCTTACTAGTCATTTCTGGTTTTGTTTAAAAGTCGTCTCACTAAGTGTGTTGCCTAATCATCAATTTTGTTTTAAATTTACACACAGGTGACCTAACGACCTCGGCAACCGCTGTCATGTCCGTTGAAGAGGGGTCACCAAAAACATCAATTGAGTCCTTAACAACAGTGACTGCAAGGTGGGTTAACTAACAGTTAGCTGGGTAAACTTACCGCTAGGTGGGTAAACTAAAAGTTAGGTGGTTAAACTGACCGCTAGGTGGGTAAACTGACGGGGGGGGGGGAAGATAAACTGACCGATAGGGGGGTAAACTGACGGGGGGGGGGGGTAAACTGACCGCTAGGTGGGTAAACTGACGGGGTGTGGGGGGAAGTAAACTGACCGCTAGGTGGGTAAACTAACAGTTAGGTGGTTAAACCGACAGCTAGGTGGGTAAGCTAACAGTTAGGTGGTTAAACTGACCGCTAGGTGGGTAAACTGACGGGGGGGGGGTGGGTGGTAAACTGACCGCTAGGTGGGTAAACTGACGGGGGGGGGGGAAGTAAACTGACCGCTAGGTGGGTAAACTGACGGGGGGGGGGGAGAAGTAAACTGACCGCTAGGTGGGTAAACTTCTTGGGGGGGGGGGGGGTAAACTGACGGGGGGGGGGGGGGGGGGTTAAACTGAAAGGGGGGAGGTAAACTGACTTATTTTAGGGAAAACTGAAGTCACTACACGCCGGATCAACTGACCGCAAGGGGATAAACTAACAGTTAGGTGGGTAAACTGATCGCTAGGTGGGTAAACCGACGGGGAGGGGATAAACTAATCTCAAGGGGGCTAAACTCACTACAAGGTGGGTAAACATTGAGAGCTAGGTGGGTAAACTTACGGCGTAGGGGGGGGGGGGTAAACTGACCGCAACGAGGGTAAACGACCGCCAGGTTGGTAAACTCACTACAAGGTGGGTAAATTAGCAAATAGGTGGGTAAAGTAAGCGATGTCTCAAATTTTTTCATGTCAGTCAGACTAAAACTGAGCCTTGAATACTTGTCATTTGGTCAGGATAACAGAAGAGTACAAGGAGAGCGAGTTCCCGTCGGTTCTCCTAAAGGAGGAGACGGCGGCTGACGTGGGGCCCGAGGTGGAGGACGAAAACTACGTCAACTTCGGCAAGGCCATCTCCCTCAGCATCTGCTACTCGGCCACCTGCGGGGGCGTGGCCAACCTGACCGGGACGGATCCGAACCTGGTACTCAAGTCCTTCACAGATGCGTAAGGTCATATGTAAAGTGGAGTTATGTGAAGTGTTTTATACGACGTTTTTTTCAGAAAGGTTTTCTTTATTTTCTTTAAGACGTCACATACATTTAAGCTAGCCACCAACACACCGAGTCACCCAACTCATACACACATACAAGTACACACAAGCACACACACACACACACACACACATACATATATATATATATATATATATATATATATATATATATATATATATATATATATATATATATATATATATATATATTTATATATTTATATGCAAAGATATACAAAGACTGAGATCTGTCCTTGGTTCTGATAGAAATTAATTAATCATTCATTATGTCGCATTTGATTTTCAAGTATAAATATTAGCACCATGCCCCTCCCCCCATTGTGTATTTAAACACCGTCTCTCCCCCCCCCCCCCCCCCCCCACCCAGCATCTATTCATCACGTAACCTGAACAACCCAGTGACCTTCTCTACGTGGTTCGCCTACGGTTTTCCCATGTCAGTCGTTATGATGGTCATTACATGGGCGTGGCTACAGGTCACCTATCTTAGCTACAGGTCAGTTCAATTAGTTAATTAGGTTTTTTCAGGTCAGTTCAATTACTTAATTAGTCGCATGCTTCAGACGTCGAGTAATTGGTCAATTCATTTAATATGTGTTGTTTGTGTCTCAAAATTAAAAAGTAATGTAAATTGTTCGTCACAGCGACATTGGCAATGAAAAATACTACAAGATGCGGATGAAGAAAGTGAAAAAGATCCTCGATGATGAATACGATGCTTTGGGATCTATGGTGTAAGCTTGTAGTCTGTATTCATGGTTTATAACTTTATATATTGTATATCAAAGTAGTATACACACTTCATTTACGTATGATTTATAGGATTTATGTCGAATACACATGTAACATATATAAATATTTAGGTCTATTTAATTTTATATTACATGTATCTACACGATTGTACATGTGTTGTATTTATTCACACAGGTTTGGCCAAATTTTGATCATTATTTTATTCGTTTCCCTGGTTCTACTCTGGATGACACGTGATATGGGTGGAGAGATGGGGTGGGGTCATATGTTTTACCCTCCGTAAGTTCCTTAGTGATGTTTTACCCTTCGTAAGTTTTTTAGTGATGTTTTATCCTCCGTAATTGGTCTAGCGGTAGATCGCTGGACTGCTAACCCGTAAGTCTCGAGTTCGAAACCGAGTTCAAGTCAGTAGACCGTCCCTGAGTCCACCCAACTCTGATGGGTACATAACTCACGTTAGGGAAAGTAAAGGCGGCTGGGCATAGTGCTGACCACACTATCTCTTCATATGCCGAGGTCACAGAAACAAGTGAACTCTATTTCACTTGCCCTATATACGGTCAGGTTTGAAAGAGAACTTACCCTCCATAAGTTTCTTTGTGATGTTTTGCCCTCCGTAAGTTTACCTACTCGTGATGTTTCACTCTCCGTAAGTGTCTTTGTGATGTTTTGCCCTTCATAAATTTACCTACTCGTGATGTGATGTTTCACCCTCCGTAAGTTTCTTAGTGATGTTTACCCTCCGTTAGTTATCCTACTAGTTATTGTTTTAATTGTGAGAGAATATTTTTCTTTTGAATACAACTGTAATCATGATGTCGGTAACATTAAGGAACAATAAAAGAAAGATTTGAACCCGTCACTTTCAGCGTGAAAGAAGGTGCTGTGGCTATTTTTGTCGCCGTGTTGCTGTTTGGTCTACCCGCCACACCTCCCTGGGGTAAAGCACCACAACGCACGGCAGCCGACCCGGACAAAAATCTGGACAAAAATAATTCACATAAGAGAGACAAGAAAAAAGGTAAATATTGCTTAATCTGGTGAAAATTCTCACTTAAATACTTTAAATACAATTACATATAGATCTACTTGAAATTTTAAATCGGAAAAAAATAAATTAGGGGTAGGTTGGACGAAGTAGAATTTTTTAGGTACGGTTATGTATCTAGTCTAGACCTACATTAAGGGCGTAACCCCCCTGGCAGGGACGGAGTGGTCTAACGGTAGAGAGCTAGGAATCCGGGTTCAAGCTAGTAGATCGTCCCTGAGGCCACCCAGCTCTGATGGGTACCCAACTCACGTTAGGGAAAGCAAAGATGGCGGGGCATAGTGCTGACCACACTATCCCTTCATATGCCCAGGTAATAGAAACAAGTGAACTCTAATTGCCCCATAGACCTTCAGTTTTGGAAGGGGAACTTAACCTTCACCTGTCAGCAGTGGCGTAGCAAGGTCGGGTGTCACCCGGTGCGGCACTTTATGGTGTCACCCCTACCCCCAGAGGCGTAGCGACCCTTCCCGGGAACAAACTTTCAAATTTTCGATTTGCACCCGCCCCCCCCCCCCCACTCAAACTTTCGATTTGCACCCTCCCTCAAGTTTTTCTCTATATATTTTGCTATTTTTTGCGTTGGTGTCACCCCCCCCCCCCCTAAATGGTGTCACCCGGTGCGGTCCGCACCCCCCCTCGCTACGCCCCTGCCTGGCAGGGATAGTTAGGCTCCATAGTTGTCACTACTTGTAGTGGTGTGTCTTTGTAGTTACCGATTATGGACCAAACTTCAAGGTAAACTTATTTCATTGGAATGTGGTGGTAACTAGTCCTTGACCTTTGACTTGACCTTGCAGGGAACCTGGTGATTCGACCTTTACTCACCTGGTCCATCGCCAACGAGAGGGTGCCGTGGCAGATCTTTTTCCTGTTGGGTGGAGGCTACGCCTTGTCACGTGGTTGTGAGGTAAGGTCTAAATATAGAAACACTGGTTAAATTGTATACAGGCCTACACGGTAACATTGGTTAGGGAAGGTTTTATTACAGGATAATGTTTTGGCTTTAGTTTTTACACACGCATTTACTTTGATAAAGGTAGATTTTGATATAGAAGAATGTCTAGGCTCAGAAGGTTTTGTTATACACGCATATCGATCATAGAAAGTCACGTGGTTGTGAAGTATGTTCTAAATATAGAAACACTGGTTACATTTCATACAGGCTTAAACAGTTACATTGGTTAGGGAAGGTTTTAGTACAGGAATATGTTTTGGCTTTAGTTTTTACACACGCATTTACTTTGATAAAGGTAGATTTTAATACAGAAGATTGTCTAAGCTTAGAAGGTTTTGTTATACATGCATATAGATCATAGACAGTTCTAATACAAATATGAAATGTTTGAATATTATTAAGTTTGTATGAATGTTTGCTTGTTAGCAGAATCGATTAGTTGGCTGAAGTTGCATTATGTTTACATTTGTATGAGACTCTTTGTTAGCAGAATTGTGACTATGATAGTGTTGATTATGTATTTGTTGGCAGACGTCTTACTTTGATTACATTTGTTGACTGACGTCTTACTTTGATTACATTTGTTGACTGACGTCTTACTTTGATTACATTTGTTGGTAGAGATCCGGCCTCTCCCTCTGGGTAGGGCAGCAGCTCGAGACCCTGGGGGAGTTCAACCAGTGGGGGATACTCATCATCATCTGCTACGTCACGGCCGCGGCGACAGAAGTGACGTCAAACAACACAATCGCTACTCTACTCCTCCCCATTCTCGGCCAGCTGGTTAGCAGAATATTTTTTTGGTTGTTTACAGTAAAACTAAAATATTCAAATCACATTTCTTTTTTAGTTTACAATGAAACTAAAATATTCGAATCGATTTTTTGGTTGTTTACATCAAAACTAAATTGTTTAAATCATTTCTTTAGTTTACATTAAAACTTAATTACACAAATCAAATTTTTTGGTAGTTTACAGCAAAATTAAAATATTTAACCCATACACATAGACTTTCCAAATGGGACAAGTGATGTAGGTCTCTAGTCTCTAGGCAATCTAACATTTGATGTCCAAATTTCAACAAGTCAGTCATTTGACAAGGGTCAACCTGAAAGTAGCTGTGGTAGATCTGATTGGTTGATTTTGCTTGTCCCACAGGCCCTGAACACCGGTGCCCACCCCCTCTACTACATGCTTCCCTGTACGTTCGCCTGCTCGTTTGCTTTCATGTTACCCGTGGCCACGCCCCCTAACGCCATTGTGTTTGCATATGGACGAGTCAAAATCACGGACATGGTGAGTGGATTTGCTTTCATGACTTTAGTGTAAAGGACAAGGTGACTTGATGTAAAGAGGACTTTAGTCTATAGGAGATGGTGAGTGCATTTGTTTGCAGAGTTTTAGTCTATAGGAGATGGTGAGTGCATTTGTTTGCAGAGTTTTAGTCTATAGGAGATGGTGAGTGCATTTGTTTGCAGAGCTTTAGTCTATAGGAGATGGTGAGTGCATTTGTTTGCAGAGCTTTAGTCTATAGGAGATGGTGAGTGCATTTGTTTGCAGAGCTTTAGTCTATAGGAGATGGTGAGTGCATTTGTTTGCAGAGCTTTAGTCTATAGGAGATGGTGAGTGGATTTGTTTGCAGAGCTTTAGTCTATATAACATGGTGAGTGCATTTGTTTGCAGAGCTTTAGTCTATAGGAGATGGTGAGTGCATTTGTTTGCAGAGCTTTAGTCTATATAACATGGTGAGTGCATTTGTTTGCAGAGCTTTAGTCTATATAACATGGTGAGTGCATTTGTTTGCAGAGCTTTAGTCTATATAACATGGTGAGTGCATTTGTTTGCAGAGCTTTAGTTTATATAACATGGTGAGTGCATTTGTTTGCAGAGCTTTAGTCTATAGGAGATGGTGACTCGATTTCGGAAGGAGTCTACTTTATAGAAGTTAGTGACTTGATTTAGGATGACTTTGGCTAGATTTGGTCAGTACTTTAGCCTATACAAAATTGCAAGTAACTATAATAGTCAAAGATGAAAACAATAGGATTAGGTTTGTAACTGATTTTGAATGATTTTATAGCATTATGTATGTAGACCACAATTACTTAATGCGTCTTTTTTTAAAAAAAAATCACTAAATGAAACAAATTTAATCTTAATCTTAAACTAAAGGCTTTTGTTACCTTACTAGTAGCCATAAATGCATTATTTATTCTAAACTTTATGTTATTAAAAAACAATACTTGGAAACGTTACTCCAAATTTCTCTTATTTTAACTATCTGCCTGGCAAAGTAGTAATTACATCTTTTTTAAAGAATAAGTTTGTGATTTGTATGTTTTATGTCAATCACCTTATCAACGTATGACTCACCTTGGTCTCAGGCAAGGACAGGTCTGGCGCTCAACATCCTGTCCGTTCCCTGCCTGGTCGCCATGACGGGAACCATCGGGAACATCGTGTTCGACTTTGACGAAGTTCCTGAAGCCTTCTTGAACCGGACCCTGACTGAGGTTTTCTTTGAACACGAATAATTTTTTCGCTGTCTGTGTGGGACTTTCAGGAGCTCAGACTGTTGCTTAACTACTCATCTAGGCGTCCTAGAGGGAATAGACTATGTTGCTTACCGTATATATATATATATATATATATATATATATATATATATATATATATATATATATATATATATATATATATATATATATTCTAGCAGCACGATGAAAGTGATGTAAATATTTGCTTTAGTTGTAAAAGTCGAACGAACGTGATGTGAACTTGCTACAAAGCATGATGTGAAGATTAAATTAGATGTTTTTCTTTGAATGTATCACACTAATTCATTCCTTACCAATTAAAACTTAGTACTGCCATCTTTGTTTTGGTTACATTATTTGATTTTAAATTGAAACTTAATTAGCGACATTACATTATTTGATTTTTAATTAAAACTTAATTAGCGACATTACAGTACGTATTTTGAAACAAAGTATTGTACTATAGGTTACGCTAAAATATAAAAATTAGTATTTAAGTCAAGTCTTGTATAAACTGTTAGAAAGATCAATGACAAATAAATAAAACATGTCAGATCTCCTTGGTACAAGGGTGTATGGCTTTGTTTGTACACGTCATGCCACTGTTTTATATTGTGTCATGCTACTGTCTCATGCCACTGTCTCATGCCACTGTCTCATGCCACTGTCTTATGTTGTCTCATGTCACTGTCTTATGTCACTGTCTCATGCCACTGTCTCACTCCACTGTCTCATGCCACTGTCTCATATTGTCTCATGCCACTGTCTCATGCCACTGTCTCATGCCACTGTCTCATGCCACTGTCTCATGCCACTGTCTTATGGCACTGTCTCATATTGTCTCATGGCACTGTCTCATGGCACTGTCTCATGGCACTGTCTCATGCCACTGTCTCATGCCACTGTCTCATGCCACTGTCTTATGGCACTGTCTCATATTGTCTCATGGCACTGTCTCATGGCACTGTCTCATGGCACTGTCTCATGCCACTGTCTCATGCCACTGTCTCATGCCACTGTCTCATGCCACTGTCTCATGCCACTGTCTCATGCCACTGTCTCATGGCACTGTCTTACTCCACTGTCTCATGCCACTGTCTCATGCCACTGTCTCATGCCACTGTCTCATGCCACTGTCTCATGGCACTGTCTTACTCCACTGTATCACGCCACTGTCTCATGCCACTGTCTCATGCCACTGTCTCATGCCACTGTCTCATGCTACTGTCTCATGCCACTGTCTCATGCCACTGTCTCATGCCACTGTCTCATGGCACTGTCTTACTCCACTGTCTCATGCCACTGTCTCATGCCACTGTCTCATGCCACTGTCTCATGCCACTGTCTCATGGCACTGTCTTACTCCACTGTCTCATGCCACTGTCTCATGCCACTGTCTCATGCCACTGTCTCATGTCACTTTCTCATGCCACTGTCTCATGCCACTGTCTCATGGCACTGTCTTACTCCACTGTCTCATGCCACTGTCTCATGCCACTGTCTCATGCCACTGTCTCATGCCACTGTCTCATGGCACTGTCTTACTCCACTGTCTCATGCCACTGTCTCATGCCACTGTCTCATGCCACTGTCTCATGCCACTGTCTCATGCCACTGTCTCATGCCACTGTCTCATGGCACTGTCTTACTCCACTGTATGATGCCACTGTCTCAAGCCACTGTCTCATGCCACTGTCTCATGCCACTGTCTCATGGCACTGTCTTATGCTACTGTCTCATGCCACTGTCTTATATTGTCTCATGCCACTGTCTCATGCTAATACTTCACACTGCCTTTTCAAGAATAAACACTAACAATGACGTCATGGAAATGTGTGTAGTATTTTTGTGTGGGTAAAACAGAAATGTGTTTCGACTAATGGCGTCTAGTGAGTCTAGCACATTTTCTCTACAAGGATGACTTAAAATGATTATAAAGTTCTATCGCATCAGGGACAGTTATACCTAGACATTTGACTGTTGGCAGCATCTTTAAATACCTCTGTGTGAGTTGTTTTTAAACACGTCAGTTCAGTGGTTAGTTAAAGAAAAGGTGTAAAGTGAATCATCTTTAACGTCAACACATTGTCATGTAAGTTCCTTGTTATTTTGTGTGCAAACGTCAAAAGATTCAGTGCATCCTCGTAGCACATTTATATTCTAATTAAGGACTTAAGTATTTGGCGTAGGTTGTTGTATGTTAAGGACTTCGGTTATACTAAATGCTGTGATATGAAAAACCAATGTTCTATAACGTTCCTGTATCTTCATAACTAACAATAGTTTACAATAGTAGGATACTTCATAGCAACAAGGTTTGATAAACGATGTAAAAATGGCTTTTGGATGCGTAAATCATTCTGGTGTGTGTGTGAGGGTGTGTGTGTGTGAGAGACAGAGGGTGTGTGTGTGGTGGATAGGAAGTAGTTGTAGAACCAAGCGTCACAAAACGCGCGCTCATCAGAATGAGTTTAAGACAAAAGCTGTTCCATTGCGTAAGGATTATTAATTCCCATCCCCTCTCGCACCATCTAACTAGCTTCTGGTATAAAGTTATAAGCGAACTTTTAGTAAAATATTGTGTCAATAGCTGACTGATGTTTCACTAGCTGAATGATGTTTCAATAGCTGACTGATGTTTCACGACTGATGTGTCAATAGCTGACTGATGTGTCAATAGCTGACTGATGTTTCAATAGCTGACTGATGTTTCAATAGCTGACTGATGTTTCAATAACTGACTGACGTGTCAATAGCTGACTAATGTTTCACAACTGATGTTTCAATTACTGACTGATGTTTCAATAGCTGATTGATGTTTCAATAGCTGACTAATGTGTCAATAGCTGACTGATGTGTCAATAGCTGACTGATGTTCCAATAGCTGACTGATGTTTCAATAGCTGAGTGATGTTTCAATAACTGACTGATGTTTCAATAGCTGACTGATGTTTCAATAGCTGAGTGATGTTTCAATAGCTGACTGATGTGTCAATAGCTGACTGATGTTTCACGACTGATGTTTCAATAGCTGAGTGATGTTTCAATAGCTGAGTGATGTTCCAATAGCTGACTGATGTTTCAATAGCTGACTGATGTTTCAATAGCTGACTGATGTTTCACTAGCTGACTAATGTTTCAATAGCTGACTGATGTTTCAATAGCTGACTGATGTTTCAATAGCTGACTGATGTTTCAATAACTGACTGACGTGTCAATAGCTGACTAATGTTTCACAACTGATGTTTCAATAGCTGACTGACACACTGACAACTTTCCCTGTACATGATGGATGTCAATTGTCTGCTACTGTGGAGGCGGGTCATCATCCTGGTCGTTACCCCAATCTCTCTCCTGCCACTCATTACCTTGTTTGATAGTAAGGTAAGTCTAGGTAACTCCTGATTTAGATGATTGTTAGAAAGGTAACTCAGGTAACTCCTGATTACGTTTTTCAATAGTAAATAGATTGCGTTACTTAAGAGTAACTTAAGAATAGGTACATGACTCTTTATATAAAAGCTGTGTCGCTGTATTAGGTTTTGACATTGAATGTTAACAGTTAATTAATGAGAAAACTTTATGAAGTGTTAACAATAAATTATGAGAACTTGTCACTAACATCAACATGATCATATGCTGTGTTCGAACATGAATTCTAACATTGAATGTTGTCATTTAATTATGACAGTTGACATTGAATGTTAACACCGTCAGTTTACATTGAATGTCAACACCGTCAGTTTACATTGAATGTCGTTGAATGTTAACTTTAAATGTTAACACTGAATGTTAACACTGAATGATAACACTGAATGTTAACACCGAATGTTAACACCGAATGTTAACACTGAATGCTAACACTGAATGCTAACACTAAATGCTAACACTAAATGTTAACATTAAATATTGCCACTGAATGTTAACACTGAATGTTGCCACTGAATGTTAACACTAAATGTTAACTAAATGTTAACACTAAATGTTAACTAAATGTTAACACTAAATGTTGCCACTGAATGTTGCCACTAAATGTTAACACTAAATGTTAACTAAATGTTAACACTAAATGTTAACTAAATGTTAACACTAAATGTTGCCACTGAATGTTGCCACTAAATGTTAACACTAAATGTTAACTAAATGTTAACACTAAATGTTAACTAAATGTTAACACTAAATGTTGCCACTGAATGTTGCCACTAAATGTTAACACTAAATGTTGCCACTGAATATTGCCACTGAATGTTAACACCAAATGTTAACTAAATGTTAACACTAAATGTTAACTAAATGTTAACACTAAATGTTGCCACTGAATATTGCCACTGAATGTTAACACTGAATGTTGCCCCCCTGCCCCAGGAAAGCAAGTGCTCCTATGTGGTGATCCTGATGGCAGTCTACTGGCTGACCGAGGCTCTACCTGTTGGCATTACGTCACTCCTGCCCATCTTCCTCTTCCCGATGTTTGAGATTGTGTCGTCTGGCGACATCGCCTCCATGTACGTCAATGTAAGTACATAACCTGACATTACGCAATGATGTCATGTTTGCCGTCATTTGTCATATGTTTGACCATCGATCAATCATACAATCTCCTGCACAATTTGGCAACCAATGATTTAAAGAAATGCAATTTTTTTTTTTTTTGTTGTATTTTAATATGATTATAATAAGTTTTAAATCGATTTAATTAGCAACGAGCTTTTATGTGAACTAAAGCAACATAGAACCTTACCTTCTTTATTATTTGATCTCACATTAAAATCGTCGGTGGCGACACTATGTAGTGAAGTGGGTCAAAATTAAGATCTGCATGATTTATCACAAACCCACCCAATCTTAAGGAAAGTCGGTTTATTCAGCTTGATATTACTAAGTGCTCTAACAGTTTTCCTCTGAGTTTAACGTTAAAGTGCCGAAAGTGGTGTACAGTTTTCACTAGAGTTTACGTTAAATTACCAACAGTGGTGTTCAGTTTTCCCTAGGGTTTACGTTAAATTACCAACAGTGGTGTACAGTTTTCCCTAGAGTTTACGTTAAATTACCAACAGTGGTGTTCAGTTTTCCCTAGGGTTTAACGTTAAAGTACCAACATAGCTGCGACTTTAACATGACCCTAACGTCCCACGTTTTGTGATGTTCCAGGACGCCAACATGCTCTTTCTGGGCGGGCTCTTGATGTCTGCGGCCATCGAGTACTGGCAGCTCCACAAGAGGATAGCGCTGGGCGTGTTGAGATATGTGGGGGCGGAGCCAAGATGGTTTGTACATTTAGTTTGATTAAGATATGTGGGGGCGGAGCCAAGATGGTTAGTACATTTAGTTTGATTAAGATATGTGGGGGCGGAGCCAAGATGGTTAGTACATTTAGTTTGATTAAGATATGTGGGGGCGGAGCCAAGATGGTTAGTACATTTAGTTTGATTAAGATATGTGGGGGCGGAGCCAAGATGGTTTGTACATTTAGTTTGATTAAGATATGTGAGGGCGGAGCCAAGATGGTTAGTACATTTAGTTTGATTAAGATATGTGAGGGCGGAGCCAAGATGGTTAGTACATTTAGTTTGATTAAGATATGTGAGGGCGGAGCCAAGATGGTTAGTACATTTAGTTTGATTAAGATATGTGGGGGCGGAGCCAAGATGGTTTGTACATTTAGTTTGATTAAGATATGTGAGGGCGGAGCCAAGATGGTTAGTACATTTAGTTTGATTAAGATATGTGGGGGCGGAGCCAAGATGGTTTGTACATTTAGTTTGATTAAGATATGTGGGGGCGGAGCCAAGATGGTTAGTACATTTTGTTTGATTAAGATATGTGAGGGCGGAGCCAAGATGGTTAGTACATTTTGTTTGATTAAGATATGTGAGGGCGGAGCCAAGATGGTTAGTACATTTAGTTAGATTAAGATATGTGGGGGCGGAGCCAAGATGGTTAGTACATTTTGTTTGATTAAGATATGTGGGGGCGGAGCCAAGATGGTTAGTACATTTTGTTTGATTAAGATATGTGAGGGCGGAGCCAAGATGGTTAGTACATTTAGTTAGATTAAGATATGTGGGGGCGGAGCCAAGATGGTTAGTACATTTAGTTTGATTAAGATATGTGGGGGCGGAGCCAAGATGGTTAGTACATTTTGTTTGATTAAGATATGTGAGGGCGGAGCCAAGATGGTTAGTACATTTTGTTTGATTAAGATATGTGAGGGCGGAGCCAAGATGGTTAGTACATTTTGTTTGATTAAGATATGTGAGGGCGGAGCCAAGATGGTTAGTACATTTTGTTTGATTAAGATATGTGAGGGCGGAGCCAAGATGGTTAGTACATTTAGTTAGATTAAGATATGTGGGGGCGGAGCCAAGATGGTTAGTACATTTTGTTTGATTAAGATATGTGGGGGCGGAGCCAAGATGGTTAGTACATTTTGTTTGATTAAGATATGTGAGGGCGGAGCCAAGATGGTTAGTACATTTAGTTAGATTAAGATATGTGGGGGCGGAGCCAAGATGGTTAGTACATTTAGTTTGATTAAGATATGTGGGGGCGGAGCCAAGATAGTTAGTACATTTTGTTTGATTAAGATATGTGAGGGCGGAGCCAAGATGGTTAGTACATTTTGTTTGATTAAGATATGTGAGGGCGGAGCCAAGATGGTTAGTACATTTTGTTTGATTAAGATATGTGAGGGCGGAGCCAAGATGGTTAGTACATTTTGTTTGATTAAGATATGTGGGGGCGGAGCCAAGATGGTTAGTACATTTTGTTTGATTAAGATATGTGAGGGCGGAGCCAAGATGGTTAGTACATTTTGTTTGATTAAGATATGTGAGGGCGGAGCCAAGATGGTTAGTACATTTTGTTTGATTAAGATATGTGAGGGCGGAGCCAAGATGGTTAGTACATTTTGTTTGATTAAGATATGTGAGGGCGGAGCCAAGATGGTTAGTACATTTAGTTTGATTAAGATATGTGGGGGCGGAGCCAAGATGGTTAGTACATTTTGTTAGATTAAGATATGTGAGGGCGGAGCCAAGATGGTTAGTACATTTTGTTTGATTAAGATATGTGGGGGCGGAGCCAAGATGGTTAGTACATTTTGTTAGATTAAGATATGTGAGGGCGGAGCCAAGATGGTTAGTACATTTTGTTTGATTAAGATATGTGAGGGCGGAGCCAAGATGGTTAGTACATTTTGTTTGATTAAGATATGTTGGAGCCATGTGGGTTTTTTAATTTGTTTAATTAATTTTTTTTTGTGCGGAGCTGAGCCTATATGGTTGGAATAATAGTTTTTTAATTGGAATATGTTGTAGATAGGATCTAAAGGTTAGTTACAATTTTAATTTAAAATTAAAGACGTACAATTGAGATATTAAATTTTAATTAAGTAACTTGTGAGATAAAAAATTACATTGATAAGACTCATAATTAAATTGATAGAACGTTATATTAAGCTGATACTTAATTTTAAAATTATTACGTTTTTAAGTTTAATCACATGCAAAGTCTTATGTCTGATACTGCTAAGCTTCTAATCACATGCAAAGTCTTATGTCTGATACTGCTAAGCTTCTAATCACAAACAAAGTCTTATGTCTGATACTGCTAAGCTTCTAATCACAAATAAAGTCTTATGTCTGATACTGCTAAGCTTCTAATCACATGTAAAATCTGATACTGCTAAGCTTCTAATCACAAATAAAGTCTTATGTCTGATACTGCTAAGCTTCTAATCACATGTAAAGTCTTATGTCTGATACTGCTAAGCTTCTAATCACATGCAAAGTCTTATGTCTGATACTGCTAAGCTTCTAATCACATGCAAAGTCTTATGTCTGATACTGCTAAGCTTCTAATCACATGCAAAGTCTTATGTCTGATACTGCTAAGCTTCTAATCACATGCAAAGTCTTATGTCTGATACTGCTAAGCTTCTAATCACATGCAAAGTCTTATGTCTGATACTGCTAAGCTTCTAATCACATGTAAAGTCTTATGTCTGATACTGCTAAGCTTCTAATCACATGCAAAGTCTTATATCTGATACTGCTAAGCTTCTAATCACATGTAAAGTCTGAGACTGCTAAGCTTCTAATCACAAGTAAAGTCTTGTTTCGTATTTCCTACTCCCAGGCTCCTCCTGGGCATGATGCTGATCACGTGGTTCACGTCCATGTGGATCTCCAACACCGCCACCACCGCCATGATGGTGCCCATCGTCGAAGCCATCCTCAACCAGTTCAAGGCCTCGGACATCGAGCACAAGCTGTTCAACACTAGCCCTGGTCAGTTTGAGAACCGCTCGAGTGTTTTTTGTTGTGATTTGTCTGCAGAACATTGCGAGACATAAAGGTTAAATAACAAATCATTAACAATATTGGTCTTTGGGAATGTTATGTAGCGTTATATCTTGTAGTGTTGATGTAGATGTTTTGAATGACAGAATATGCTATCTCTACCAGCAATACATTAGGTTTCAGTGCAGTTCATAATGACGGGTATCGTATGATGGATGTCGTATGATGGATGTCGTATGATAGGTGTCGAAGATGAACATCGTATGTTGGATGCCTATAATGGATGACGGATGTCGTATGATAAACGTAGTATGTTGGCTGCCTATGATGGATGTCGTATAACGGACGTCGTATGATAGATGTATGATGGATGTCGTATAATGAATGTCGTATGACGGATGTCGAATGATGAACATAATATGTTGGATGCCTATGACGGATGTCGTACGAGGTCGTCCTGTGATGGATTTCGTATGATGAACATAGCATGTTGGATGCCTATGATGGACGTTGTATGACATATGTCGTATAATTGATGTCGAATGATAAACGTCGTATGTTGGATATATGACGGATTTCGTATGATGGATGTCGAATGATGGATGTCGAATGATGGATGTCAAATGATGAACATAATATGTTCGATGCCTATGATGGATGTCGTATGAGGTCGTATGATGGATGTCGTATGATGAACATAGTATGACGGATGCCTATGACGGATGTCGTATGACGGACGTCGTATATCCAACAGATAACATGAGCGGAGATGTGGTGATGTCGGCCGGGGATCTGACAGTCTCCACGTCCAGCTCCTCACAGTCAACAGAAGCCACCGGCAAGTATGTCGCCATCTTTCTAAATTCTTCCTGTCTCTGGCAGGTACGTCGTCATTTTTCTAAATTCTTCCTGTCACTGGCAGGTACGTCATCATCTTTCTAAATTCTTCCTGTCTCTGGCAGGTACGTCGTCATTTTTCTAAATTCTTCCTGTCTCTGGCAAGTACGTCGTCATTTTTCTAAATTCTTCCTGTCTCTGGCAAGTACGTCGTCATTTTTCTAAATTCTTCCTGTCTCTGGCAAGTACGTCGTCATTTTTCTAAATTCTTCCTGTTTCTGGCAAGTACGTCGTCATTTTTCTAAATTCTTCCCATCTCTGGCAAGTACGTCGTCATCTTTTAAAATTCTTCCTGTCTCTGGCAGGTACGTCGTCATTTTTCTAAATTCTTCCTGTCTCTGGCAGGTACGTCGTCATTTTTCTAAATTCTTCCTGTCTCTGGCAAGTACGTCGTCATCTTTCTAAATTCTTCCTGCCACTGGCAAGTACGTCGTCATTTTTCTAAATTCTTCCTGTCTCTGGCAGGTACGTCGTTATTTTTCTAAATTCTTCCTGTCTGGTCCGTGTTGTCTGACAGGAATTAAACAGCAAACAAAACTACCTGCATAACTTCTTGGATGACGGGCAAAATTAAAAAAAATGTTCTGATAGTTTTTCAGTTGTCTAGTTCTCTCTCTAAGGACAACATTTCACGGAAGCATCATGGAATGACCAATGATGAAATTTTATCTTTGACACTATAACTTTCTTAGTTGAGAAGTGGTATAAATGTTACTTTCTCGTATATACGAAGTATAGAGAAAGTAGTGTAATCGTGCAAAAAAATAACATGAAATTTTGACAATTTTCACCGTTTTACTCCTCAGTCCTTCATCACATCCGGAGTATAGAGGACTTATTTTAATCAGGCAAAAATTTTATATAAAATACAAATATATAAACATTTTGGCGTTTTATGCGTTATCGAGTCGTAAAAACTGGACTTTGCAATTCTGTCCGTTGTCTGTGTGTGTGTGTGTGTGTCTGTGTGTAAACACGATTACTTGAGTACCGTTACAGCTAGGTTAATGAAATTTCTTATATATGTATTTTATCAAAATCGTCGATCCTGATAAACTTTTGAGCGATTTCCGATAACCGATGGGGCTACTTTTTCTTTTTTTGAATTTTTAAAAAGCCTATAACTTGAGTACTATTTCAGATAGATAAATGAAATTTCACATGTAAGTAAAAGATCTAATTCTCTACCTTCTGTCAAATTTTGAGTAATTTCCGTTGACCGGAAGTACTAATTTACTAATAATATTCCGCACTATGCACGTTTTATTTGGCGTTCACAGGTGTGCAATTCTTTTTTCTACGAGATTTTATTCTATTTTTAAAAGTTTAAGTATTTAAAATGGATTAAAATTCATGTCTATATCCCGAGTTCCCATCCCCTGTTTTTTTATAAAAGAATATTCGAGAAAGTTTAGGGGAGATTGCTCCCGGTTTAAAATATACAACCATTGTTTTGATGACCTACCCATTTCCTGCAGGGCGGAAGAAGGGCCTCTGGAGAAGCAGAAGTCAAGCATGCATGAAGCAGACAAGCAGAACCAGGCAGAGACAGACAAGCAGCAGTCTGGTCTGCTCTCAGACTCTCACATACACACGGACGCTGAGGAGGACAACGACTTCACGCGGTTCGGGAAAGCCCTCTCGCTGAGCGTCTGCTACTCGGCCACCTGTGGGGGGATCGCCTGCCTCACGGGGACCGACCCCAACCTGGTGCTCAAGTCCTACACTGATGCGTATGTGGTAATAGTTGTGTGGACGTGTGGTTGTGTGGGGTGATATGTCGGAGGTGGGATGTGTGAGGTAGAATCTGAATGGGTTCTGCGTTTGGTGGGTTTTCGTGTGGAGTGAGATCTGTGTGGGTGGGTGTTTGTGTGTGGTTGTCTATGAGGTGTGGGATTTTGGTGTGCCGTGGGCACCATTTGGGCTGGATTTTTGTGAAATGTGATTTGGATTCATATTAAAACTTTGGAAGCACAATGTAGCAATACTAGGGTTAATATTTGGGTTAAGAAGAGGAGGAATATACCCATCAGAGCTGGATTCGAACTTCAGACTCAGATTAACAGTCTAGCACTCTAGCTCATTACCGTCTCATACACCCAGACGTAACATCGCTAAATTGTCTGAGAGAAAGAAAGATGATTGGTCTAGTTTAGTTTTTAAATCGCCAGCTTTAAAAATGTAGCAAAATACTGAATGCTGCAATAAAATGGGAGCTGGGAATGGGTGACACCCGACCTAGAGACGCCCCTAGAGTACTGACTATCACCAAAGAGACGTATGCCGGGTGACTGGGGTGTATGACATCAGAGTACTCAGTGACCCCATGCGTTACCATGGCAACATCCCCAGGCTGTACTCGGCCCACCATCTGGACAACCCGGTGACCTTCATCACGTGGATGGCGTTCGGCCTCCCCATCTCCGTCACGGTGCTGCTCGTGTGCTGGGCGTGGCTACAGGTCACCTACATCAACTCCAGGTAGGCTGGTTTGGTGGGCGTGGCTGCAGGTCACCTACATCAACTCCAGGTAGGCTGGTTTGGTGGGCGTGGCTACAGGTCTCCACATCAACTCCAGGTAGGTTGGTTTGGTGGGCGTGGCTGCAGGTCACCTACATCAACTCCAGGTAGGCTGGTTTGGTGGGCGTGGCTACACGTCACCTACATCAACTCCAGGTAGGTTGGTTTGGTGGGCGTGGCTACAGGTCTCCACATCAACTCCAGGTAGGTTGGTTTGGTGGGCGTGGCTACAGGTCTCCACATCAACTCCAGGTAGGTTGGTTTGGTGGGCGTGGCTACAGGTCACCTACATCAACTCCAGGTAGGTTGGTTTGGTGGGCGTGGCTACAGGTCACCTACATCAACTCCAGGTAGGTTGGTTTGGTGGGCGTGGCTTCAGGTCACCTACATCAACTCCAGGTAGGCTGGTTTGGTGGGCGTGGCTGCAGGTCAACTACATCAACTCCAGGTAGGTTGGTTTGGTGGGCGTGGCTACAGGTCACCTACATCAACTCCAGGTAGGCTGGTTTGGTGGGCGTGGCTACAGGTCACCTACATCAACTCCAGGTAGGTTGGTTTGGTGGGCGTGGCTACAGGTCACCTACATCAACTCCAGGTAGGTTGGTTTGGTGGGCGTGGCTACAGGTCACCTACATCAACTCCAGGTAGGTTGGTTTGGTGGGCGTGGCTTCAGGTCACCTACATCAACTCCAGGTAGGTTGGTTTGGTGGGCGTGGCTACAGGTCACCTACATCAACTCCAGGTAGGTTGGTTTGGTGGGCGTGGTTTCAGATTGACTCAAGGTTGTTACATTCGATGGGCGCGGTTTCATGTAGACTCGATGCAGTAACATTTGGTGGGCGTGGTTTTATGTAGACTCATTTGGTGGGCGTGGTTGAATATAAGATAAAAGTTGGTTTAATTAATGGGTGTAGCCAAGGTATGAGCATATTTGCTCCTTTAAAACAATGTTATGGGTTGGTCTAGAAATTTCTGTTTCTTCTATTAATCCATATTCAATTGGTATAACTGTCAAATGAAATTAAACATTTATCAATATCAAGTTTATGCAACTTATGTGTACAGAATTCGTTAGTTTTTAATTTTTTCTTGAAATAAAGTACCTTTTAACCTTACACGCGATCACGATTAAACTTTGCCACCCAATGAAAAATAAAAAGGCTACCTTACTATAGACTATAGACCAAGAGATATCTATTACAAATCCAATTTTTTACTTTCTCGCCCCGTCCAGCGCTAGCCCTGGAGATTTCAAACGAGACGAATTTTACAATACCCAAATGCCCCTCATCAAGCAGATTCTAGAAGACGAGTACCAGAAACTAGGACCATTAGTGTGAGTGGTCAGTGGTCAGTGGTCAGTGTTGTGTTGAATGTCTTTGTGTGGTACCTACTAGGACCATTAGTGTCAGTGGTCAGTGGTGTGTGAAGTGTCTGTCTGAGGTACCTAGTAGGACCATTAGTGTCAGTGGTCAGTGTTGTGTGGAATGTCGGACTGGTGTAGGCCTCCCTGTTGTTAAGTTATGTCATGTTTTTATTGTTAAAGTAAGTAAAGTTCCCTTTTCAAACCTGACGGTCTATGTGGCAAGTGAAATAGCGTTCACTTGTTTCTGTGACCTCGGCATATGAAGAGATAGTGTGGTCAGCACTATGCCGAGCCGCCTTTATTTTCCCTAACGTGAGTTAGGTACCCATCAGAGCTGGGTGGACTCAGGGACTGTCTACTGACTTGAACCCGGATTCGAACTCGAGACTTACGGGTTAGCAGTCCAGCTCTCTACCGCTAGACCACTCCGTCCCATTTTATTGTTACGTCCCTTGTATTATATATAATCTATACTTTAGTTATGTCCCTTGAATGTCTCGTCTCTGTGAAGCTACTCCTGTACCGTGTTGATGTATCGTGTGTTACGTCAGTGATTTGGCTAAAAATGAAGCCAGGGAGAAGACGTGTTGTCAGAGCTGTATTGTATAAATAAATTGTTGAAGCTAACTTAAAGAAGTCTCCTGTTTACTTAAAGTGACAGGAAACAAGTAATATATGTATTTGTTATTTGATAGCATACATACAACACAATCAAAGGATGTTAAGACAACATATAAGTGAATCAGCAGTATGAAAGTTTGTTTTACAAATCATTTTTATTTCCAATGTTATCTAGATCTAGCTTAACAATGCTGACGTAGTCAGTTATGCGATTCGGGAAAAAATTAAAAAAAATTTCTAACTGATCGTTTTCAAGACATTCTAAGAACACTATTGTTATTTTTATAGTCGTGTCACTGTGTTTCGATCCTACAGGTTCGGCCAAGTACTCATGATCATTCTGTTCGTGTTGCTTGTCTTGCTATGGGTGACACGTGACATGGGTGGTTTGACCGGATGGGGAGTGTTTTTTGATCCTCCGTGAGAATTTTTTCTACTTTTAAGAAATCAGCTTTTTTTTTTTTTTTTTTTTTGATTTTTTTTTTTTGATTTTTTTACTAATAAAATAAAAACAAAAAAGAAAAAAAAAATGTCTGCCATTTTAAACTTTTAATCCCACGGCTTTGAGTAAGCTACAAGCAGGAAATTAACACAGTTTTAGAGCTGTTATCAGGTTTAATTGGAAACTAACGTTGGCAGAAGTATAACAAAAATAAATAATTAAATACATAAAATTGTTTTAGAGGGAATATTTTTGTGACGCTAACAACCCGTTTGAATATAAATCCTATTCTACAACGTACTATTAATAAATGAGTCAAAGTATTTAAGTAGTGCTAATTAAACTAAGTAGTATAGAGCTAGAGTTTTTGAATATTAATTCTGTGTGGATAGAGTGAAGGCTAAAGTTTAAAATATTTGTTGTGTGTACAGAGTGAAGGATGGAGCTCCCGCCATTTTCATGGCCGTGTTGTTGTTTTGTCTGCCCTCTACTGCCCCCTGGTTGACCTCCTATAATGACCCTAAACATCCCGAACAGTGGAAGAGGAAGAAGGGTCATCACAAGCACAAACAGGCGGCAAGAGGTAAGTGCTGTGGTGGTGGTGGTGGTGGTAGGTGTTGTGATCTGTGGTGGTGGTGGTGGTGGTGGTAGGTGTTGTGATCTGTGGTGGTGGTGGTGGTGGTGGTAGGTGTTGTGATCTGTGGTGGTGGTGGTGGTGGTAGGTGCTGTGGTCTGTGATGGTGGTGGTGGTGTGGTCTAAAGTGGTGGTGGGTGGTAGCGAAATTCGTGATTTGTGTTAGTGGTTGGTGGTGTTGTTTTTGGTAAATGATGTGGTTTATAGTAGTGTTCTGTGAAACTAGCTAAATGTTATGGTCTGCATTAGATGTAGTTAGTTGGTGTGATCTATCTTGGTAGCTATTGATACCGCTATACAACTTGCCATTGTGTTTTGTCCCTCTTTAGTTGGAAGCTTAGTTATTCGACCTTTGCTGACTTGGAATGTAGCACAACAGAAAGTGCCCTGGCATATTTTCTTGTTGCTGGGTGGCGGATATGCCCTGTCTAAAGGCAGTGAGGTAAGACTTTTTATTATAGGCCCTATAGACTCACAAAAGTATAATGGTTTGTTAAACTTCCATAGATAGGTGAACTTGGTGTTTAAAAAGCTGAGCTAATGAGCTCTAGATGAGTGAAAATGTGAGCTGCAGTCTCATGTCAACCTGATATAAAACAGAGAAGTGATATGTCTTGTGTGAATGTATTCACACATTTCTGGTCAATATGTATTAAACTTCTGGTCTGTAGGTTTTTATTTTAAAAAGTATGGTCTGTCTGTATTTAAAAAATCGTATTTGTCTCTCTGTATTAAAAAGGAATCTATTTTGCCTGTTCCACCAGTCTGTTTTATATAAAGGATCTCATGTCGGTGTGAGCAATTGTCTATTTGTGCTAACAAAGTCTGTTCTGTCTGTGTTAATTAACAAAGTCTGGTCAGTTCTAACAAAGTCTTGTCTATCTATACAATCAGAAGTCTGGTCTGTCTGTACTAAATAAAGTCTGGTCTGTCTGTGTTAACAAAGTCTTATCTATCTATGCTATCAGAAGTCTGGTCTGTCTATGTTAACAAAGTCTGGTCTGTGTGTACTAAATAAAGTCTTGTCTATCTATGCTATCAGAAGTCTGGTCTGTCTGTGTTAACAAAGTCTTGTCTATCTATGCTAACAAAGTCTGGTCTGTCTGTGTTAATTAACAAATTCTGGTCAGTTCTAACAAAGTCTTGTCTATCTACGCTATCAGAAGTCTGGTCAGTTCTAACAAAGTCTTGTCTATCTATGCTATCAGAAGTCTGGTCTGTCTACCCTGATCGGCAATCAGCTTGTGATCCTGAACGGCTGGAACCAGTGGGGGATCCTGATCGTCATCTGCTACCTAACGGCAGCCACCACAGAGATCACCTCCAACATCACGGTGGCCACACTTCTGCTGCCCATCATGGCCCAGCTGGTTAGTCACTCCATCCTTACCATGGCCCAGCTGGTTAGTCACTCCATGGCCCAGCTGGTTAGTCACTCCATCCTTACCATGGCCGAGCTGGTTAGTCACTCCATGGCCCAGCTGGTTAGTCACTTCATCCTTACCATGGCCCAGCTGGTTAGTCACTCCATGGCCCAGCTGGTTAGTCACTCCATGGCCCAGCTGGTTAGTCACTTCATCCTTACCATGGCCCAGCTGGTTAGTCACTCCATCCTTACCATGGCCCTTACCATGGCCCAGCTGGTTAGTCACTCCTTGGCCCAGCTGGTTAGTCACTCCATGGCCCAGCTGGTTAGTCACTTCATCCTTACCATGGCCCAGCTGGTTAGTCACTCCATCCTTACCATGGCCCAGCTGGTTAGTCACTCCATCCTTACCATGGCCCAGCTGGTTAGTCACTCCATCCTTACCATGGCCCAGTTAGTCACTCCATCCTTACCATGGCCCAGCTAGTTAGTCACTCCATCCTTACCATGGCCCAGCTGGTTAGTCACTCCATCCTTACCATGGCCCAGTTAGTCACTCCATCCTTACCATGGCCCAGCTGGTTAGTCACTCCATCCTTACCATGGCCCAGCTGGTTAGTCACTCCATCCTTACCATGGCCCAGTTAGTCACTCCATCCTTACCATGGCCCAGTTAGTCACTCCATCCTTACCATGGCCCAGTTAGTCACTCCATCCTTACCATGGCCCAGCTGGTTAGTCACTCCATCCTTACCATGGCCCAGCTGGCTAGTCACTCCATCCTTACCATGGCCCAGTTAGTCACTCCATCCTTACCATGGCCCAGTTAGTCACTCCATCCTTACCATGGCCCAGCTGGTTAGTCACTCCATCCTTACCATGGCCCAGCTGGTTAGTCACTCCATCCTTACCATGGCCCAGCTAGTTAGTCACTCCATGCTTACCATGGCCCAGCTGGTTAGTCACTCCATGCTTACCATGGCCCAGCTGGTTAGTCACTCCATCCTTACCATGGCCCAGCTGGTTAGTCAGTCCATCCTTACCCATGGCCCAGCTGGTTAGTCACTCCATCCTTACCATGGCCCAGCTGGTTAGTCAGTCCATCCTTACCATGGCCCAGCTGGTTAGTCACTCCATCCTTACCATGCCTTACCATGGCCCAGCTGGTTAGTCCATCCTTACCATGGCTCAGCTGGTTAGTCACTCCATCCTTACCATGGCCCAACTGGTTAGTCAGTCCATCCTTACCATGGCCCAGCTGGTTAATCAATCCATCCTTACCATGGCTCAGCTGGTTAGTCACTCCATCCTTACCATGGCTCAGCTGGTTAGTCACTCCATCCTTACCATGGCCCAGCTGGTTAGTCACTCCATCCTTACCATGGCCCAGCTGGTTAGTCAGTCCATCCTTACCATGGTCCAGCTGGTTAGTCACTCCATCCTTACCATGGCCCAGCTGGTTAGTCAGTCCATTCTTACCATGGCCCAGCTGGTTAGTCACTCCATCCTTACCATGGCCCAGCTAGTTAGTCACTCCATCCTTACCATGGCCCAGCTGGTCAGTTCATCCTTACCATGGCCCAGCTGGTTAGTCACTCCATCCTTACCATGGCCCAGCTGGTTAGTCACTCCATCCTTACCATGGCCCTGGTTAGTCACTCCATCCTTACCATGGCCCAGCTGGTTAGTCACTCCATCCTTACCATGGCCCAGCTGGTTAGTCACTCCATCCTTACCATGGCCCAGCTGGTTAGTCACTCCATCCTTACCATGGCCCAGCTAGTTAGTCACTCCATCCTTACCATGGCCCAGCTGGTTAGTCACTCCATCCTTACCATGGCCCAGCTGGTTAGTCAGTCCATTCTTATCATGGCCCAGCTGGTTAGTCACTTCATCCTTACCATGGCCCAGCTAGTTAGTCACTGCATCCTTACCATGGCCCAGCTGGTTAGTCACTCCATCCTTACCATGGCCCAGCTGGTTAGTCACTCCATCCTTACCATGGCCCTGGTTAGTCACTCCATCCTTACCATGGCCCTGGTTAGTCACTCCATCCTTACCATGGCCCAGCTGGTTAGTCACTCCATCCTTACCATGCCCAGCTGGTTAGTCACTCCATCCTTACCATGGCCCAGCTGGTTAGTCACTCCATCCTTACCATGGCCCAGCTAGTTAGTCACTCCATCCTTACCATGGCCCAGCTGGTTAGTCACTCCATCCTTACCATGGCCCAGCTGGTTAGTCACTCCATCCTTACCATGGCCCAGCTAGTTAGTCACTCCATCCTTACCATGGCCCAGCTGGTTAGTCACTCCATCCTTACCATGGCCCAGCTGGTTAGTCACTCCATCCTTACCATGGCCCAGCTGGTTAGTCACTCCATCCTTACCATGGCCCAGCTGGTTAGTCACTCCATCCTTACCATGGCCCAGCTAGTTAGTCACTCCATCCTTACCATGGCCCAGCTAGTTAGTCACTCCATCCTTACCATGGCCCAGCTGGTTAGTCACTCCATGGCTCAGCTGGTTAGTCACTCCATCCTTACCATGGCCCAGCTGGTTAGTCACTCCATCCTTACCATGGCCCAGCTGGCTAGTCACTCCATCCTTACCATGGCCCAGCTGGTTAGTCACTCCATCCTTACCATGGCCCAGCTGGTTAGTCACTCCATCCTTACCATGGCCCTGGTTAGTCACTCCATCCTTACCATGGCCCAGCTGGTTAGTCACTCCATCCTTACCATGGCCCAGCTGGTTAGTCACTCCATCCTTACCATGGCCCAGCTAGTTAGTCACTCCATCCTTACCATGGCCCAGCTAGTTAGTCAGTCCATCCTTACCATGGCCCAGCTGGTTAGTCACTCCATCCTTAATATGACCCAGCTAGTTAGTCACTCCATCCTTACCATAGCCCAGCTAGTTAGTCACTCCATCCTTACCATGGCCCAGCTGGTTAGTCACTCCATCCTTACCATGGCCCAGCTAGTTAGTCACTCCATCCTTACCATGGCCCAGCTAGTTAGTCAGTCCATCCTTACCATGGCCCAGCTGGTTAGTCACTCCATCCTTACCATGGCCCAGCTGGTTAGTCACTCCATCCTTACCATGGCCCAGCTGGTTAGTCACTCCATCCTTACCATGGCCCAGCTGGCTAGTCACTCCATCCTTACCATGCCTTACCATGGCCCAGCTGGTTAGTCACTCCATCCTTACCATGCCTTACCATGGCCCAGCTGGTTAGTCACTCCATCCTTACCATGGCCCAGCTGGTTAGTCACTCCATCCTTACCATGGCCCAGCTGGTTAGTCAGTCCATCCTTACCATGGCCCAGCTAGTTAGTCACTCCATCCTTACCATGGCCCAGCTGGTTAGTCACTCCATCCTTACCATGGCCCAGCTAGTTAGTCACTCCATCCTTACCATGGCCCAGCTGGTTAGTCACTCCATCCTTACCATGGCCCAGCTGGTTAGTCACTCCATCCTTACCATGGCCCAGCTGGTTAGTCACTCCATCCTTACCATGGCCCAGCTAGTTAGTCACTCCATCCTTACCATGGCCCAGCTAGTTAGTCAGTCCATCCTTACCATGGCCAAGCTGGTTAGTCACTCCATCCTTACTATGGCCCAGCTGGTTAGTCACTCCATCCTTACCATGGCCCAGCTGGTTAGTCACTCCATCCTTACCATGGCCCAGCTGGTTAGTCACTCCATCCTTACCATGGCCCAGCTGGTTAGTCACTCCATCCTTACCATGGCCCAGCTGGTTAGTCACTCCATCCTTACCATGGCCCAACTGGTTATTTACTCCATCCTTACCATGGCCCAGCTAGTCAGTCCATCCTTACCATGGCCCAGCTGGTTAGTCACTCCATCCTTACCATGGCCCAGCTGGTTAGTCACTCCTTCCTTACCATGGCTCAGCTAGTCAGTCCATCCTTACCATGGCCCAGCTGGTTAGTCACTCCATCCTTACCATGGCCCAGCTGGTTAGTCACTCCATGCTTACCATGGCCCAGTTGGTTAGTCACTCCATCCTTACCATGGCCCAGTTGGTTAGTCACTCCATCCTTACCATGGCCCAGCTGGTCAGCCAGTCCATGCTTACCCAGCTACCTCGTGATGTAATCAGTTCCATTCACACAGCTTTACGCTGTGTTTGAGGGCTAAAACCCCTGTAAATTAATTAATTCAACTAGCTTATTTAAAATTTATATTTTTGTATTGGATTAATTTTAGCTTTAAGCGTACAACACGGCAAAAGATGAGACAGTATATTACCCCCCCCCCCCCCCCAAATTACCTCCGGTATATTTCTGCAGTAAGTAGGACAATGTGACGTCGTTGTCAAACGGTAGAGCGTTTGGCTGCTAGCCCCAAGGTCTCAAGTTTGGATTTCAGTTCGGACTTGTGACTGTAGGACGTTCCTTAGTCTAACCAGCTCTGATAGGTACCTGACGTACGCTGGGGAAAGTAAAAGCGGCTGAAGTATTGTGCTGACTACACTATCCCAAACATATGAACTCTACTTCATCTGCCCAAGCACTGAATACATGCGGCCATGTACTCAATCTTTTGGTCCCTTGCAGGCACTGAACACCGGCGTCCACCCCCTCTACTACATGCTGCCCTGTACTCACGCCTGCTCGTTTGCTTTCATGTTACCCGTGGCCACGCCCCCTAACGCCATTGTCTTCTCGTACGGTCGCGTTCAAATCTCGGACATGGTGAGTGAGATATTGAGTGAGATATTGAGTGATATTGAGTGATATTGATTGAGATTTGATATTGAACGATAATGTAAGTGAGGGTTTCTCGTCTAGTGTAAGATAGCAAATGTTCCTTCAAACCCTGACCCCTCCCCCCCCCCCAAGGTTAATTACCCCTTGTATATTACTCCCTGACCGAAAACAAACGTGAGGGCATTATCCCCTCATCGATTACTAATTGACCCACATCTTTATCGTAGACCCGCAACACGAATAGACCAGAACTAGTAATTAGGACTAGAGGGTGTGTGAGAGGGTGTGTGAGAGGGTGTGTGAGAGGGTGTGTGAGAGGCTGTGTGAGAGGGTGTGTGAGAGGGTGTGTGAGAGGGTGTGTGAGAGGCTGTGTGAGAGGGTGTGTGAGAGGCTGTGTGAGAGGGTGTGTGAGAGGGTGTGTGAGAGGGTGTGTGAGAGGGTGTGTGAGAGGGTGTGTGAGAGGGTGTGTGAGAGGCTGTGTGAGAGGGTGTGTGAGAGGGTGTGTGAGAGGGTGTGTGAGAGGGTGTGTGAGAGGCTGTGTGAGAGGGTGTGTGAGAGGGTGTGTGAGAGGGTGTGTGAGAGGGTGTGTGAGAGGGTGTGTGAGAGGGTGTGTGAGAGGCTGTGTGAGAGGGTGTGTGAGAGGGTGTGTGAGAGGGTGTGTGAGAGGGTGTGTGAGAGGGTGTGTGAGAGGGTGTGTGAGAGGGTGTGTGAGAGGCTGTGTGAGAGGGTGTGTGAGAGGGTGTGTGAGAGGGTGTGTGAGAGGGTGTGTGAGAGGGTGTGTGAGAGGGTGTGTGAGAGGCTGTGTGAGAGGGTGTGTGAGAGGGTGTGTGAGAGGGTGTGTGAGAGGGTGTGTGAGAGGGTGTGTGAGAGGCTGTGTGAGAGGGTGTGTGAGTGTGTTTAGCCACTTCATCCTTTACAATAGCTGAAGTTTGTCCGAGTAAATCGATTTGTATCGAACTGTATTGATTATCTCGTGCTATGCCGCTGTACAAGCTATTGACAATCACACGTCAACTTCAGCCATACAATGACGTAAACGTCCTGACGTCCTCCAATGTGTGCATCTATTGACGTCTTCTTTACACCTACACCCATAAGTCTCGAGTTTGAACCCGGGTTCAAGTCAGTAGACCGTCCCTGAGTCCACCCAGTTCTGTTGGGTACCTAACTCACGTTAGGGAAAGTAAAGGCTGCACGGCATAATGCTGACCACACTATCCCTTCATATGCCGAGGTCACAGCAACAGTTGAACTCTACTTCACTTGCCCCATAGACCGTCATTAACTTATCATCTCGTCCTTAAGTTCGAGCAGGCCTGATGCTAAATGTCCTGTCAGTTCCTATCCTGACCCCCCCCACGCTCCGCCCACCCACCCACCCTAAAAACCTCTCGTCCCAAGGTTCGAACTGGCCTGGTGCTAAATGTCCTCATCACCCACCCATCCCCACCCACCAACCCACCCACACTAACAAAACCTCTCGTCCCAAGGTTCGAACCGGTCTGGTGCTAAATGTCCTGACCACCCACCCATCTCCAACCACAAACCCACATTAACATAACCTCTCGTCCCAAGGTTCGAACCGGCCTGGTGCTAAATTTTCTGACCCCCCCCCCCCCCGCGACCATCCCCACCCACCCACCCACACTAACTTAACCTCTCGTCCCAAGGTTCGAACCGGCCTGGTGCTAAATGTCCTGTCAGTTCCCATCCTGATAGCCATCACGGGCACCATCGGGACAGCACTCTTCGACTTTGACGAGATGCCCATAGCTTTTCTCAATGAAAGTCTCCTGCGGGAAAACATTGACACAAAAAACTTTGCATAGAAATACTATTTGACACATGTTGGTAGAAACTCTATTGATGTATTGGAAGCGTTGTTGCATCTTAGCTACATTGTACTGCTTGTTTATGGATTTTTCATGTCCATTTCAGTCTTTGATTCAAATAAAGAAAAGATAAAAACAAACCTAACGTTTTTTGTCTTTTTGCTTTACAAATTAATAAAAATGAATTTAACTGAATTGATTGCAGATTTGAATTATATATATATATATATATATATATATATATATATATATATATATATATATATATAGACTGCTACCTTTATATCAATTCCCTCCTTTAACTGCCACACGACAACAGATCAACGCCCTCTATAAAAGTGTTGGTGTGACTGTAGGCACGTCGCCCAGGTCATCAACTAAACGACATCAGTACATTGATGTAGTAAACAACACCTGGACCGCCGCTACCTTCAAGCACCAATAAAACCCGACGTTTAATGAAAAACAGGACAATTAGAAATGGTGTAGATTAAGTACATATAATTCATAAATTACGTAGGTTAACAACAAAAGATTCGCAAAATGAATCTTTTTTTATTGATGGGTAAATTGTAAGGCAGATTTTAAATTGGGTTTATTAAAGCCTTCCAATTGTAGCAAGGCTCTCGTCAGGATGCTTTTATAAAGAAACTCCAACGATGAAATAAAAAACGAATGATGGCACAGAAACTCGGCACAACATGCGTGGCACTCAAACGTTTTGTTAGTTAGATAATCGTAAACAAAAAATCATTTGGTCATTTTGCTAGAATTATAAAATGCAAAAACAAAAAAAGCTAAACATTTTTGCATTTCGCTAGAATAAGACAATGCAAAAACAAAACGCATATGGGCATGTCGCGAGAATTAGACAATGCAAAGACAAAAGTCGGGATTTTTTAAAACTAGAATTAAAGAATGCAGAAAGGAGATGTTCATAGCGGTTGTTTTAGTGCTGGCAGATGCCATAATAATAATCTTATGGACACTGTGCTTGAATAAACCTGGAAAATAACAAACAAAAAAACAACGCCTGAACTACATTTATAAAACTGAAATCTCTAAACCACCAATAGCCTAGACAACGCTTACGACCTATTTACAAAAAAAAAAAAAAAGAAATAAAAACTTCATTCTTTCATGACATAAAGCGTTACAAAACGAATCAACACGTGTGACGTGTACATCTTGAGCACCACCTCTTGTCGTTAGTTTTCATTGACCTTGAAGAAAACAAGCACGTGTTCGACTCACACACATATCCCCACTCCTAAAGGACTCCGGAGTTGTAAAATAGCTCTTGGCGTTGTTAACCAACTACTTAAACAGTATTTCGTTCTAAAAGTTCGGTCAAATAACTTTTATTACCCAACGTAAAATTTTGTATAAAACAAAACAAAAAATGGAATAAAAAACACACAAGACGAAGGTACCATTGACTGCTGTGGTAGACGTCAGGATGTGGAAGGTTTTTTTGTTAGCGTGTCTGATTGGTAAGTAGATTTTCTGCTTGGTAAGTACATTGTCTGATCGGTAAGTACATTGTCTGCTTGGTAAGTACATTGTGGTGTATGCTTTCTAAGTATATTGTTATGTTTGATTAGCAGATGTAGTAATAATGCATAAAATATTAATAGACATACATTCAAGAAACGGACACATTCATTTTATATAAATGTATATCTTTGTTTTTCTTCAATATTTCATTTTCCTTTTACATCAGCTTTCTGTTTCTTGTCAGCGTCGGCCTCTGGGGACCAAATAGAAGATGAGTTGAAAGAAAGGAGCACAAGAATCGTCAATGGTAACGAGGCTGCGACAGGGGCGTATCCCTACCAGGGTTCCTTCCAAATAGAATACTTGGGCAACTGGTACCACATCTGTGGGGCAACGTTGGTCTCTCGTAACAAGGTGATGCATGGTCCACTACACGCGAAAATATGAGCTTTAAAACTCACATTATCATAGGGATTAAGTAAACTTTAAATTAATTTTGATATTTTTAAGTCGCTACGTAAAAAGGTTTTGTCTATTTGATCTAGAGTTACAGAAATTAGTTTTAAACACTTGTAATATATACAAGTTATTATAATGTTATTCAAAATAAGATTATAAAGTTCCAAGAACTGACGATAAATAGGGCAGATCAAGTAGAGTTTATTTGTTTTTGTTCACAGTATATGAAGGCTATCGTGTTATGAGCACTATACCCAGCTCAATTTACTTTCCATTATGGTAAATAGGTACTTATCAGAGCTGAGTAGACTCAAAAATGTTCTACAGAATCTTTTCCAGGGTCCGAACTCGAAAACTTTCATGTTTGCAGTGGTGTTCTCTACAATCCAACCACTCCATTACATATAGCAATATTAGTTTTTTTTTCATAATTTTTGTCATTAGTTTTAAAAATATTTTACACACCAAGGTAGTGACAGCCGCCCATTGTGCCGTGGCGTTCCCAGAGCTGCAGTGGAGGGTAGAGCTTGGCACCGTTGTCATCAATGACGAGACCAACCCCAACAGACAGGCCATCGCTGTGGCCTCCTATGAAGTCCACGAAGGATACAAGCCCGAGGACAACTATCCCAACGACATCGCCATCCTGACGCTGGCCAGTAAAGCCAGGATCTCAAGATTCGTTCAGGTGTGTAGCCTGCCACACCTGCATAGCCACACCTGGTTGGTCACTACTGTATGGCAACATCTGCATAGTCACACCTGTATAACCACACCAGTATAGCCACACCTGCATAGCCACACCCAATAGCCGCACCTGCATAGCTACACCTGTATAACCACACCAGTATAGCCACACCTGCATAGCCACACCCAATAGCCACACCTGCATAGCCACACCTGGTTGGTCACTACTGTATGGCAACATCTGCATAGTCACACCTGTATAACCACACCAGTATAGCCACACCTGCATAGCCACACCCAATAGCCGCACCTGCATAGCTACACCTGTATAACCACACCAGTATAGCCACACCTGCATAGCCACACCCAATAGCCGCACCTGCATAGCTACACCTGTATAACCACACCAGTATAGCCACACCTGCATAGCCACACCCAATAGCCGCACCTGCATAGCTACACCTGTATAACCACACCAGTATAGCCACACCTGCATAGCCACACCCAATAGCCGCACCTGCATAGCTACACTTGTATAACCACACCAGTATAGCCACACCTGCATAGCCACACCTGCATAGCCACACCCAATAGCCGCACCTGCATAGCTACACCTGTATAAACACACCTGTATAGAGCGCCGGCATAGCCATCCAAGCAAAGCCAGACACATCTTCAGAGCTACACGTGAATAGCTTTCCACTATGTGATAATCATAATTGAAAAATACAGTAAACACGTATATCCACACACAGACATACATAAAGACACGTAACGATATTCCCCAATACACGACCACGGTTTATATAGATCTATTCGATAATTTAGAATTATTGAATACTGTAGTCCACCTTTAGTATTTGGTTTTAAAAAAATACGTAATTATAGTTATGTAGGTGTTAAATTTAAATCTACTTGAAATGGCAAAATGCATAAATATAGCTCTATTATTCGTGCGAGTCGGTAAAGCTCATGGTTGCAAAACCAAAAAGTCTCGAGTTCGAACCCTCGGGCTCGTTAGCTGGGGACAGCCACTCTTCTAGGAGAGACAACTCCAAAAGCAAACAACTGCTGCCTTATAGACAAAGGCTGAAATCGAAGTCAATGCAATGGCGCATCACCAGTTGACACGTATCCTAAATTGTGATGGAGGTGTGGTCGAGTCTGCAAAAGGTCATGGTTGATAAATTCGAAAAATCCCGAGTTCAAACCCTCTGGCTGATAAAGCTCGATCCCTTTAAACACTAAAAATTAAGAACGAAGAAGAAGAAGATTCGTATTGTAAGCGTTGCAATATGATAAACATGTTTTAATCATTGAAACTTAATTGTGTTCCCCGGCCCAGCCCGCTCTCCTGCCGTCCAACAGAGACCAGTTTGTCGACCAGCCCTGCGTCCTCACCGGGTTCGGCTACGTCAACGCCACCAGCGGGGCGTCCCCCGTGCTAAGGGAGACGACCACCCGGGCCATCTCCACCGACGCCTGCAACTACTACTTCAAGACCTTTACCGACCCCCCAGATCCCAGTGCCCACGTGTGGGAGGGACAGATTTGTGTCTTTGACTCAAGACGTGAGTAACTACATCAGATAAAATGTTTTTGTTTTATTGTCTCATTTTAGGATGATAGTATTTTTAAAATTTAGTATTAAACTAGACTACCCGTCATCCCTTGGATAAATGTGGGTTTCGGGGGTCATCCATAAAAAGAAACATCACGTGTGTCACTTATCGTCACAAAAAACCAGATCCAACTTTCAAAAATATATTTTTTTATCTTTTAAAAACACCGATTTCGGACTATCCCTTCATATACTGACGTCACAGGTGACCTACTCAACTCTACTTCACCTGCCCAGTGTCCCGCCAAGTCTCAGACAACATGTTTTTATCGTTTTAAAAAAACTATTCCAGCCAAGCATGTCTCTGACCACACTATCCCTTCATATGCTTAGGACAAAGAAACAGATGAACACTACTTCACCTTCCCTGTATCCCGCCAAGTTCAGATAGGCAACTTTATCATTCACATCTCAAAAATAAAAAAAAAAATGAAAAAAAAAAGAATTAACATTGACGTGTCTAGAACCCGTGCCACCCGCATGAAAGCCGATTACACTAACAACTTAGCTATTTAACTCGTGACGTCACTCATGTTTTTTATAGTATAGTTTAATACTTTGCGTCTCCTTATGCAACTTAATTTACGTGCGTAGATAAAGATCTAAGTCTAGTAGTAGTAACTTTCAAATTAAATTTTATCTTAAATTAGCCAATTACATAGCTAAACAAACAAAGATTTATATAAAATAATGAAGGTCTGAAATTATCTAGATCTAGATAGAATTATCTAGATCTAGATTCTACGACTCGTTTGCTTAAGTCTAGTTTTTGCGTAACTCTTGCTAGATCTAGATTTTTCTAGATCTAATCATTAGACCTATTCTAGCTAGATAGATCTAGATCTTTTTTTATGGGCCTCTCAAAAGTATGAACATTTGCACATCAGTTATAAATCACATAATGTTATACTAGGCTGGTCATCTGGTGACCTTGACCTCCGTCTATCCCCCAGGTCCAGCAGGTCACAGACCAGGCGCGTGTTTCGGCGACAGCGGCGGCCCCGCCATGTGTGGTAGACACTTCAAGTTCTTCGCTGGCATCACATCCTGGAGCGTCAGCTGTGACGGTCAGTCTTGTCGTCTGCTCATGTCTGTTCCAGTTTATTCTGCGAGATTTAGAAACGTGTTAATCTCAGATTTATCTGCCAAAAATATTACGGCATTGAAAAATAATCTTAACATACTGAAAAGTACGACAACGACAATATAAAAGACAGTAAATGTTTGACTGGAGAAACAAAAAAATATTTTTAAAATATAAAATCAGCAAGATTCTCATAACAAACTTTCTTGTACTAAAGAGCTCAGATTTCAATACATTTTAAAGCTAAGATATAAATAGATATCATGTGACCACTACAGTCCCGGCGAATCCTGACCTCTGAGATATTCCTTTGGTCTAATTGGATAGCTAAGTCTCTTCCATAGTGGTCGACAGTGTTTCTTCCAGATTTATTTCTCCGGGGGGGGGGGGGGGGGGGGGTTGTACGGACTTGAAAATCTCGGGAAAAGGAACTAAAATTTCCAGGAGGGGGGGGGGGGACACGATTAAAAGTATATATTTTCTATATAAATTACCTTTGGTTCGGTAGATTCTCTTCGGTGGTGGTGGTGGGGGGGAGCCCTTCCGAAGAGATGCCTGGAAGAAACACAGGTGATCAAATGTTACAGCATGCGGCTTGAAACATTCGTCAATTCGAATTATGACTCAGCCAAGTTATCATTTAAAAGATTTTGTAAAGATAAATATTTAAAATAGATATAATCGTCATTGTAAAGTTTTGTTTGTGAGGTTGTAAGATCAAGTCATCTACGTAAACTTGTGTTTGTAAGATCTAACCGTCAGTGTAAAATTGTGTTTCTTAGATGTAACTGTCAGTGTAAAATTGTGCTTGGGAGATCTAACCGTCAATGTAAACTTTTGTTTGTAAGATCCAACCGTCAGTGTAAACTTGTGTATGTATGATCTAACCGTCAGTGTAAACTTGTGTATGTATGATCTAACCGTCAGTGTAAAATTGTGTATGTATGATCTAGCCGTCAGTGTAAACTTGTGTGCGTAAGATCTAAACGTCAATGTAAAAGTTTGTTTGTAAGATCTAACCGTCAGTGTAAAATTGTGTATGTATCTGAACCCAGGTGACACACCGATCACATACACTCGAGTCAGTTATTACCTGGACTGGATCAGAGCCAGAATACACAACTAACAGCGAACACATCTACTTCAGAAACTTTGTTATATCATCAAACAAACGAAATAAATGAAGCTATAAAAATTGAACTTTATACTTGTTTTTTTTTGTCAGACAAGCGTCACTTTGTGGCTTAATTAACGTATGTCCTGTATGTCATATAAACCAATTTTTCTATTGCAAATGTAATTTAATTGGTTGAAGGTTTTTTTATGTAAGATGTATTAGATACATCCAGTGGTTACATGTTACTTAAACTCATGATTACATAAATTGATTGCAAAATTTAATTTCATAATTTGGTTATATTAGGTGGTTATATACATAAATTACGTTCGTTACTTATATTCGTTAATTGCATCAGTAGATTATATATGTTGATCAATTCTATTAATGATATCGGTTAATTACATCAGTTAATTATATAAGTTGGCTACAACAGCTGCGTCCATTTTTGACTACATCGTTTTATTACATCAGTTGATTACACCACTTGATTACATTTTTATTACGTCACATAATATCATCAACTGATTACACCGGCTGACTACATCAGCTGATTACATTGACTGCTTACTTACAGAGTACATTTGATCGAATCAGTGGGCTACATCAGTTTATTAGCTGTTTACTTTCTATCCCATGGGCCGGCGTGGCCTAGCGCTAGAGCGCGAGACTGCTATCTCAAAAGTGTCAAGTTCGAATCCGGGTTCAAGTTTGTAAAGAAAAACGGTTGGGCATATAGCTAGCAACATTATCCCTTCATCTACCCCAGGGGTCTCCAAACTACGGCCCGCGGACGAATGCGGCCCGCGAAGTCCTCTTATCTGGCCCGCGGAGATTTTATTGTCCAAGGAAAAATCGTTTGTTGGTGATGGCTGAGAAACTTTGCCAAGAAAAATCAAAGACATGCCCTGAAGAAACTGGCCCCCGAACTGAAATTTGATAGTTAATGCGGCCCTCGGACTGAAAAGTTTGGAGACCCCTGATCTACCCAATGGATCGCTAGATCTAAAGAAGAATCTTTTTCTACATAACTTTCTATCTCACCTACTATGTAACACACCTAGGGGAATCTGACCTCCTGCTAATAAAATATCCTAACCATTTGAAGTTTGCACGGCTACATTCAAATACAAATCCAATGAATTAGAAGTGGGAAATTTAAAAACAAAATAGTTTAACATTGGGAGCAACAATGTTCTCTAAAGTCATATTACACTTAGACCACACAAATGTCATTTTATTAGTAAACCTACAGTTCATAACATCAGCACTATTCATAACCAAAAGCTTAGTTAAATGGAATTTTAAAAAAAAAGTGTTGTTTTTTTTTAAATTAAGACTTTTACTGCTTAGAAACTAGTTTTTATACACATTTTAAAATTATCCTTTTATTTAAAAAAACACAAATAGTAATAAAAAGGTATTTTTACCGAAGCTTGCAGTTGGGTAAATGAAGCAGAGTTCGCGAGTATCATTTAATTTTCTTAGTTTAGTCATCTTAACTTCTTGCAGAGAATATATACACCTTAAACTACCAATGTCCTGTACCCCTACTCCCAAGATATTTGTGAGGTGTTTAGTTCTACTAGAAGACTCCGACACTACTTTAGTCTTGTAAGCCCCCTGAGTATCGTTAATGGAGGTTTATAGGGCTGGTAAGTAGGTCACCAACAAGTTCTACGACTCAATAAAACCTGTATGAGCCATGGAACTGTTTATTGACTTACTTACCAGCCCTATATGATGAGTAAACCATCGCAAAGTATATGAACCAGTGACAGGCTATTCGATGTTAATAAGATGATATCCTAGGTAGATATAAAGGAAATAATGAATTACTTTAGACATTGGAACCATGTATGATGGCCGTACCACAAGACAGGAAATACCACATGACGAGTCCAAACCGCAAGACGGTCCATCCTGGATGACGGCCAATAGAACAACAAGAATAGCAAAAACAAAATATTTGACCTAATGAATCCCTAATTGGTTACGTTTACTTTTATCAATTGTAGAAATGCATTCTAAAAACACAGTCGACAACTAAACCACAAAAACTAAAATACGAAGAGATTTCATGAGCGACAAGTGCTTTTATTAAAAGCGAGCAGGTTTGTGTTAATTTTTTTCAGCGCATTAAAAACTGATTATTTTACAGTTTTTTTTAATATTTGTTAGTTTAAAAATATACTTGTTATTTTAAAAACTTGAGAAATTACCTAAAAACCAAACACCTTTTTCTTTAGGAAATAATTGTATTATGACACTTTCCCATATTAAAAAATAATGTATTAAAATAAAAACATAAACAAGTTATTATATAAATTGATTTTTGAGCACTTTGTTAAGTTGGCGACTTAAGTTGGTAGGCCACTTTAACTACTACAATACAAATAAAATGGCTTACCTTTCAAAGGAATCCGTTTTGATCGTAAATAAAATTTGGACAAAATCTATTCGGCATACAACTTTTGGTCATATTGCTTTCAACTGGATAGTTTTCGCATTCTTGCAAACTTCCAATCGTGGGAAAAAACATTATACATAAAACTGCTTTTCAAAACCCCTGCCCACGTCACTTAATGTTACTTGCAAATGCAACCTGTAAAAAAACTGTAAAGGAACCTGCTAGCAAAATGAAGCTTAAGATATCGGTTAAATGAGAACTTACGATGATGGCATGCTTGGCCACTTCTGTAAACTGTATAAAAATTCTGTTTTGATAAACGTAAAAGGGCATGAAACAAACCTTTTAGGGTGTCTAATAGGAAAAATAAATTGTCTAAATATACAGTAGTTTTTTCTTTAATTGTACATTATAAAACGAACGTCATTATGCCATTAATTGTATATAATTAACATAATTTACAAGTACAAGTTTTTAAAACGGTTACGAAAGCTTAAGCATATGTTCGTGTTAACTTTTTGTTGATACCGTTAATTTTTTAACCATTTAAAACATATCCATGTGTTCGGTTCTCACGTGCATGCATCTGCACTTGATGGAGTGGAGAGTGCTGTGGCTGGTGTCTAAACAACCCTAATCCAGCCAAATTTGGCATGTTAGCTGATGTTGTGTTTGTTTTTACATGTTTATTACACCATCTAGACCCGTATAAAACCACGGACTGTCTGCGACAATGTTGCGTGTTCACTAAGACATACCTCAATAATGTTTGTGTTTCTGCTGCTTTCCTGTTTGGTTGGTGAGTTGCTGTTCACATTTTGTCTGGCTATCTAATACCGGTAGGGTAGATGAAGTAGAGTTCATCTGTTTATTAGACTCAGCACTATGCCCAGAAGACTTGAAGTTTTCTCTCTTGAGTTAGGAACACATTGAACTCCACAATTTTGGTTTGAGAATCGTTTAGTCTACCACTAAACTGAGTTGTGTTACCATTCAATCATAAATGATTCCTTCTCCTTTACTGTATAATTTCCTAATACGAAGGTTATTTATTTCTCTCAGCCACGTCCCTGGGTGACCCTGTTGCAGGTGAGCACAAGGCTTCTAGAATCGTCCACGGAACTCCGTCAGTACCTGGTGCACGCCCGTACCAGGTATCTTTCCAGGTGAATTCCAAAGGCGTATGGCGCCACATTTGTGGAGGGACGTTGGTCACTCTCAACAAGGTCAGTAATTGTCGTCGTTCGGCCACTTTTTACTCCAAAGCTTTATTTTTAATTTCGATAGCGGGACAACTATAAATGTCAACATGAATTTTTTTTTTCAGTTCCAGTGAGGTAGAATGTAATACTCTATTATTACAGTATATTTCCCCTTATTACGCTTCATTTTAAATGCAATACATATAAAAATTGGGACGGCTTGGCCTAGCAATAGAGCGATAGACTGCTAACCCGAAGATTTCAAGTTCAAATCCGGATTCAAGTCAGGTTTGGAAGGAAACTTAACATGTGAAAACATGATTAAATTTTGTCAATTAATTACTTACACCATCTACAGATAGTCACGGCGGCACACTGCGCCGTGGCGTACCCCCAGCTCCCCTGGAGGGTGGAGCTGGGCACTGTGGTCAAGTATGACGAGACCAATCCCTACAGACAGGCCATCAACGTGTCGTCGTATGTGGTCCACGAGGACTACAGCCCACTGGACAACTTGCCCAACGACATCGCCATCTTGACGCTAGTCCAGAACGCTGAGCTTTCTCCATACGTTCTAGTGAGTAGCATACCTGTCTATATGCATTGTATTAGAACATGTGCTTAAGAGGAATAGTATCGTACAGTAGTTTACGCACAAAATTATATATATATATATATATATATATATATATATATATATATATATATATATATATATATATAATATATATATATATATTTCACAATATAGACGCACATATATATGTGTGTATATAAAATGACCCCATATATATATATATATATATATATATATATATATATATATATATATATATATGTGTGTGTGTGTGTGTGTGTGTGTGTTTGTGTGTATTAATACAAAAAGCATTTAATTCATATATATATATATATATATATATATATATATATATATATATATATATATATGGATTAAATACTTTTAGTATATATATATATATATATATATATATATATACTTTATATATATATATATATATATATATATATATATATATATATATATATATATATATATATATATATATATATATATATATATATTCTGATATATCAGCCTGCCATACTGCCTGTCACTGGAGAGGATTTTCTCGACAAGCCCTGTATACTCAGCGGTTTTGGTAACACCAACTGGACCAGTGGAGGATCCCCCATTCTGAGAGAGACGACCTCCAGAGTTATTGCTAATGACGACTGCACTAATTACTACCAAACTATCCCAGAGGACCCCTCGCCTGACGAACATGTGGGGGACGGACACATTTGCATGTTTGACCTGAGCAGTGAGTAGTGTGGGAAATATGTGGGAGGGACAGATTTGCATGTTTGATTGAGTGTGGGGAAATGTGTGGATGAGGTAGTGATAACTTCATTAAACATTAAAAAACCTAATTAAAAATAAAACATCTTTAAAAATGTAACTGGATATAAACATCAAACATCACTAATCAATCAATCAGAAAACATATAATATAGTTTAGCCATCATATATCATACGCTTGTCACCAAGCGAACAACAAATATAAAAAAAACGAACATCACACGTCATCAAACATACATGAAATTTCATTCATTAACAAATTTTTGGCTCATAACGTTACATTGATCTGTTAACAGCAACATATCCCCTGGTCAGTGGTCTGAAGTAGTTTTATCTAGTCTCACCTTGACCTTTGATTTACTTCCAGAACCTGCCGGTGAACGACCTGGGGTTTGTTTCGGCGACAGTGGTAGCCCAGCACTCTGCGAGGGCGCCTTCAACATCAAATATTTCGCTGGCATCGCTTCTTGGATTCACGCATGCGATGGTAGGCGTCCATGTTGTATGTTGTCTTATGCTGGGTGATGGTAGGCGTCCATGTTGAATGTTGTCTTATGCTGGCTGGGCGATGGTAGGCGTCCATGTTGAATGTTATCTTATGCTGGTTGGGCAACGGTAGGCGTCCATGTTGAATGTTGTCTTATGCTGGCTGGGCGATGGTAGGCGTCCATGTTGAATGTTGTCTTATGCTGGGTGGGTGATGGTAGGCGTCCATGTTGAATGTTGTCTTATGCTGGCTGGGCGATGGTAGGCGTCCATGTTGAATGTTGTCTTATGCTGGGTGGGTGATGGTAGGCGTCCATGTTGAATGTTGTCTAGCTGTTCGTTGTTTGCAGCTTCAGTGTCAACTTCTTAGGCCAGGGGTAGGTCGCCTGAGTCAAGTTTACTTCCTGACGCAAAAGAAGCCGTACGCCTCTATTTCATTAGGAATGGTGAGGCTTATCAGTAGAGTGCTGGACCGCTAACCGGAAATTCGCGAGTTTGGATCCCGGACTTGAGTCTGTAGAATGCCCTTGAGCCACCCCAACTCTGATGGGTACCTGACTCACGTTAAGGAAACAAAGGCGGCTGACCACATTATCTCATTGTATGCCGAGGTCATTGTAACAGATGAGCTCTACTTCATCTGCCCCATGTGTCTTGGGCTCGAATGGAACAAGACGATGATTTCGTCGAATGTCAGGATCTTAAATCCGAAGACAAGAATCTTACAGCAAGAGTATTACAAAAATATTTGCTAGGTAATAACATTATTAACTCATTGTGGTGTATTAGTTATTCGCATCTTACACGCAATACATTTGTATTCATAAGTAACGTAAAGTAACGTACATAGTATTTCTATTTTATTCTCATATCATTATCTCTTTGGAATCTCAAATGTGCACTTTTTAAAAACAAATCATTAAGTCACGTCAAGTATTTATTAAGTCGACCAGCAAACCATTACGTAACAATAATTAAAAGAACCCCTAAGATCAGGCCTAGATGTCTTGACCGTCATGTAGATTTATGTTTTGTTTCTTCACCTCAGGCGAAACTCCTGTAACGTACACTCGGGTCAGCTATTTCCTGAACTGGATAGTAGAAAGACTGTAAGATTCCTGTTCGTCTGAGAGACTGTCTTGTGTAACAGATTAAAACTAATCTACTTTGGCACAACAACAATCAATAAAATATTTAAACAGATAAACGCCCTACGTCTCTTAGTTTGAATGTTTAATTCATCCACAGGTTATTTTCATTTTATTTTTCGTGTCTTTATTATGGAACTTATTATATTGTATTTATGGGAAGAAGTGACCTAGCAGTAGAGATATAGACTACTAAATTAAAAGTCTCGAGTTCGAAGCCAGATTCAAGTCAGTAAAATTTCTTTGAGTCCACCCAGCTATGGTGGGTACCTAACTCACGTTAGGGAATGTGAATGCAACTGGGTATTGTGCTGACCAGACTAAAGAGGAATGTTTATTTTTGAATTATATCTATTTGAGGACCAAATGAAAAGTAAATGTAATAAATCACCAACAAACTACATAATTTAGTGTGTATTTCTGATGACGATGTATAATCGGCTGTCTGGCACTCACATTTCTAGCTCACCCCCCATCAACTCGAGACAGCAACACGTCTAATGTCAACACAGAGCCAGACGTCAGCCAGGGCTAGTAAGACGGTCACCAACTCCTTTTTATCATACTAGCCAGCTAGTATTTTTCAAACCAAATGTGAATATTTTTTATTAATCGTTACAAATAAATTACAAAAATTAAAAAGTTACTTCCGCTCATTATCATTTAAAAAATTAAACAATGAATGAAAATGACAGACTACAATGTGGCAAATGAGCTCCATCAAGGTATACCGCACATATATGTACTAGCTGCATACCCGTGCTCCGACACGGTAAATATTTTTTAAATGTACCAACTTGGGAACAGAACAAAACTAAACACAACACAAACACAACACAAACATAACACAAACACAAAAGAAAACACAAATTCAAATAAAAACAAAAATGACAACACCAACACAATGCAAACACAAACGCAAATAAACGAACGATAAAACAAACACAACACTCATAACATAAACACAACTTAAATGCAAACATAAACGTATAGTGCTCACAGTTTAGCCCGTGGCGCCAAATCGTACCCTGTCCAAGCGCCGGCAGACGCGCCTGATTCAGTGAATGACTATAAAAAAACCCAGCTTGTCCGCAAACGGAAAGTTAGATTAATAATTAGTAAACAGTACGTTCAGTGTATAAAATAAATAAAAGGCAGTATTTAAAATATCCGTGTGTTACCTATTGCATTTTATCAATTCATGCTTTTTTTTTCAGTACTTTAAATTTAAAAAAATTACAATAGAGTTTCATGACTAAAACCATTGCGCACCTAATGAACGTGATGACGCATCTATAACAGTGCGGAATAGTTTATTAAAAATTATAATTAGTAAACAGGTCGTTTAGTGAATAAAAAAAAAAAGATAGCCTTTTATCAATCCATGCTAATTACAATATTCCAACAATAATGTCCTCTTACAATAATGTCCTCTGCAGATTTGCATTCACATTTTGCTAATTATATTATTCCAACATTTTGTATTAGCGAAAGTTTAATTTATTTTTAAATTACCTCCCTTGGCAAAATTACAAAACAGTTTAATTAATTAGTTTTTTTACCCTATTATTATTAAAATGTATCCACTTTTCTAGTAATCAAAACAAAAATATTTGACATTGATCCGTTTAATATGTTTTAGCAATTTGCGTGTATTCAATATTTTCTTTACCTTATGCGAAAGGGCAAAAACTGTAGCAACTATAAAATAAATATAAATCGTTATATAAACAAACCTTACTCTATTTCTTACAATAAGACACTGCGACTGCGATGCAAGTAAAAAGCACGACATGTGATGTGTTTACTTTTCTGGTTCCAAAATCTATAGCGATGACGGAAGGCAGAAAGGAAGGACTGACACACTGCCAGCCCGTTTATATTATAGATAGCCGCAACAACAGAATTACTTGTTTGTCTAGGGGATATCTCGTTGAAGTTCCCCTAATAATAATAATTTAATAATAAACAGTGTGTTTTATCCATGTTTTATCTATACCTCATTTAATTAACAACTACAGTACACTAGTTTACAAGAGGCTTTAATAGCAATAATTAGTACAATTAAAACAGTTATATTAAAAAATGGCAGCTGGGGTGATGAGCTACAGGTCGTCGTGGGATGTGGTCAGACTTGTTCCACACACGAACCTCTGTATCTTCTAGCCCCAAGTAGGCTGGATGTAAAATACGTTTTACAAACTTCCTAACATTTGTGTGAAATACATATTCATTCAGACAATACAATGTTACATATATCACCATACATTTACTATATCAAATTAACCTGACATACAATAAAAATGTTACAAAAATATCCTTATGATTAATACCTGGGTTTACATACTTTCCATAATAAGAGAGTGATTAACATAAAAGTACATCAATAAAATAAAGTTTTCAATTATTTTTAAATGAAGCCACATCCTCCTCTACACATGTTGCAAAATAAGTAAAATACGTTTCTCCATGACGAACAAGTGCCATAACTCCAGATTAATTTTAATTTTATCTTGGCAAGTACCGTAGATCTCCGTAGATATTTTGATGGAGTAAATTACAGCAGGGGCGTAGCGAGGGGGGGGGCGGGGGTGCGGACCGCACCGGGTGACACCATTTAGGGGGGTGACACCAAGGCAAAAAATAGCAAAATATATAGAGAAAAACTCGAGGGGGGGGGGTGCAAATCGAAAGTTTGAGGGGGGGGGTGCAAATTGAAAACTCGAGGGGGGGTGCAAATCGAAAGTTTGAGGGGGGGGGGGGGTGCAAATCGAAAACTCGAGGGGGGGTGCAAATCGAAAGTTTGAGGGGGGGGGGGGTGCAAATCGAAAATTTGAAAGTTTGTCCCTGGGAAGGGTCTCTATTAACAACTACAGTACACTAGTTTACAAGAGGCTTTAATAGCAATAATTAGTACAATTAAAACAGTTATATTAAAAAATGGCAGCTGGGGTGATGAGCTACAGGTCGTCGTGGGATGTGGTCAGACTTGTTCCACACACGAACCTCTGTATCTTCTAGCCCCAAGTAGGCTGGATGTAAAATACGTTTTACAAACTTCCTAACATTTGTGTGAAATACATATTCATTCAGACAATACAATGTTACATATATCACCATACATTTACTATATCAAATTAACCTGACATACAATAAAAATGTTACAAAAATATCCTTATGATTAATACCTGGGTTTACATACTTTCCATAATAAGAGAGTGATTAACATAAAAGTACATCAATAAAATAAAGTTTTCAATTATTTTTAAATGAAGCCACATCCTCCTCTACACATGTTGCAAAATAAGTAAAATACGTTTCTCCATGACGAACAAGTGCCATAACTCCAGATTAATTTTAATTTTATCTTGGCAAGTACCGTAGATCTCCGTAGATATTTTGATGGAGTAAATTACAGCAGGGGCGTAGCGAGGGGGGGGGGGGCGGGGGTGCGGACCGCACCGGGTGACACCATTTAGGGGGGTGACACCAAGGCAAAAAATAGCAAAATATATAGAGAAAAACTCGAGGGGGGGGGGGGTGCAAATCGAAAGTTTGAGGGGGGGGGGGTGCAAATTGAAAACTCGAGGGGGGGTGCAAATCGAAAGTTTGAGGGGGGGGGGGGTGCAAATCGAAAACTCGAGGGGGGGTGCAAATCGAAAGTTTGAGGGGGGGGGGTGCAAATCGAAAATTTGAAAGTTTGTCCCTGGGAAGGGTCTCTATTAACAACTACAGTACACTAGTTTACAAGAGGCTTTAATAGCAATAATTAGTACAATTAAAACAGTTATATTAAAAAATGGCAGCTGGGGTGATGAGCTACAGGTCGTCGTGGGATGTGGTCAGACTTGTTCCACACACGAACCTCTGTATCTTCTAGCCCCAAGTAGGCTGGATGTAAAATACGTTTTACAAACTTCCTAACATTTGTGTGAAATACATATTCATTCAGACAATACAATGTTACATATATCACCATACATTTACTATATCAAATTAACCTGACATACAATAAAAATGTTACAAAAATATCCTTATGATTAATACCTGGGTTTACATACTTTCCATAATAAGAGAGTGATTAACATAAAAGTACATCAATAAAATAAAGTTTTCAATTATTTTTAAATGAAGCCACATCCTCCTCTACACATGTTGCAAAATAAGTAAAATACGTTTCTCCATGACGAACAAGTGCCATAACTCCAGATTAATTTTAATTTTATCTTGGCAAGTACCGTAGATCTCCGTAGATATTTTGATGGAGTAAATTACAGCAGGGGCGTAGCGAGGGGGGGGGGGGGGCGGGGGTGCGGACCGCACCGGGTGACACCATTTAGGGGGGTGACACCAAGGCAAAAAATAGCAAAATATATAGAGAAAAACTCGAGGGGGGGGGTGCAAATCGAAAGTTTGAGGGGGGGGGGGGGTGCAAATTGAAAACTCGAGGGGGGGTGCAAATCGAAAGTTTGAGGGGGGGGGGGTGCAAATCGAAAACTCGAGGGGGGGGTGCAAATCGAAAGTTTGAGGGGGGGGGGTGCAAATCGAAAATTTGAAAGTTTGTCCCTGGGAAGGGTCTCTATGCCTCTGGGGGGGGGTGACACCATTAAGTGCCGCACCGGGTGACACCCGACCTCGCTACGCCACTGAATTACAGTAGATATTTTGGTGGAGTAGACCTCCGTAAATATTTTGGTGGAGTAAACCTCCGTAGATATTTTGGTGGAGTAGACAGAAATAAAAGGTAATCGGAAATTTTAGTGGAGTAGACAATGCGGAAATAAAAGGTATTCGGACACTTTGATAGAGTAGACAATGCAGAAATAAAAGGTAGTCGGAAATTTTGGTGGAGTAGACTTTGCGGAAATAAATGATAATCGGAGATTTTGATAGAATAGACAATGTTGAAATAAAAGGTTGTCGGAAATTTTGATATAGTAGACTATGCAGAATAAAAAGCTTATGGACATTTGAGTTAGAAAATAAAATAAAAAACAAACAACTCCTGATTTTAAACTAAAATCCCTATAGTATTAGCAGCAGCAACACCTACCGCATTCTCACAGACCAAACCCAGGTGTTCAATAAAACGTTGCGTCACAAAATCAATATCAAACAGCAGTACATTTTCCTGACGTGTACATCTCAAGTTTTTTCCTGTGTTTTTTGGCTGTAGAAAGTGCATGCACCTGTTTGACTCACACGCTCAGCCCAAACACTTGAAGCACTCAGGTCTTTCGAAATAATACTTGTAATTGTAAACCAGCTTCTTTAATAGTTTATCCATCTAATTATTAACTTTTATTACACAACATAAAATTGTGTATAAAACCGCAGCAAAATCCCTTTAAAGACAAGTAGCCGGAGCTGCAATCGACTGCTGTGGTACACAAGAAGATGTGGAGCACTGTGCTGTTATCGTGTTTACTTGGTGAGTAGATTAACGTTGTAGTATAGTAATTATAAAAACTTGTGGCATTTATAAAATGTTTGATTTGATAAGTGTCTCTTAATTAATTAAATTTATTTTTGATTCATGTTTACGTAGTTTTGTTTATCTTTTCAGCCACGGCATTTGGAGATCAAATCGAAGAAGAACTGAAAGAAAGGAGTACCAGAATCGTCAATGGTAACGAGGCGTCCACAGGAGCTTATCCATACCAGGTTTCCTTCCAAGTGGAATACTTGGGCCACTGGTACCACATCTGTGGGGGGACAATCGTCACTCGTAACAAGGTGATGCATCGTCCACTTCGCACCTTAAAATAAGCATTTTAATAAACAATTAACATATGAAGCTTTATTATAAATTAAATTAGCTTTAAATTATTTTTAGATTCGACATCTATTTAAAGTTAAGTTATGCTATATAGTTAGTTACAGCAATTAATTTACAACGCTTTTAACCTAATAATAAATACTGTTTCAAATATATAGACAAAACTAATATAAGAACATATTGATAACACTTATATTTATACACACAAAAGATTGTGACAGCCGCCCATTGTGCAGTGGCGTACCCACAGTTCCCGTGGAGGGTGGAGCTGGGCACCGTGGTCATCAACGACGTGACCAACCCCAACAGACAGGCCATCGATGTGGCCTCTTACGAGATCCACGAAGGATACACGCCCCTGGACAACCTACCCAATGACATTGCTATCTTGACACTGGCCAGTAAAGCCAGGATCACGAGATTCGTTCAGGTGTGTAGTCTGCCGCACCTGCATAGTCACACCTGGTTGGACTCTACTGTATGGCAACACCTGCATAGCCACACCTGTATAGCCACACCTGTATAACCACACCAGTATAGCCACACCTCCATAGCCACAACTTCAGAGCCACACCTTCAGAGCCTCACCTGCAAAGCCACATTTGATTAGCTATACCTGCTTACCATTTGATATTCATACATGAAAAAGACTCAACGAAACAATTGCATTTAGAAAGAAACAGATACATTTACATACACATTTTTGTATATATATATATATATATATATATATATATATATATATATATATATATATAGCTTCATCAAGTACTAGATGATATCAAACAACTCCCCTCACAAAAACAATACTTAAAATAACTTCATTGTGTCTAATTATCAACATGTCGACTATTTTATGTACAATAACTGAGCACAGTTGTCTGCCTTTTGTATTATTTGGTTTTAAATATACCTAAATAAAGCTCTATTATTCGCATTTAGATACCGTTAAAGCAGAGTGGAAACCTTACTGGAATATTACAATTTTTTGTAATCTTCAAAACCTGATTCTGTTTTTGTTCCCGTAGCCCGCTTTACTGCCGTCCAACAGAGACCAGTTTGTTGACCAGCCCTGCGTCATCACCGGGTTCGGCTACGTCAACGCCACCAGCGGGGCGTCCCCTGTGTTGAGGGAGACCACCACCCGGGCCATGTCTAACGACGCCTGCAACGCCCACTACAGGGCGGTTGCAGAGGACAGAGCTTACGTGTTGGACGGGCAGATATGTGTGTTAGACTTGAATCGTGAGTAGTTCACCCCTTTTAGAAATGTTACGTTCGTTTTGTCAGGGTAGAACTAGAATTGTAATTTTAATCTAAATAGCAAAATCTTTACAGCACTGTTTAATATTAAACAAGTTTTCACGAAAATTTCGCTTTAAACTAATATTCTGGAGAAATTGGGACGTTTTTTAAAGGTTGCGCGAGGCGTTATAATATTAAACGTTGTGAAAAGTAAACAAGAATATGTATTAACTAAAATTTGAGGATGATTTGAAAACAAGTTAAAAAAAAGTCTAGTGACAATTTAAGCGCAATTTCCTTATGTTATCCATAACAATTTTTAATTTTTTGTGACCGAACGAAAGGATATTTTTTTGCGCTAAAAAAAGACAACTATATTAACCTATATCAACGGAAATAGTTTTATTTTAATGAGTAGGCCTACACGATGCTCAAGTCGTATCTCCTCCTCAACAAAGCAATATCGAGGACTAGTTTCAAAAGCAAATATGTAAAGCAAGTTCCGAGGATGATTGTGGGCCAAAAAAATTCCCGGAATTTCCTCCTGGATTTCCCGGAAAAGCCAAAAAAACTCGAAAAATGCAGTTTTTGGCCCATATCTCGGCAACCAGACCACTTAGCGACTTGAAACATTTACCAATCGATTCCTGTCATAATTTAAAACAATGTTGCCGAAGAAAGTTTTCAAAAATATCCATTCGTTCGGTCACAAAAAATTAATTAAGGAAATTGCGCTTAAATTGTCACTAGACTTTTTATTAACTTGTTTAGCTTTACATAGCACATTGAGTGCTCTTTTCAATATGGCTAAGAAATTAAATGATTTGACTCAATTCGCTTCGAAATTTCGACATAGGTGAATTATTTTGTCATCACAGTGTGTAATACCAGGCTGCTCATCTAGTGACCTTGACCTCTGTTTAATCCCCCAGGTCCAGTAGGTCACAGACCTGGCGCGTGCTACGGCGACAGCGGCGGCCCCGCCATGTGTGGCAGACACTTCAAGTTCTTCGCTGGCATCGCTTCCTGGCTCGTCAGCTGTGATGGTCAGTCTTGTCGTCTGCTCTTGTTTATTTCAGAAAATTTGTTAAGGACTTTACTAATACTTACTAAAACATTTTGGAAAAAAAAAACTACAATAATTAGACAAAAGTACGACTATAAATAGTTGTCAAGTAAAAGAAAAAATATAGAAAATATGACAACAGTAAGATTCTCATCACTATACATGTGTGCTTAGATTTCATGTTCTCAAGTTTAGAGAAAAAAAGGTCAACGTAACGGTTCGTTTGTAGGAACTTATGGTCGGTGTAACGTTTTGCTTGTAAGATCCAAAGGTCAAGGTAATGTTTTGTTGTATCTTCACGCAGGTGAGCATCCAGTCACCTACACTCGAGTCAGTTATTACCTGGACTGGATCAGGGCCAGACTACACGACAAACAGTGAATACAGTTTGAACTAAAACTTGACATATCAGAGAGATGATAAAATAAAACAAGCTATAACAATGAAATATTGTTCTTGTTTTTTTACCTGTTATTTGACAATCGTGTGCAGAAAAAAGTGTCCTATTTACAAATTATCCATAGCAAATTTGATTTCATTCTTTGAAGGTTTATTTGTGTGAAACAAGAACAAAAATAAGTCACTTGGGTTCTATTAAAACCTTAGTCAATCTACAGAACCTGCAAGGCGATATGTAAGACACCGGCCTATAAAAGATGTTTGTGGTCAGTGCCATTCAGCCCACAAACTGAGCTCGAAACTTAATGTGAGCGGGTGAATGGATTATTTATTTTGTATTAATTTATTTGGTTCGAATCTGTGAGTGCATGGTGTTCCAATGGGGAACGGCCACGGGGTCCCCCTTCCGTCCGAAGCGGTCAGTATAAATTGACCGGTCGGATGATTTTCTTCCTTTTTTTTGACCCGAGGCGAGATGTAGGTCGGGTCAGGTTTCGGTGTCTGTGTGGGCGCGTGGCGCACCTCACGCGTGGAGGTATTTTTTTTTTTGACCCACAAAGAGGGCTACTGGACACCCGCCCCACAGGTGTGTCGAGTCGGACACACGATCATTGGAGGCGGGCAACAGCACGAGAGCCAGTGGGGCAAGGCGGTTGCGTCACCACCTGGCCCAACCAAGCGGACGCTCCCCACCAACGAGAGGCCTATGACGTCAATTCCTTGACCCACAAAGAGGGCTACTGGACACCCGCCCCACAGGTGTGTCGAAACGGAGGCACGATCATTGGGGGCGGGTAACAGTCGGAGAGCCAGTGGTTCAAGGCGGTTGCGTCATCTCCGGACCAACCAAGCGGACGCTGCCCCGGTGGGCGTACGATTTTACGCAAGACCAGAATGCCGTCCAGCAAACTTTGTTTTATGAGCAAGTCGGGGCACCTGTGCCTCGCTCCACCGGTTGTCTAGATGGTCAGCACGGCGCTAGCTTCACCCTCACTCAGATAGGGGTAGCTACTCTACATGAAAAGAGGGGTGGACCATCTGGTTTTAATCGAGTAGCTGGAACTTTGATGTATACATTGTTGTATATATTTTTTGTATATTTATTTGAATGTCTTACAGGGACTGTAAGTTTTTAAAAAGGGGTGAATGTGAGCGGGTGAATGGATTATTTATTTTGTATTAATTTACTTGGTTCGAATCTGTGAGTGCATGGTGTTCCAATGGGGAACGGCCACGGCCACGGGGTCCCCCTTCCGTCCGAAGCGGTCAGTATAAATTGACCGGTCGGATGATTTTCTTCCTTTTTTTTTGACCCGAGGCGAGATGTAGGTCGGGTCAGGTGTCTGTGTGGGCGCGTGGCGCACCTCACGCGTGGAGGTATTTTTTTTTTTATACTTTATCTTTATGTGATTTGTATGAATGCGACTGCCGATGTTTCTCGTTTTCTTTCATTTTCGTCTAAAACGAGATAGTGAGCATCGGCATGTCTGGTATGCACGTGGTGTGTTATTTTGTTATTTTTTAAAAATGTATTATTGTGTTTTCTAAACCCGTGGCGTGTGTTTCGGACCACGTGGTTTAGGTCAGTGTGTTTAGGAGTGTTTCCTAAACTGGTGTGAATGCGTGTGTGCATTTACCTGATTGTTTTATGATGTGTTATTGACTAGGATTGGCTTAGTCAATAGTCCGTTGTTTTAGACAGTAATTAGAGTAGTATATTTTTGTTGCCTCGAGTTTTAGGTTGTTTAAAATTAATGTGTGTGCTGTTTCGTGCAGCGTCATGTTGAGTATCGCTTGCTTTGTGTCTGCCTTCATTGGGGCCTTAGCGGAGTGTGTTAACTTTAATGTTGTCAATATGGATATTGTTTATGTAGACCAATGGCTTCGGGCTGCTCCTTGTGTAGGAAAGATTGGTTCTACAATGAATTTGTTTACACGTTATTTTTAAGTTGCTAGTTCTTCTTTAGACAGTGGTTAGTTGTTTTTGAGAATTGCTTTTAGAATTGTATAGTAAGGATTAGTTTTACTCGAGGCTTTAGCTAGATAGAAGTAGTAGGTAGCATTTTGAACTTGTGTATATATTTATGTATATATCTGCCATTACCATGCACTTTTCTTATGTTTTCCTTTTCTTTTTCTCTCCCCCCCCCCTTCCAGTGAGGTTGCTTGGGCAACTTGGCTGGGTGTTTTGTTATATATGACTTGTTTTGTTTGGTGTAAAAAGTTTGTTGTGTACGTATTGTTTTCTACGTAATGTATTGTACGTAACGTATTGTACGTAGTGGTTTTACGTAGTGTTTTGTTTGGTGTGGACTTTTGGATGTCGAGAATGGATGAAGGGAGGTTTCTGTGTGTCAGGGCCTGGACCATCCTAGACATAAGTCGGTGCAACACCAGCAAATGGTCGAACGTAATGTTTTGTTGTATATAAACTGTTTTGTTTGGTTTTGTTTTGTCTGTTTTGTTTCAGTTTTTATCTATTCTTTTTCTGTAATTTTTCCATTGGTACCTTATTTTTGATAAATAAATTTTATTAAATTGTTAAAAGTTTTTTTGTTTTTATTTAGACTAAGGTTAGGTTATTAACCAGTCTGGGTTTATCCGGGCTTGCACTGACCGGACAGTAGTTGGTTAGATAAGCCTGAAGGGTAGATTCTATGTATCCCCCCCCCCTAGCAGGGCTTACATTAATAAATCATTTTATTTCATTAATTGATTACACCACTTAATTAAATTTTGTTTATATCAAATTATTGTAACTATTGTAATTAAATGGTAACATAATCTGATTTCAGATAGGTCTACATTTGATCGAATCAGTTGTCTATATCTGTTTATCATGCTACTTCGATCTCACCTCAGATAAACTGACCAGCTGGTATAAAACACACCTCAGATAAATTTACCAGCTGGTATAAAACACCTCAGATAAACTGACCACCTGGTATAAAACACACATCAGATAAACAGAACAGCTACTATTAAAATATCCTAAACATTTGAAGTTGGCATCGCTACTTTTCAATACATACCTAAAGAAACGAATTTCAGAAAATATTTAAAATATAGTATAAAATCGGGACAACAGTTTTTTAAAGTAATACTACACTTAACAACATCCCCACCTAAAATTGGAATCTAAGTGACATAATAAAATGTCATTTTTAAATTAAAAGTATTGCTGCTTAGCAAATCAGGTTTAAAAAAACATTTCCAAATTATTATTTATTTTTAATAATATTAAAAACCAACCCCTAAATTTCTCGAATATTCTTATATTACACTACGGGGGCTGGCAACTCGGGATATAAACATGATTTTAATCCATTTTTAATTGTTTAAACTTTTAAAAATAAAATAGAATCTCGTAGAAAAAAGAATTGCGCACCAAGTGAACGCCAAACAATATGTGTATAATAGTGCAGAATATTATTAGTACTTTATGAATTCACATGCGTTTTTTTTTAGTAATCGGTAATAGCGTAAATTACTACTTCCGGTCAATCAATGGAAATTACTCAAAATTTAACAGAAGACAGAGAATTAGATCTTTTACTTTTAAAAGAAATTTCATTGATCTATCTGAAACAGAACACAAGTTATAGGATTTTTAAAAATTGGAAATATAAAAAGTTCCACTTCCGGTTACCGGAAATCGCTGAAAAGTTGATACAGAACAACAAATTTGATATAATACTTCTATTAAAAATATCATCAACCTAGATGTAACGATACTCAAGTTATAGTTCACAGCCACACATACATACACATAAACATACGGGCACAATTGCAAATCTATGTTTTTCCGACTCAGGAAGGGGTAAAACGTCGAGATTTGTAAAAAGCATATTTTTTACAATACTTCTTGTATACTTTGTATACGAGAAAAATAAACAACATCACAAATAGTAGGGAATAGGTATTTTCCTTTGAGCTTACACTTAGGTAGGTGTAGGTGTAGGTGTAGGTGTAGGTGTAGGTGTAGGTGTAGGCGTAGGCGTAGGTGTAGGTGTAGGTGTAGGTGTAGGTGTAGGTGTAGGTGTAGGTGTAGGTGTAGGTGTAGGTGTAGGTGTAGGTGTAGGTGTAGGTGTAGGTGTAGGTGTAGGTGTAGGTGTAGGTGTAGGTGTAGGTGTAGGTGTAGGTGTAGGTGTAGGTGTAGGTGTAGGTGTAGGTGTAGGTGTAGGTGTAGGTGTAGGTGTAGGTGTAGGTGTAGGTGTAGGTGTAGGTGTAGGTGTAGGTGTAGGTGTAGGTGTAGGTGTAGGTGTAGGTGTAGGTGTAGGTGTAGGTGTAGGCGTATGTGTGGGCTTGGGTGTGAGTGTGGATGTGGATGTGGAGGTGGACGTGGATGTGGATGTGGATGTGGATGTGGATGTGGACGTGGACGTGGGTGTGGATGTGGATGTGGATGTGGATGTGGACGTGGATGTGGATGTAAATGTGAATGTGGATGTGGGTGTTGGTTTGGGAGTCATTGTAGCTGTAGCTGTTATTAACTTTTATTTTTTGTGCCTTATCATTGCGGGCTGTACACAGACAAACGCCAACAGATTAATATTAATAATCCGTTACACACTGTATTTTTTAACACAGTCAAACAGTGAAACATCAATGTTGCCCAGCGAATAATCAATCGTGAAGGCCATATTGATGTAGGTAAAGCCACGCCTTCTCCTCCCCCTCATTCATCTGATTGACTGCCTCTTCCTAAGTGATGTTGCCTATCAAATCAAAGCCTAGTACTCAAGGTGGTTTTTTTTATATACATGAAAACTGGATATTACTTTGTGACGTAAAGGGTTGGTTATTGGTATTATGTCAGGTTGAACAGGCAAAATATTCAGCCATTCATCAACCTGATCTCGACCAATTGTTTTCAAGGACGTAAACTAAACTCAAAACAAATTCTATTCGCGTGTTCTGATTGGTTACGATAGGACACTCCTTTAAAATTGAGTCTTTATAACAAGTAAATCAGTACAGTCTACTCAACAGACGAGTACCACAAAAGGAAGACTAATCCAAATCTCCGAAGACTCCACAATGCTGGGATCAGTTTTCATCTTTGTACTAGCGTTGCTAGAGCTGACTGCCGCACAAATCACGGGTAAGTGTTAATTAATTAATAAATGGATAAATTAATTAATTATAATTTTTAAAATTCTAGTTCACAGAAATAGTAACGAGATATGATATAAGTTGAAAGGATGGATCCAGTTACTTATGATTTCCAACTAAAGAACTTGACGCAGCGTAGCATTAATTTACATCAAAATGAAAGTGTAACGTAGATTATATCACAGTTCACAGTGAAAGTCTCAAAACGTGGCTTTAGAACATCTTCAAAAGAATCGAAAGTGTTAAATTAAAAACCATATTAATTCACTGTTTTTGCATTTGTTTACTTTGAAAAAAAAATGCATTTTTTCTATTTAGCTAATTGTGCTCAACTGGAGCCCATTTCTGTTGGTGAAGTAGAGTTTGTCGAGAAGAAAGACGATGACTTTGATCAGGTTATATTATCAAGTGTCGCCCGCCCCTCCACTAGTCCCACTCAGACCGAGGTGAGTCTCATTTCTTTTTCTCTTCGTTGTTTCAATTACTATACTTCATTTAGACACTTGTTAAAGAAATGAAATTGAGAGCTATGTTATTTATTCGATTAAACTAAATGTTATGCCATTAGTATGTATATTTTGATACTATTCATATAAACTTATATTGAAATTAGTTACAAAAGTTAAATATTTAACCAATTCTGATTCCCTTTGTGGAGTTGATTGGTGCTATATAGTGTTATGACGACTATATTGATATGTCGGCACGGCATGGTTTCTAAAATGTAATAGCGCTTAACAGAAATGTATAAAGTTGAAAAACATTCCGTTCTGTATAAGCACAAACGTTTTAAAAACACTCATGCTATTTTCTTCTGTTCCGTTGCTTGAATTCAATTTTTAACAATCGTTAAATGGACAGGCGGCCAGCTTGTATTATGACTCATTTAAAGCTGGCACCATTGTACCCGTCGTGGAACCGTTATCAGGATGTCAAGGTGACACTGGAACTCCTGGCTTCACCCAGCTAGCAGAAGTGAACCTGTATGTGCGGTACTTGCTGTATCAAGACTGGTACATTAATTACATAAAGTAGGTCAAACATTTTAATATATAAATATATATATATATATATATATATGCATTTTTGACTGGGTAATATTTTTTATTATGTGTGTTGTATGTAATTAATACTTTGAGCGATACTTCATAAAAATATAACTTGGCTGCTCTCTAATTAAATATGTAATCGGTTTAATCATTTCTTCCAGACACCCCCATCTAACTCCCCGCCTACGTGAGAGCAAATGAGCATGGTTTCTTGGGTTCATTTATAGTTGGAAAAATTGGTTTGAGTAAATGCTGTGTGCGCTGTTTTAAAATAAGAAAAAAAAACTCGATACTCACCTTATGTGGGACGACGTGGCCTAAGCAGTAGAGCGCTAGGCTTCTAACCCGAGTCTCGAGTTCGAATCCTGGTCAAAATCACTAGAACGTCCCTCGGCTATGATGGGTACTGAAGTCGCGTTAGGGGAAGTAACGGAGGCTGGGCATAGTGTTTTATATGCCGGTCAAGAAACATATGAACTCTACTTCATTTGCCCAATGGATCGCTAGGGAAATTTTTTTTAGTCGCCTCTTAAACTCTTGTTGAAATCAGTCGTTATGATGCCCTAGTGCAACCCTACTCACCGTCCACTTCCAGATGCTGCCCCGCCTCCCAGAACTATGGCTGCCGTGGCGTCAAGACACCGCATCCATGTTTTTACACCTCCATCAAAGGCATGTTCGCCTGGTGCTGCCCCCTACAGAGGGTCGCCATCACCAACTGCAACTGTGGGTAAGTGGTCTCAGGAAAGATGACACGACCTCTGCTTTATTTTCACTAAATGTAGTAGTCATTGGCGTCGCCTCTAGGGTGGGAAGTGGGTACTCCAAATAATGGAGTGTCACCCCACCTGCAAGTTTAACTATTTATTTTATTTGACAACATCTGGTTGTATCTGCGTGTTTTGGTGTCCATTACAAAATATGCAGATTGATTTATCTGTTTAAAAATTAAGCTAAACATCCATTTCAATTACTTGCAGGAAATGTCTAATGTTCTGCAACGATTGTTTCTACCTTGGCCAATGCAAAAGGCGCTACACCTACACCAAGTTTGCCGCCGTCTGCTTCATCAGATGGTGGGGTACTGTCATCAATGTGGCCAGTTACCTGCCCACCAGCTGCTACTGTAGGCAGACTTAGGAGCAGACGATCTGCAGAAGTCCTTATCCCAAGAGCTACGACAAGCATGCATTTTAATTTTTTCCAAAACAAAATTATATTTTTAAAAACATAAACGAATAACAACATCATGGCTTTCTCAAATTAAACAGTAACATGCTTTTAAATAAATTCTCATTCAAGAAATAATATATTTCGTTATTTTGTATTAATTATCTCTGACAATTTATAGCTACAGAAATAAAAGCTCTTTAAAAAGTTTAAAACGCTTTCTTGTATAAATCAACGTAATGTGCTTGCTTGAATGTCGTAATATTGGTGTTTGCCTGATGGTATAAAGATCACACTGTGGCATTATTTATTGTTAAGGGTTTGCTTGATCATCGTTAAATTGCTGTCTACTTTACTGTAGTGTGTTTGTTTGGTCATCGTTATATTGCTATCTCCTATAGTCTAGTGCGTAGCTTGATCGAAGTTACGTTTTAACACAAGAAAATGGCCGTGGGTATATTTCTATCTTCCTATTTAAAGACTTAGTCTACCTGTAACCTGTGGGTCATTATAAATACGCAGCAACAGATATTCCTTTTAAATAACAGAATTGCCATTTCTAGTTTTGCCGATGTTATAAAATTCATAGCTTTATTAAAAATATTTAAATATATACTTTTATAACAGTTAAATGTATATTAATGTATGTTGCGAGCGTGTGTATTAAAAAGGCGAGATAAAATATAAAATATAGTGTGGGTGTGCGGATGCGCGAAAAAAAGGAAGCGAGAGGTAGATAGCGCGCGAACAACATGGCGATGTCTGGAAGTTGAAGGCGAAGCTCTTATGAACCAATAAATTATGGAAATTACAGGAACAATGGTTGGTTTTTGTTTTTGAGTGTGTGCCATGAAATAGATAGGAGAAAAGCCTGTGACATTTTGGTGGCAGAAGTGAGCGGTGCTCCGCACCGCAAAGGAACGAATTACATCTAGTCTAGATTCTAGATTGAGTATTGTTGACATTCTAGTGATTTTATTAACTGAATAATTTTTTTGGGACCAATAAGATGGAGGACTATGCCAAATTCAATGAGTTGGCTGATTCGTTAGGATACACTGGGGCAGAAAAAGCTAAATGGGTTGAAAAGAAGATAGCTGATGCAATTGAAAGGGAAGACAGCTTTAGAGAGGGAATTAGCTAAAGCTAAAATAGAGGCTGAGAAGGAAAAAGTTAAAATAGAGGCTGATAAGGAACTAGATCTAGCTAAAATAAAGGCTGAGAAGGAAAAAGTTAAAATGAAGGCTGAGAAGGAAAAAGTTAAAATAGAGGCCGAAGACAAAGAAAAACAGAGACAATTAGATCGAGAAGATAGAGAAAAACAGAGGCGACATGAGTTAGAATTAGCCAAAATTAAAAGTAACCAATCTCAAGACAGCAATATTAACAGAACGGACAATTGGAAGCCTAAATTCAGAGCATTTAAGCCACAGGAAGAAAGTGTGGAAACTTACTTAATACACTTTGGGCAAACATGTAAGAGTTTTAATTATTCATCTGCTGGGAAGGGACATGCTTTATTGACTAATTTGACAGGAGAGACTATTGCCATAATAGCAAGTATGTCTGAGGCTGAAAAAGAAGACTATGACCTAGTAAAAGAAAGATTGATGAAACATTTTGGAAAGACAGAAGACTATTACAGGAAGACTATACGAGATGCTAGAATTAACAACACTGGTGAAATAAACCAGATCATTTTTGATATTCGCAAACACATGAATAAAAGGCTAGAATTGGCAGAAATAGATTTAAAGAATCCTGAGGCAATTATTGAACTTAACCTGATAGATCATGTTTTAAATAATGCAACAGATAATTTATTCACTTTTTTGAGTGAAAGAAAAGTTAGGACACAGAAACAATTAATAGAGCACATTAATATTTATAAGGATGCACATCCAGGGGCTATTTTGGACAAAAGAGAGCAGGAAGAGATTTCAGCAGCATTCTGCAGTAGAAACTCTGGCAGGGATCAAAGAAGGTATGGCAACAACAATAGAGATAGAAGTAATAGTGCACCTACCAGATGGAACCCAGACAGATATAAATATAGCAGAAGCACAGAGTGTTACCACTGTGGGAAAACAGGCCATGTAAAGTCTGAGTGTTTCAGTTTACAAAATAGAGATACATATCTCAGCAATAATGACAGAGGAGGTTATGCACCTAATAATAATTACAGAAATCAAAGTAATTATTACAGACAAGGACAGTATAGTGGACAAAGTAGAAATGAATTCCACAATCAAAGTAGACAGCCAAGAATTGGACCAGACAACAGGGGAGAAAATAGAAATACTAGAAATAACAATCAAGAGACATCAGCAGGGGTAGAAGGGTCAGAGACAGTGGTATCTGTTACACAAAGCAATACAACACTGAAGATGTTCCCAGCTATAGTAAACAACACCAGAGTAATGTGTCTGAGAGATTCAGGTTGCACATGCATTATTGTTAAGAAAAGTCTTGTAAGACCAGAACAGTACATTCCTGGCATAATGAAAATGACATATGCTAACAAGAAATTTAAGGATGAGTGTGAGATAGCAGTAGTTGATATAGATTCTGCTTGGCTGAAAGGTAAATATAAAGTGGCGGTCATGGAAGAACCAATAGCAGACATGATTATTGGGAATGTAAAGGAGGTGAAAGAAAGTAATGAGGAAGATATAGATAGATGGAAAGTCAAATTGGAGCAGCGGTTGAGACAAGAACACATATAAACACTAAAAGAACTACTAGAAAGAATAAGGACAGAAACTGCATGTGGGAGTACATACAGTAGAATTCTTAGGATTTAAGGTTGGAAATAAAGAAATTAGACCTACTGAAGAAACAGGGACAAAATATTAAATATCAAAACTCCTAGTACAAAGAAAGAAGTGAAATATTTTTGTAGATGAATATGCTGAACTTACTAATCCTTTAAGATTTTACTTTCATGCCTTAATATTTAACATCAGTTATCATGCATATATAACCTGGTTTAGTGGATGTAACAATATAATTTTTAACCACTTCAGCTGTATCACCAACCTCAGCAGTTTAAAAAAAAACATTATTTCATTGATTAGCTCTACACATTCCTTTGTGGCTAACAAAATCTGTTACTTTATATGTTGTGTGCATTGGTACTTAAGCAATGGTCATATAAAGTATAGCTACCACCACTGAGGACTACTAACATACATCATTTTACATGTTATTGACTTAAAAAAACTTGTAAGTTAGAAAACCAATTAAATTAAAGCATGGAGTTTGTTATCATAATTTGTTAACAAATGTTTAGTTTGTTATTGGGCCTTGTATTTTGTTAACTGATGTTTATGAACATAACAGTTGTGTATTTCTTTTACACTTTATATGATAATGCTAATGGATCCTATTGTTGTTTAAAGTTATATTCAATTAACAGAGCTTAACTATGTGTTTGGAATTTTGACTTGGTAAATATTGCTTTCATAAGGAAAATGGATTTGTCTAGAAAAATTATGTCAAGGAAAGCTAACCTGTAAAGGGACAGCACAATACACTAGTTGATTTCTTATCAAGACAGATTGAAGATGAAAAAACAAACATGGAACCGACTAAAGAAAATAATGACCTGAGACATATCAGCCAATCCTTATAAGGAAATTTTGAATAATGTAGTATGTGATGTGTACTTCCAGAGAATATTAACATTTTAAAAATGTGAGCAAGATAGGAACTAGTCATAACATGGCTTGTATAAATATGTTTTACTACTATTTTAATTTAGTAATGAAAATGAACATTTTGTTGTATTTCTGTGATTTGTATGTATACTGTATATCTTGTTGAGTAATAAACATGATTATGGCAGTATGAGTTGACAGATGTGGTAAGTTACATATGTTATGATGATGAGTTGACCTCAGCCATTGAAGTAGGGAAATCAAGGGTGTGATTTACCCAGGGGAGCTATTACATAGCTATGATTTTGTTCTACTAAGAAATGTTCCTTAGTTAGATTCATATGTTATTTTTAAACTAAGAAGGTTTACCTTAGTTACAATTTTTTTAAGGGCTATACTTATAAGATAAGTGAATCTTTGCATTTTGCCATGCATTTTATGAATATTATTGTTTTAATTTGGTAAGTGTACATATAAAATAATGTAGGATGTTCATTAGCAAGTTTCTTTTTCAACATGATTTTCATTTAACTGTTGCATGCATAATGAAGATTTTATAGTGAATGTGATGTATATAACAAAAACAAATTAATCAATTAATTTTTTTTAAACGGGAGAAAGGGCGTATAACAGTTAAATGTATATGAATGTATGTTGCGAGTGTGTGTATTAAAAAGGCGAGATAAAATATAAAATATAGTGTGGGTGTGCGGATGCGCGAAAAAAAGGAAGCGAGAGGTAGATAGCGCGCGAACAACATGGCGATGTCTGGGAGTTGAAGGCGAAGCTCTTATGAACCAATAAATTATGGAAATTACAGGAACAATGGTTGGTTTTTGTTTTTGAGTGTGTGCCATGAAATAGATAGGAGAAAAGCCTGTGACAACTTTAAATAAAAATAATAAAAATAATAGATATAAATAAGTATTATTTTAAATATATGCATTTTTTAATTATGGGATCAGTTGATCAAACTATAAATCGTTTTTATTTATCCAATTGTGTAGATTTTTAAGGTGGGTTTTTTTTCGAGTTGAGACCACCCCATCCCAACCCCAATATTCTCCCGAACCGTGAAAAAAAGGTAACAAAAATATTCGCAATTTTAAATACACAAGTATTTCGCCATAACAAAAGCAGTTAAGTCCCAGAATCCACCAATTGGTTGAGGGTCAGGTCGGTAAGAAGTTCACTAGACCATACTACACCGACGGATACCTGAAATATGTCTGGGAAATTAAATGCGCCTGGGGTTGAAGCTGACAACACCATCCTTTGATATGGAGAGGCTAGAAAAATCAGATGAACTATCTAATCAGTTCCACGGTTTGCTCAAGTTTCAGAGTGTCAATGTAACATAAGATTA